AATTATAAAAAATAATATTTTATTCAATAATGTAATCAAATAAAAAACACTGCAATTTGTCATCGACCGGCGTGCTCATCGGCGATCACAGGAGGACACCGCAGGATCGCAGGGAGCAGGTAAGGGACTTCTCTGGGACACTGCAGTGTAATCCCGAGTGTGGCTCGGGGTTACCATTTCTGGCAGTGAAAATTAACTCTGAGCCACACTCTGGAGTTACCGCTTCTGGCAGTGAAAATTAACCCCAAGCCACACTCGGGATTACCACCAGGGTAGTTAAAGAAAGTCGATAAATGATGCTATCATGAAACAGTTTACCTCTCCTCAAAAGCCAAAGCATTTTCTCCACGTATCACTGCATGGTGTCGGGGATCCAACTGCCAGAGTTCTGGACTTCCTAGACCAAAGGAACTCCAGGACACAGCCCCTGGACTCTGTGTGTCCTCCTGGGCTTCTCTGGAGTCAGGTGATAGAGGCTGGCTGATAACCAGAGTGCACGCACGCTCCCTAGAGTGAGAAAGGAGTGTTTTATGCACAAGAGACAGAGTCTGGTGGCAGGGCCACAGCTGGGGGGCTACTTGGGGACGGAGGCAGCCTTGAATTCATCTTGTAAATCCAGGACTTACCTACAGCACCGACACAGCGATTATGCCTGTGCTTAATAAATGAATAATGACGACCGGCCTCAGGCATTGTGCAAAACATTTCCACCTCTATGAGCTCGTTGAATCTTTGCAACACTCTGGGATGGTGGGTAACAAAATACAGAGGCTTAGAGAGAAGTAACTCATTCACAATGGATCTGAGCTGTCAGAGCTGGGACCTGAATGGTCAGAGCTGGGACCTGAACCATGTCTGCCTAGAAAGCCCATACCTTTGACTAGAAGTGAGATTTCAGTACAGGGAAGTCCAGGGTCCCAGATCGCCTCAGGACAAGTCAGCCACTTCGTGTCAGGGTCAAGGCTTCGAGGCTGTCATTTGCTCCTTCAGACAGTGACTGAGATTTCGAGGTGAACCTCCTAGAAACCTGCTGCCTTTGACCCCATGACTCCCCAGCCCCGTTCTCATCCATGTGCTTAAAATTTCTTGCCTTTGGTTTTTCATAATAGGGTTTCAACTTGATTTCCTAACTTAGTTTACTGTTAGTTTATCTTGGCAAAACATTAAATGCCTTTTGGCCAGTATGGCTTTGACAGACTGCAACATCCAGAAGAAATTAAAATAGCTTTGAAGGTAAATACAAGTCGTGTGCTGGCCACCACCCTTACGAGGCCACGCGCGTTCAGTAAGCATTTCCTGAATGGCTGCTGTGTGCCGGCATCCTGCTAGGTGCTGGGGTGTAATGCTGAGCCAAACACATGTGGTCTCTAACCACATGCAGCTTTGGGAATTTACAGCCTAGTTGGGAGAGATGGAAAAAAAAAAAAATGAAGGCTATTTTTCGGTAGTGACCTGGCTGCTGCAAAGTTGATTTAATATAGGTAATTGAAAAAAAGTTTCTATGATGTGGTTCCTACAGCCTATTAGAAAAAGTGTGTAATGAGGTCGGTATTCATAAGGCCAGGTTGATGTTTCTTTATGAAGGGGAATGTTCATATCCATTGCCATAGTAATCACATTCATACAACAACACGTTTGCTTTACAGCCAGGATGGTCAGTGTATTTTCTGCCCTCTTGAGAAAAGTCACCCTTTGATGACATAATTAAGCAGAATGCCACACATGGCATTCAGTTATGAACAGCCCTTGTCACATCAGACAAGTAAGCCCTCCAGTGTTTTCTGCCTGTAATTAACCTCCGTTGGCTGCGATCTGCAGGCAGCTAGGAGAAGCAGCCTTGTTTCCTTCAGAAATCAGCACCAGGGATGCGGTTGCTTTGCACCCCCAGCCACTTTTGAAGACCCAAGTAGAAGGTTTTCTCCACCCTTTTAAGTGTTCACTTTCTTTAACTCCAGGAACTTGTTTCTGATAGGATCTATGGAAACTTGTTCCTGGCATTCCTTGGAGGCCTCCTGTGGGCTCAGTATACTTCCCGGTGTAGTACCGGAGAAGATACTTCATCCTGACTTGTCCTCGGAGTTCAGGCTCTCGCTGCCTGGGACCGAGGGTGGCTGAAGGGTCGCCAGCTTCCCACGCACCGAGAGGTGAACACATCCTTTGGGACTTCATCCGATGTTAGCTATCGGGTCTCCATTCCCTTAGTACTAGTGCGATCTGAGGGCTATGATTTTACCGGGTGTGAGCCTGTCCTTAAAAATCTGGCTCTCTACTCCGTCCTCTCGCGCGGGATACCCTCGTAGCAGTCAGGGCTCTTCATTGCGAGCAACAGGAAAGTTCTGTTAAGACACTGAATTTAGAGCACTGAGTCTGACAGGCCGAAGAACCAGGCTTGGAAACGGGCAAGAACAAAGGGCCATGGGAGCCGTGCTGTCCATTCCGCCCCAGGTTCTGTGGCCCAGGTGGGAGGGCCCAAAGGCTGGCTCTCATTTACAGGTCCATGCCTTCGCAGCTGCGGGGTAGGGAGCTGGGTGCAAGTGAATAACTGGTGTTTTTAGCACCCAACTTGGGGGTTTCGGCGCTTCCTGTCACCATGTGGTTCTCTTCCGACTTGCCGTGGGCTCAGACGCTCCTTGGTTGACCATCACGCTTCCTTCCCTGTAAAGTGGGACCTGCTCATTGTATCCCCGTGAACCAACACAGTCTCTGTCTACACATCTTAAGCTTAATTAAAGCACGCTAATTGTCCAGTGTTTCATGCACGGCAATTAGCTCCGCCAGTACCGTACAAGGGCAGAACATGAAAACGAAAGGTTTGATGTTTAATATCGTCTATGCACTGGAAATTGCCAGGCTGGTATAATAGAAAGTAGGTCATTTATCAACACTTAGTACAAGTGGCTTTTTCTTTAATAGTAACAGCCATTCATCTTATGTGAAACACACACATTTTTAGAATCCTGAAGGATGCCTCTGTCCCACCAAGGACTTCAGAAACGCTGTAAAAACATATCATATCTGCCATGACAGTGCCATTAAGCAATGTCCTGCATGCGTTCTTTATTATACAAAGGACACTCATGTCACGGAGATGGTCACTTTTATTAAATAAAAGCTGAAGCCTGGTTCTGGTTTAAGATGAACCACTGATATGAATACATAAAATGCAACAGCTCACAATGACGTCAGAAGCGGTATGGCCCCTTTACATCACCATCTGAATTTTACTTGTATTTTTTTTCCCTTTTCAGGTGATGTTCTGATTAGTGTCGGCCACACCAATGTGTTAGGATACACTCTTCGAGAATTTTTAAAGTTGCTTCATCATATCACCATAGGAACAGTGCTGCAAATCAAGGTTTACCGGGATTTTATCGACATACCCCAAGAATGGCAAGAAATACATGATTTGATCCCTGAGACCAAATTCCCAGTAACATGGTAAGTAATTCATCTGAGGAAATCTGTGTTACCCTACAGAGTCCTCCAGGGTTAATGGGGGGTTGTCACATGGACCACGGTAGGAGGGACGGGTGACACTGCCCGAACAAGTCAGTGGGGGTCTAAGCCCTTTTGTGAAGGACAGTCTGCAGGACCTAATATGAGGGAGAATGAAAAGGCAGGAGCTTTGAACCTGGAGTTAAAAGAAAGGGACCACCTGTCCGATGGGAACTCTGCCTCCAAACATATATGTGACACGCCCCCCTTTCCAGCTGGTCCTTAAACATTTCCTCATGTGTCTCCTGTGTGTTCATTCACCTGCTCTCTGGATCCTTCTTGGTAATATTTGAGCCCTTTTAAGCCTTTCTCATCTGAGCAAAGCCCACCTCACCTCCACTCTCCTCTCCCTGTCCCGTGACTCCAAACTTATTCAAAGAGTTGTACAGGTGGCCCCATTTCCCAGTGACACCCACTCCCCTGATTCTCCTATGACCTCTGCCCCCTTGCTCTTGGTCTAACCCAGCCTTGGAGTTTCTCAAGGTTTAATCTTTGGCTCTCGTCTCAATCTCCCAGCCAATGTCAGTGGTTCCTGTGGTTTCTATTATCCACACGTTAATAATTTTCAAAATGCATTGTCTCCAAATTTGTATATTTAGACACCCACTGGAAACCTCCACTTGGATATATCATAAGCCTCTCAAACTCATCATGCCTAAAATCAAAAGCCAGCTCACGTCTGCTCTTCCAGTGGCCCTGTCTTCTGGGGGAGTGTCTGCCCAGTGGAACGAGTCAGAAATTTAGGGGTTGTTCTTGATTTCTCCATCTCTCGTCTCCCCCCCTCCCCCAAATCACTAAGACTTGTCATTCACCTTCCAATTATCCCTAACGTTTGTCCACTTCTCTCTGGCCACTGCCATCACGCCTGTCAAAGCCGCCATTTTGTCTCCCCACATCTACTCTTGTCCCCTTGTCATTCTCGACACAGAACGATCCTTTTACAAAGCAAATCGGGTCGTGACACGCCTGCTTAAAAATCTTGAAGACCTTCTTTTGTTGTCAGGCTAAATGCCCAAATCCTAACATTGTCCCGTGCCATCCATGGGTGGCTGGGTCTGCACACCTCCAGCCCGTGTCCCACTGCTCTCCCTGCCCTCAGTCCACTTTGGCTGACACCTGTTTTACCTTGTGTTGACCTTGGCCTTGGGGCATTTGCACTTGCTTCTGTCTGCAGCAAGCTCAGGACCCTGGTGTGACTCCTCCTGGAGGCTCCCGGGGCCAACTCTGTCCTCGAGGAAGTGTTAAATGCTGGCGTACGCTGTCCTAGCGCCCCGTGTCTCTCCTTCACAGCGTTTATGCAGAGTGATGCTAGGAGAGAAAACAACTCACACATCTCTCACGAGTGGCATGCTGACAGTCTCTGAGCCCCACTGTTTCCTGGCTCCCCTGGAAACTGGTAAAATCCTGTGATTGCTGAGCCCACGGGACCCGTAAGAACAGTGTTCTATGGAGGACAGAGCCAGGCGATGTATCATCCTGGGTGGAATGAAATGAACCCACCCTCAGAGCTCTGCTAATATCCCGAGCAGTAGTCTGCAGAGCTTTTTAAAGTAATGTGAAATAACTGAAGGTTGAGATCGACTTACATTTAGGAATGGAAACAAATTTAAAGGTACATTTGAAAAGAGAAAAATTCCAGCAACACGGACGGTAGGGCTGAAGCCCTTGAGCCCAAGCAGGTGGTAAGATACCTTGTGAGGGACGGTGAATGTTCAGACACTAAAAGTCCTTTCCATTCTCTTCAGCGCAACAGAGAAAGCTGAGCAGACAAAAGCTGACTGTCTCACTAGCGATGACAAGAAAGACGTGGTTTTAGACGAAAAACTTAAGTTTCACCAGTCTCCACGGCCCGCTGTGCATCACCCTGCAAGGAGGCCCATGTCGATCTCCAGAGAATGGCATGGATACGGAAAGGACCGTGCTACCAGCATAGGGCAAGACCTCAGCTATGACGTCATGGTTCAGAGAGACCAGGAGAGAGAGGCGAGGACGCCCTCCCCGTACTGGACAATGGCGAAGCGGGACAGAGAGAGCTCGTCGTCGTCCTCAGCCTCAGACGCCTTCTGGCTGGAAGACTTCGCCCAGGCGGAGAAGGGCCAGGGTCAGCCCGTATCAGTGTCGGTTAGGCAGCAGCCTGCAAATCCATGATCCCAGGAGCATTTCTCTGGGAAACACCCGATTCCAGTTTGGCTATACTCACGGGATTCGTGCAGACTGACCAGTTCTCTTTCGCCACGGTGTGGGAAGCCATTAGACCTTCAAAGTGACAGCCAAAGATGTCCCTCTCTGGCGTGTCACATTTTATTCTCAAAACAGCAGCATCGTTCAGATCACGAAGCCCCTCGTTTCTTTTAGAAAATGCGGCAGAGCACCCCATATCAGAGCATGTGGACACAGCAGAGGGTTCATTTTAAGTAGCACATTACTGTTTACAGACTTAATTTCTCGTTTTGCAGACTGCAGTGCCCTACTTAAAAGCAATAATAGAGATATTTTTTGGCTAGTTATTTATATTATATTTGTTTTCCTTTACTGCCTTACTGTTACTTGGAATGTCAGGTTGACAGTTAACTACCTGAAAGTGACAGGCTACAAGGAGATGAGAAAACACAAAGCCTCCGCAGTGAGGATAGAGCAGATACTTAAAATGAAGCAGTGGGAATACAGGATATGACTGACAGGGAATTCATTTCTCATAAACAGCCTCTCTTGCAAAAAGGGGGCAAAACCCAGACCATGACTGTTAATTACCCAAAAGGAGAGACTGTTCAACTGCTTTATCTGAAAAAGCCACCAACAATCATCTGTAAATACCAACTCTGAGGGCTATTGAGCCTGGATTTCAATAGTTTCTGAGGCTTCTCATACTCCTGTTTGCCTTTACAGCATCGAAAACAAAGACTTCCGCAGATAATAGATACTTGTTGATGAGCTGATTAGGAAAAATGAAAGAAAACCATTTAAACAGAATGTTTTATTGACTTTAGGTCAGCTGAGAACAATTACCTGCATTTATACTTTTTAAGTTATTTCACTTCATTGAAAAAAAGGCAAATGTTACATCAGAGACTTCTTTCATGTTTGATGCTCTGGGCTGAGAAAACGTCCAGCTCTTTCCCTGAGGCGTGTTTTCAGTGTTACAACTCGTCAACAAAAGGTGTGTGCCCCAAATTTCCACTTGCTGCCATGGACTTCTGGCCGGAAACAAACTTCTTTGCAGCCTTTAAGTAAACAAAAAAAGACAGAAAGTTAATAGGAATAAGGAAATGTATCATCAAGTACATAAACTTATCCTGGTATTTCAAGTGTTTATGGACAGGACATTCTAAGCCAGCAATTCTATTAACAGCCTACAAAAGCGGGCTGGTGCATTACTTTAATTTGCAACGATACAGGAGGAAAAGCGCTGTTCCTTTGAATGTTGTTCCGTCATATGTGTGACTGAGCGAGTGTGGTGCCTGGATACGGGGGGAGCTGTTAAAAGGGAGGATGACGAACACCTCAGGACACTGTAAAGTGGGGCAGTCAGCCTCGGAAGGGGCTGTCCTTTCTGTGTCTGTGTCAGAACGGCAAATCATCTGAGTCAATAACAATCCGCTGACTGGTAACTTCAAAGGCATATTTTATACCTGAGTATTCTTTATGCCACGACTTCAAGTTCAAAGGCTAGATGTTTAGGTTTAGTGTAGTACCACGAGCAGCAGCCCCCACGTCATCTCGGGCCACGTTTTTCAATGGATGCTGGTGGAGGCAGCTGGGCTGGCACTTCCATGATGGTGTGTAAGATAGGGGGACACATTTGGAAGAGAGCAATGATGAACTCAGGGGCCAAGTCAAATCAAGTCAGGGCTACTATCTTAAAATCGACTGTCTCTTTTTTCTGTACCCATTGTCCCTATACGAGGTAGACCTATGGGGAGAAGATGCCTGAGACCGCCACAGTGGAAAGGCAGTTGGCGTCTTTCATATATTATAGAAAGGACTGAAAAAACACACTGATTTTGGACTCATCCTGTAGTTTATGTACTTGTTTGGCATAGTAGAGAATACAAAGAGGAGGTGTAACACATATTCCTTGTTCTCAGAACAATTCATTGTGTAGGAAACAATAACTCATGTGAAAAAAAATACAGCAAGAGCAGTAGAGTGTCTCAGGCTGAGAAGACGAAAGAAAATCTTGAGCTGCTGGGTCATGAAGGACTGGCAGGATAGAGTTTAGGTCTTGGCAGTGAAAAAGAAAAATATCAAACCCAACTATTAGGCTGAATCATGAAATTGTCAATATCTGACTTTTCTTGACCTCTAAGAATTTAAAACGGTTTAACCTAATGGAATTCAGTTGAAGACACATATACTGAGTTCACAAAAAAGCTCTTTGCAGATCTGATGGTCATGAGCCCTCCTGCCTCCACACCGGTAGATGGGCACCAAACAGCACAAGGAAGCTTATGCATTCCTTTGGAAACTGGATCAGTAAGGCCAAAATATGCGATGTTAAATCCTAAGTTTCATTTGCTTACGTTTATGACGTCAGCGTCAGCTACTGAGTCAATCTGCTGAAGGACCGTGGACGCCGGCTCGTAGGAACCAGCATCAAGAGCCTGGGACCCGATTTCATTCAGGAAACCCTCCGAAGACTCCACAGACATCAGGTACCCAGCTTTCAGCTTGTTCCTGTCCGATAAAGGGCGTATAACAGAGGCAGAAGCCAGATGTATTACAGAGAAGGGCAATTTTATAAGTACGTTCCCCAACTCTCAAACATGTTTTGGTAAATACGCAAATTAACAGCTTTGAAAATCTTACAGTGCTAATGGCCTCCATTCCCTTTCTTCAGTTCAACTATTTTATTATTTACATGATGATTCAGAAAGTTGTCCATCCAAGATTACACTGAAAACCAACAGGTTGCCTTTTGATTTTGGATCACAGCTTAGATTTATTGGGTTGTCAGAAAAGTCATGACGCATTTTTTGCAAAGAAAACCAGAAAAAATACGTCATGACTTTTACGACAACCCAACAGTTAACACTCTTCTAATATGAAGCTTCGATTAGCAGGGTAACACTTGGCTCCTGATACATTTTTGGTGATAGTTTCAGGCATTTCTGTGAAAGGCACTGTCTGCTTAGCAGAATGCTGTGGGCTGTGCTGGGATTTGTCTCACTGAGGGTGGGACGTCATGGAGAAGGCAGGTGGGAAAGGACAGAACAGGTCTTCTAAGTCTCTAGCTTAAATATGGGCACAAGACATCAATTTGAAATAAAATAAAACCCAATTCATGATTCTCCCAGCTAGAAACTGTTGTTCAATAAGGCCCTTGAGTTATTCAGCTCTCAAGTCTACTCTTCTTCGGCACTCTGTAGCTAGACTTCCATTTAAGCGTGATTACCATCTAATACAGCAATTTTAGCACACTGTCCGCTTAATTAAAAAAAGATTTTACCTGCAATAAACTTTACTAAGAGATTACTAGTTTGTCCCTTTAGCAATGACACCTGACTTTCTCCCTTTTACTATATGAAGACTAAGAACCTTATAGGAAAAAGTATCGATTCCATCAAAATGGCAGACAACAAACATACTTGACATTTAACTGAAATTCCATTTTCTACATGATGCCATGCCTTATAAAAATTGTGCTACGCTTATTATTAAGAAAATTCATTTTCTTAAATAAATTAGATATGAAACAGATTGTTCTTAAGTAAATTCAGTGGTTCAGTTCATTCTCATCATGTTTTGTTTCTGGTGCAATCATTCAGAGCCGTAGCCTATCAACCCTGGGTTCCTTGGATACAGTATTTAATAAACTGTGTTGTCATTATTCCAGACAGGCAATTGCTTAGTGAGTTCAGCATAACAAAAGTCATAGTATGAACGGGAACAGAAATGACCAAAAGGTTGTCCCTCCTGAGTTGTAAGTCACCCTGTCACACTCGCCTTGTGGGCAATACTTAGGATCATCAAGACCATTTGAGTTTCAGGATCCACATTTCGAGTTGTCCTAAATGCATGGAATCAGACTTAAATGTTTTAAATTGCTGTATGAAAATGCAAGCTGATTTCCAACTCTGTTCAAAGTCTGTCTCTTTCAGTTAGAGAAACGCCCAGAACTACTGAGTTAGCTGTGCTGCTGGCACTTTCAGTGAGAACTGTGGGAATTTAAAAATCACCAACTAGGCGACAAGTATTTTGATATTTTAATCAGATTTCTTTTTTTGGTCTATCCAATCAGTAAAGAGAAAAAAGAAATTGCCAATGGTTATGGTAGACCAGGCAATCATATACTGGTATGATTATAAACTGGTACAACCTTTTTACATTGTGACTTCAAAATATAAAAGTAAAAAATATTCTATAAATAAACACACACATATATTTTAAAGCAGAGCCTTTCATTATAATGTTTATAACTTTTGATCCAGTGGAGAACCTATACCAACAAAGTAATAAAATACAAAAAAGTTTTGAATGCAAAAAAGTTTTAAGTGCAAAGATATCTTTTAGTTTACAATTTCCAACTGCAGGAAATGTCCTATAAGTATATTCTGATAACCAATTAATACTGTTTATTTTATGAGAAATTTCTAGTAATCTGGATGAATGGAAACATTATAGTGTTAAAAAAGGGAGGAATCATTGGTAGGGAATGAAAGATCATTTTTGTCTTTGTGTTTGTAATTTTCAAATTTCTACAATAAACGCTATTAAATAGGATATAAGTACATATACAATATTAACAATTGTGTTTAGAAATGCATAAAAATGGTCAAGAAAATAGGCAATGAGTTAACAAGTTTTTATATCTCTAGGTGGTAGGATACAGGTGTATTTCCCTTTCCTGTTAAATGCTTTTCTGTGTCTTTCAATCCTTTCGTGCGTATATCATAATATTGTTATAACAAATTCGAATAATTGAGACACACAGCACACGGTCAGTGTCAGTGCTGAGACTCACTTGGCGGCCTGGACGTCTGCGCTGGCCAGGTTTCCCTGAGCGATTGTTTTCACTTGGGCATAGGCAGCCTTGAGGACCTAGGACAGACAGTGACAAGCTGGTCATCTCTGATCAGTGCCAGAGTCTCCGGTAGCAATGAGGTAGAAACAAGCTGGAAGCTAGATCCACAGAAACAGCAGGGTGTCCAGGTGGAACGCCTACGTCACTATGCGCTCCTATTCTGCCAATGTTCCAGAAAGCAGCTTACAGTATAGGAGCAGCCAAGCTTCTTACAAAAGTCAGGGGCAGAGGATGGCAGCAGGGTTTAGGAAAAGCAAACACAGGATTGATAATCGCCTATTAAGAATAAGTCCCTCTGAAATTTCCTGACTTTCAAAGCGTCCTGCGATTAGCACCACTCTCTCTTACTGGTCACTAAGAAGAAAGCAGTAATCCCTACACAGCCAATCTGCAAAGCTTGTCATACTTGGGATGCTGGAGTCATGAAGGAATCAAGTTCCAGTGACGTGGGTGGGCTTCTGATAAATATTTGTTGACTGAATACATTCGTAAGCCTGCCCACCACGATTTTCTCCACCCCAACCCTGGCACGATTCTGGATCTGCTACTTACTGTTCTCCAAACACCTAACTTCCAGGACTTCCTTCGTTTCCCGTCCATTTTCGCTAACCACTTATTTCCACAGCTGCGCCTCGGACGTGGACTGTCGTTGGTCACGCTGTCCTTACTTGTCCATGTATCCCGATCCCTCAATCCGTCAGGGCCCTCTGGCTTTGCTTCTCTGTCCAGATCCAGAGTCTCCCCGCAGTGCCAGTGCTCCCACCTCCCTTCCAGCGCCTTGCACTCCTGAGCTGCCTACTTTGCAGGGTTTCAGCCTGGGATCAACCCCACTCCCCGCCTCCTCCCTCTCTCCATCAGGCTCATGAATGCGACGGGACAGAAAGCGCAGTCCAGACCTGACTGTCCTGTGAATGTGTGCTCACTCATCTCGGAGACACCTACCTGCTGACTGCCATTCTGTGCGTCCCGAGCCAGGCTTCTGCCCCACACCTCACTACTTCTTTTACTCCCCTCCCTTCTCTTCCTCTCAAAATGTGCTCAGCCTCCTGCCTCACGGGGGACATCCTCTTCTCCCAGCGTCAGCCTTTGTGCCCAAGGCTAAAACGCTCATGTGTACTGGGTGCTGCGTGCTCTTGCCTTTCAGACTTGATCCAGTGAGCATTTCCTGTCTGCGGTGCTGCTCCCGTCCGTCTCTCCTTTCGGCATGTTTCCCCTCGCAGTGGAAAGCCTCCTCCTAAAACCACCAGCCACCTCCCTGCCAGTCTAAGCTCCACCCGCCACCACCAACCTCGCGTTTCTTTCTTCTCACTCATTCCTTGATACTATCAAGTTTAGTTCACTTTCAACATTCTGGTGAGAATTGATAATATCACCAATGATGTCCTGGCCTGCTAAAACTACCAGATGTCTCTGTGGTAACTAAAGGGGCGTTAATCCACAGTAGGTCAAATGGCGTTAAGCACTCTCTCTCCTGGCCTCCAAATATACCAGTTTCTCTTTTCTTACTACTTTTCTTGGCCATTTTCCTTAGTCCCTTGGTGGTGTCTCCCAGACTCGTGCGTCAGTTTTCTTCTCCTACGATCTTTCATACAGAACGCTGACTTGAACACAATCTCTACACTGAGGACTCCCAAATATACACATTGGCCTTGACCTCACCTAAGTTCTCAATTCAGATGTCCCAGGGACAACTCAGGGTCACGTCTCCAAATGGAGCCAAAACACCAAGGAGGTGCTTCCTCCCGCTCTGCTGGAAGCATTAGCATACATTTTAAGTTTCCTCCGCCGTAGATAAACTTTATACAGAGCTCTGATAAGTCATGGCATTCAAACATTCCATATTTTAACTAAAAACATGTTAATGGGAAAAAACCTCGTGAGAGTCAGTGAGTTTGCAACTTACATCCCCAGCAGCTGCAGCCTGCGAGATGGTGTAAATCCCAAAGAGTCCGGAGTCCGAGTAACTGGCATTAAAGGCAGAAACCTGAAATGTAACAAAACTTGACTGAGTTCGCTCTGCCAGGTGGAGCGGGGCACAATGTCCCGAAGGGGGGTCTAGACAACGATGTGCACCTCTCAGCATAAGCAAAACGCAAAACGGACTAACATTTCACTCCACCTGTCCAACACTATGATGGTTTTAACGTTTCTCGTTTAGCCTTTCTGAAACAGGTTGCTTACTTTCCTTTTCCAGGGTTATTTTCTAACCTTACTTTGATGATTAAAGGTGAACACAGACATTAATTTGTGAACATTAGTATTACAGACACAATATGGCTGAGTGGTATGGATTGTGGGCTTTGGCACTAACCAAACCCCTTTCTTCCCTCTGTTGTTGGTGACTTTCTTTTCACCAATTCGTTTTTATTTCTCCTACAGATTATAAAGTCAAAGCGTTAGAGAAAAACTGCCGTGTGGTGGCCGTGATTCACATGTCCAAGGTTGCAAAAAAGTTTAGCCTCTGGATAACAGGGGTAATGCCCTCTGAGCAGCATTAAGCTCCTTAAGTGGACGTGGCTGCCTAGTATAGGGTTTCTCAGTGTTTATGTGGACCATTTACATAAGGATCGCCCAAGCTGTTATTAAAAATACAGACTTTGAGATCCTGCAACAGATTTACTCACTGATATCCCTGTGGGAGCCCACATTTTAAATAACCAGTGTTCAAGGTGACTCTTATAAAACATAGGGCATAAGGAGAAACACACTTGAATTACCTGAAGTTTAACTACGATCCTAAGACTATCCTATTCATAGTCCAAATTTCTGAACAAACTCTAAAGTAGGAATTTCTGTTACATTATGTCATTGGATTAGGATCAAACTCCAGCCATCCCAAAGCATCATTAACATTCAATGGTGAAGAAAACAGCAGAACATGAACTAGCAGAAAAGAAAATCTGGAGGAAAATTTTAAAAAGCAGCAGCTGAATTTAATTTAGGAATAATTTAAGCTAATAATTTTCCAACTGTGCTCCAGGGAACCCTAAGACCCTGTACAGAAGATTCCAAGGGTTTCAATGTCAAGTAAGCCTACAAACTTCCTTAAAAGTAAAAACTTGTGTGTTGGGCATTATAGATGGGACACCGTGTCGGACAAGAAAAGCCCCTCTGATATAAAAAAAAAACCACGAAAGTTTGAAAACTACCACCCAGGTGTTGAATAGAGACCAAGAGAGAGAAGGCTGATTTTTAACGTGCACCGTGAAGTGTCAGGTGCCAGAGCACGGGCCTGCGGTGCCCGGCACTGTGCTGGTCTGTGAGCACCGGCTACGACTGTGTGGCACCCGTGTTCAGGGCACAGCACCACCAATAACAGAGGGTGCAGCGTGCCCAGCAAATGGGTCACTCATTGGCACCTGGTGGACGTTTTACCTTCTCTTGATTTGAATATCATTCTCTTAAAGCTTGAGCACTTTTCTCCCTGTCGTAAAAAGGTGTCTTCTAAAGTAACATGGACCTTTCGTTATGATTAAGTGTCATCGCTTCTCTTGCAAGCTGGAGAGGTTTCTTAGTTGGAAAACATGAGGAGCAGAAAAATTCAGGAAGTAGCCACAAGACTGGAAGGGAACAGAGAACAATCTAGAAAACAAGACTAATTAGAATCTAGGGGGACGTTTAACCTTTAAAACTATTGTAAAGGGGACTGAAGTGTGAATTACTGACTTTTTAAGCAATCACTTCTTTCTCTATTAGAATAACTGAAAAGACAGTAAGTCTGTGATAGACCCACTGAGGTACTAAAATCAAGTCTGGCTGTCTCCTCAATGTCACACAGGTTTTCTGTGCTCACCATAAATGTCAAGGGCAGATTAACATGAAGGGCATATTATCAGGACTGCGGTAATCGCAGTCTTGGAAAGCAGGAGAGCTAGCAGCGGCTGCGACTCACGTCGAATGGCTGGTTAACGCCCTTGGCAACGGCCTGGTACAGCGCGCTGGTGGCATTGCCGCCCCTCTTGACATGCGGTCCCGCGCCGAGAACATGCTGGAGAACACTGAATGCATTTGCTTCCGCACTTCCTGTGGCCGCGCTCTCTGCTACAAAAGCAGCGTGGACGAGACTGTCTCCATTCTGTTCTCGAATTTCACCTGCGGCCACGTAAGGAGAGGAAGGAAGAAAACGGCTTGGTCACCAATGGCTGTATTCTTCGGTCTTCTCTGTGACATAGGGGGAACCCACTAAGATGAAACTTTTCCGGGGCCCAGGGCTCTTCCTGCGCCACCTGCCCTTCCCCCAGCACACACAACATGTTCAACAGACAACACCCAAGCAGCTAACTCCTTCCTTCAAGATGGAGACTGTTTGGCAGTAAATTATCAGGCCTAGTCCACTCCAATATGACACTGTGAGGGGAGGGGGCTTCCTTGGATAAATTAACCCCAATGGAATGAAATGCTCACCTCCACGGTATCTGGCCTTTGCCCCAGACAGACCAAGCCCACCCCTCAAGTTCAGAAACTGTTCTGCGACTTGCTTCAGCACAGGATGACCCACACCTATTTCAAGAGAAACAAAAACAAGCTCGAACCAGCATTTCTAAAACAATGGTAAAACACCTGCCATTTAAAAAATAGTGATTATGCAATTCAAATATTACAGAAATCAAGAGTAAAGAAAACAAGAGTCCTCCCATAAGGCCTCTCCCAGAGATCTCTGTTTACAGTTCACTATATATTCATCTAGAACTTTTTTCTATGCATGTATTAATATTATCCTCCTTTTCTTTCTTTGTCTTTTGTTTAATTTACATCTAAGTGAGCGGTCTGCATCAAACACTTAATGACTATAAAGAATTCCACTGTAGGGATATACCACCATTTATTTATTTAAGCCCTTCATTATGGACATTAGCATGCTTCCGATAGTTGGCTAATAAAACAACATTGCATTGTGTATCAAAGGTCACTTTCAAGAGAGTGAAAAGACAGAACACAGAATGGGAAAAAATATTTGCAAAGCGTCTATCTGATAAACATTTAGTGTACAAAATATATAAAGAAGTCTCACAACTCAACAAAACAAACAACTCAATCAAAAATGGGCAAAGAGTTGAACAGACATTTCTTGAAAGATACACAAATGGCCAATAAGCACAAAAAAAGATGTTCTGTATCATTAGTCACTAGGAAAAAGCAAATCAAAACCACAGTGAAGTACTACTTCACACTCGGATGTCCATAATCAAAACGAGGTAATAATATGTGGAGATGTGGGGGAACTGGGACCCTCATGCAAGCTGGTGGGAATGTAAAATGGTTCAACTGCTTTGGAAAACAGTCTTGCAGTTCTTCAAATGGTTAAACAGAATTACCATATGTCCTGGCAATTCCACTCCTAGGTATCTACCCCAAAGAATTAAAAACAGATGTTCTAATCTAACAAAAACTTAAACCCAAATATAAATTCACTGGAGCCAAAAGGTGGAAATAACCCATATGTCCAGCTGATGAATGGAGAAATAAAATATGGTGATAGGATGTTTTTCAGCCCGAAAAGGGAACATTGGCCTGTGCTACAATATGGATGGACTTTGAAAACATGATGCTAAGTGAAAGAAGCCAGTCACAAAAAGCCACATATTGTATGATTCCATTTATATGAAATATCCAGAATGATCAACTCTGTATTGACAGAAAGTAGGCTAGTGGTTGCAAGAGGCAAGGAGGGGGTGGGATGGGGAATCACTGCTAATGGTATGATGTTTCTTTTGGGGATGATGAAAATATGCTGAAATTACATAGTGGTAACAGTTGTACAATTCGATGAATATACAAAAAATCATGAGCTGTACACTATAAAAAGAATTTTATAGCATGTGAATTGTTATACTGCAATTAAGCTATTATTTCCAAAACAAATGAACAAAAAATTACTGCAAATAATATTCTCACACAACTATTTTGTAAACTTGACTAAGTGTTTCTGCAGGATAAATTCTTAAAAGTAAAACGGCTAGGTCTAAGAGAGTACACATTTAAAATTTTAATATCTTCAAATGGACCTTCAAAAATGTTCTACCAATTTATACTCCCACCAACAAATTTTGACAGTACCTACTATTTTCCACGCCCTGGGTACTCCTGGGCAGTGTCAATCTTTTAATTTTTGCAATCTCCCACATGAAGATTTTCTTAATTATTAGTGAGGCTGGCCACCTTTTACATTAAGTGACCGCGCGTGTGCGCGCGCGCGCGCACACACACCCCCACACACCCCCACACACCCTTTCTCCATGAATTGTTTGTTCATGCCCTTTGCCTATTTTTCTGTTAAACTGTAATTTTTTTTTTTTGAAAACAACTTGGAAAAGCTCTCTGCTGAGAGAACTCTGTCCTTTGTCATAGGTTTCGCAAATACTGTAATTAATTTAAAATTAGTAGTTTACAAAGTTAAATGTTAGATTCTGCTTTCCAAGGGGCAAGAAAAACCATACACACACACTAGAAATTAAAATCCTAACACGTTGCCTGTGTAATATAAACAGAGGACTGAGTTCTCAAATTCTGTTCAATCCATGTTCACATAGTTACAGTTTAAGGAAGCAAACCGACATGGAGGCTATTCCCAACTTACCAAGTCCAATCAAAGCCATTCTTGCACTTGTAAAATGGTTCTGAACATAGTGATGTAACTGAGGAAGTTAAAAACATTTATTAGGTTATACTGGTATAAATATATAAAAAGCTGTAAAAACTTAAAACTGCAGCTCAGCAGAAAAAACACACTCACTTAAAAACTGTTATAAGAACAAACGATAAGGGACCACCCTGCGCTGAATTACACCGAGATTTTAAAAACTGTTGCCTAAAATAACTAGAACTCAATTGTGATGGTTACATAACCCTGAGAATGAAAACTATGGAGTTGAACTTTACATTGGTGAACTGTATGGTATGTGAATTATACCTCAATAAAACTGTTACTGGAACAAGAAAAAAAAAGGAATGGAAAAATTACAGCACACCCTGGCTTGAACTTGAAAAAAATGGGACCAAGGCTCTGATTTTTAGTTTTCATCTTTCTACAGGTAGTCATAAAGCAGCCTTCATTCTGTAGCAGGGCTACTGGGGTTGCCTCACTGTACCCCTACCCCTCCTGCCCATCTTTGAAGGTTTTCTTGAAGGTTACTATCTATACCAGGGTTTCCAACCTGGATGATTACAGAATTACCTGCGAGCTTAAAAAACAAACACACTCACTATCTCCCCTCCCCAAGCCATTCCTAGGCCCACTCTACAAACTGATACATAATAGGATTCAATGCAGAATCTTGGAATCCGTATTTAAAAGCACCCACCCACCCTGCGTGACCTGAGAATCCATGAGACATGACAATCGCTGGTCCCCACTAGCATCATTCTAGATCTAATACACGGAAGTCAGGCTAAAATGTGCACTCTCAACAGGAGCATTATTGCTCAAGGGAATGGAAATTAGTTAAGGGTACGAAAAACAGCTTCTTCCTTTTGTGTTATATACAGAGTACATAAACAGTGCATCTGTGGTATTAAAAATTTATGGGGAAGCTAGAAAAAATTGGCTAATAAGGCTCCTTGGAAATGGGCCACAATGTTGAGAATCACAGGCTAAGGTAATGAGACTGAACTTTTAATCAAGTTATCAATTGTGCCCTAAAATGAATGGTGTCTACATACATGGAGTCACCTTGGAAAGCTATATTCTTCTTTTTTTTTTTTTTCTATTGAGGTTTTTCTGTTGAATGCTGCCATTGCTCAAAATATTCTACCACCAATTTCTTTAGGATTTCTTTCAGTTTAGGGACACATTTAAAAAATGCTAGTAACTTTTGAGATAATCTTGGTTAACATCTTGGTATTTGTCCATGATACACACATTTTATTATTATTTTTTATTAAAGTACAGTTGACATACAGCACATATCTAATTTTTTAAAAAATGGGACTCTTTGGTATATCCTATTCTTAAATTGCCTTTTTTTCACTTGATAATATATGAAACTTTTTCATATCAGTATTCTGAATGGTTAAATGGTATTCCATTCTACAGATATTTAATAAGTTATTTATTTCCCCAATGTTACATATTAAACTTGTTTCTGTATTTTCCACAATTATAAACAATGCCACAATAGACATCCTTGTAGATAAATATTTTGCTTTGTGCATTTTTTTAACTACCTCAGTAATTTATCTTCACAAAGGTGAATTTGATTTCTGAAAAATTTCAAAACTCATTAGAGGCAAGTCTTATGAAAAATGTTGGCTGTTTGAATTGGATGGTATGAGTTACAATTTTTTACAATAGTGCCACATGAACGGTAGGCATTAATTATTGATTGATCAGTGGATAGTTTTCTTAGTTAGCCAGGAGGTCAAAAGAGGAAAGGGATATACAGTTTGGTTTTCTGTAGTGGCTAGCTAGAAATGAAATGAGAGTAAAAACGTTAATTTTCGAGTCATATGCTTTCAAAGTGTTGATAATTCCCTCTTTTTCTCTTAATGTCTTTCGATAAAAATTTTTTTGGGGGCGTGGGTGGTAGAAAAGATATACAGAGGGCACCCCAAAAAATGTATACACATTTTAAGGAAAAAACCGTTATTAAAATTATAATACTCAATACATACTGATAACAAAAGATGAATACAAGTCACGTTTGACTTCAGCAATTACAAGAGGTGCTCAAAGTGGTTCCCATTAGCATGATTTTAATATAGTTTTTTCCTTTCTTAAAATGTGTATACATTTTTTGGCACCCTCTGTATATATCTCTGTGACACGTGACAAATTTGTGCTGCCAACAAAGCAAGGCCAGTGTGCTGGAGAAGGTGAAGGAGCTAGCAAGCAGGATGAAGATGGAGGGAAAGGTAAGGAAATGGGGTTCACTCCTACCAACGTATTCAGAGAGGTTAAAAAAAGATTTTTAGTCACAATATTGTATTGAAACATTTAACTACTGTTTAAAAAGGAAACATACACACAGAAAAGGGTCGAGAAAAAATAAACCTATGTATTAACACTGAGTGCCTTTAGGCGGGCGACATGTTTTCCTTCGTTTTGTTTGTCTTTGTTTTCTGAATTTTCTGTAATGAACATGTCCCTTTTATAACAAAATGTTTTAGCTAAAACATACAAAAATTGTTCATACAGAATTTTAGTTATAATCCCAGCTGATGAGAAAAAAGGAAGCAACTGAATTACTTAATTCAAAGATAAAAGGAACAATAAGCAAACAAACCCGACATGGCAGATGAATGCTCAATTTACTGAGAAAACAAGCACATGTTAAAATCAGTGTGTTTTGCCAGTACCTCATCTGGTGTCACTTTTCCAATCCTATAATCAGGACAATACAAGGAATGAGCCAGGGTGTTTCGGTAAGCTGCAGCATGCAAATTTTCAATGACACCTGTAAAATAATGAAGCTGTTACAGAAATGCACTTTAAACAAAGACGACAACATTTTTAGAACCTAGACAGCAACCAGACCATACAACTTTGGTCAACTTATGGCAACTTTTAAAATTCTGCTGGTCGAAAGTGCTAAGGAAAATAAGCAGCTACGTGCCAGCATCTCTACACGCCAGAGTCCACAGAAACACTTCTCTAAGCTACCTGGGTTATCAGGACAGTATAATGGCCTGGATTCAGGAAGTCTGAATCTAGTTACTAGTTATGGTTCTGCCACCAACTTGCCATGTGACTTTGGATAAGTCATTTCATCTGAATTGTACTTACTTATCGGCTCCCTCTCTAGGTAGTGAGGGAGTTGTGAGGATAAGAGGGGCGACGAGAAGGTCAGTCTGAGGTCTTACACTGGCTCTCAGGGGTCACATGCGCTCCTGACTGGCACCCTCACACTGGCGCTGCCTTCCTGCTTCACTACACCTGCAGGCAGACACCTGCCAAGAGCTTCCAGTGACTGCTCAGGCAGAGTGATGAGGGCTGGAGCCTCACTGCCAGTGGGGAGGCGAGCAGCACGCTGGGAGTAAGTCATCCTTTCTAACCTGTACCATTCTCTTTCTCTGGCGGGAGCTCATCCTCCTCTGTGACACAGAGTATCACCATGGAATGATACCAGCTAAGGAGAGCCAAGCACTCAGTACACAGCAGACATGGGCCAGGGGACCCTCTTTGGACAGGCCTGCATTCCGGGCGAGCCCCTGCAGCTGGCCTCCTGGTTAGACCTGAGCGGTCCACGTGCACACTCCTGCTCCTTCCGACGGTTTATGATTTCCAAGAATGACAGTGCTTGTTAACAGATTTGTTGTGCCAGCTGTACTTGTCAAGGTTATATAATCAAACGTTTACAGAAACACTAAATAGGAATACAAAAGAAGTAATTTTTAAATTAAGTTGGTTGCTTTGGAAAGACCCAATAAAGGTGAATTGGCTACACAGAAACAGCAACACGTAACAATAAACAGTAACAGCAGCAGCAATAAACAGCTGCTGGATTTGGTCCAAGCAAAACAACTTAAAACAAAACACGGGGGTGCAAAGAACAAGAAAAACGCTTTGGACTCTATAATGAATTTACTTAGTATCAAAGGTGAAAAATAATCAACAATATAAATGTTTGGTAACAAAAGAATATATTTTAAAAACTGGACAAATGTTTGGAAAAGGCATTTCAAACCTAAGGAGAAAACAACCTCAACAGCATCTTTTTCCCTCTACAAATTCATCTTCTTAAAAACCCAGTATCTTAATTTGAAAAGAATACATTTGGATAAATTATTATGATGGTGGGTGCCAATCTGCAACTGCTGTTAATTAAAGATGCGTCATATGTTTTAACCTTGTTGGGGGAAAGCTATCCACTTTCTCATTGATAAATTATTGTCATAACAAAATAATACCCTAAGAATTTAAAATCTCTAAACCATTACTAGCTAAAAACAAAAACACCACAATCTTTAATGTCTGCAGTATTGCTTTTCCCACTGATACAAAAAAAAAAGTTTAGAGTAAATACTGTATGTTAGAATTAGCTTGTAAAATGAGTTATAAAAACTGGATGTAAAGTCTCTTTCCTGAAAATGTTGGCATAGTAAATAAAAATAAAGTTCATAATTATAAAAAAATATAAAAACCCCCCAAAAACCAAAAAAACCCAGTATCTTAGAAAAAACTCAATGTAATCGGGAAATGCACTTACGAGCCTGTGGATTCTGAAAAGCCACAGCTTTGTCAATCCTTAGCTGAGACTGAAGGGCGGCTACCTCCCAACGACGAAATTCTGGTGATGTGGCGACATTGAGCAGGAACTCCATTAGAATATCACTACAGAAGACATCAAGACACAAGAGTCAAAAAAATTTAAAACCAACATCCATCCTACGTAACTGTAATGTTCTCAGTGTTCAACTTGAGGCCTCTGGTAAGCAGTGTTCTAAGCAGGTTGTGAATCACAGTCAAAAACCAAAGCCAGAGGCCACGCCCCATTAAAAAGACTAAAACTCAGCAGCTTAGTGTTTCTTGAGGAGTAGATGTCCTCCATATACACAGGCACTTACACATCATCCCGCAGGCACTCCACAGTGTAGGCCATGTTTTCCCGTGTCGAAGTCACACTGAATCGGAAATAAATGACAGTGAAGTGTCCAAATCAGAAGACGTTTTCCCTTATATTTTTGTTAAATCAACCAATTCCTCTGGAAAAAATTATTCTGAAGTATAAATAATATAACAATAAAATACATATACTCACCAACTAAAATTTAAAATTATTTTAAAAATTGAAGTTGTACACCTGAAACTAACAGAATATTGTATGTCACCTATACTTGAAAAATTAAAAAAATTTAAATATTAAAAAATATTTTTAATAAGAAAATGGCAAATGATTTAACCTTAGAAAGGAAGGAAATCCTGATACGTTACACATGGATGAACCTTGAAGATGTTCTTCTAAGTGGAAGAAGTCAGTCATGAAAGGGAAGTACTGTAGGACCCCCTCACATGAGGGCCTACGGGCCTATGGTACCAGAATCATAGCGACAGGACAGAATGGTGGGGCTGGGGGCGAGGGGAGTGGGGAGTCAGTGTTTAAGGGCTACAGTTCCGGTTGGAGAAGAGGAGGAAAGTGTTCTGAGACGGAGGGTGGTGATGGCTGCTCCATGCCACTTCGCGCCACAGCACGTACACTTAAAACTGTCAATTTTATGCTATGTAGATTCTACCACAGCTTCAAAAAAGGGCAACTGAACTTGAAGATCCCTTTGTACCCTCCCAGGCTAATTCCGTCCCTCTAGAGGCAAACCTATAAGCACTACATACTATTGTTTTAAAAAATAAATGCCTCATACCTTAAAAAAATCTTGAAACCTGCTTTTTCCACAAAACATCTTGTTTTTCAGTCTGTGTTGATATATAGGTCTAATTCATTCTGTATCTGCTGTGTAGTAGTCCCTATAGGACTAGATCATACTTTATGCATCCATTTCCCTAAAGATGGGCATTTAGACTGTTTCCAGGGTCACAAAGATATCTTTGTACATGGGGATTAAAAAGGGTTAGGTTGTAGGATATGCTCATGTCTGATATTACTAGATATTCCTTGATTCTTTTCTAAGTAGTTGTATCAGTTTATACTCCTACCAGCCCCATAAGAGACTCTGCATCTCCAGTAATGCTGCTGACACCACCCACAGAAGCTCTGATGGGTGTGCAATGGTACCGCACCACTAATTACAATAAACATCGCCAATTCTGGCCTCCTCGTCTGGGAATAGCCTGTTCTTATCCTTTGGCCATCCATTTTCTCTTGGATTGTTTTTTCCTGATTTGTTATTATTTTCCCAAATACTCATATTATGGAGGTTGCAAATATCTACTTCCAGTTAATTAAATTTTTACTTTAAAGCATAAAGATGTTTTACATTTTGATGTAGTGAAATTCCCAAGTCTTTCCCTTTCTTGTATCCTTCTTTAGGAAATCCTTAATCACCTTGATAACAGAGAAAAGTCCCTTTACAATAGAATATTTTCTGGTGTTTTCACTATTTGCTTCCTATATTTTTAACAAACCTTAAATTACCACCAACTGCTTCAATTCCACGGGTTATCTTGAAAGATGAAGCTCCTTTTGTAGTCTTGAAAAAGAAAGGACAATTGTTTTTATTAATTTTTTAATGCCTAGTTTGCAATACATTACACCACATTATAATCTAATGCCTAGCTGTCATTAGAGTCAAAGGAAACTTTACCTAAATAGTGGATCCTTCTTAATTTAAATATTATAAAACAAACCTCACCAAAAAGCACAAGTATAGATTTTTATATGAAGTACATTTAGGTAAAAATTCCATTATCGAATACAAGTTTACTGGATTCATCAGTCTATTCTGAAAGAGGATGGCATATGGGAAAGAATAATTTTCTCTCCCTTTTTGGCACTTTTTAAAAATTTAACTTTTTTTTTAACTGATTTCTTATGTTTTAGCACAACACCCAGAAAGACATTAATTTAATGCTTCTCTGCTGTACATATCCCGTAGTTTCCATGTTATCTTAGGGGACTATATAGGGTTGAGCAGTGTCTCCCTGAAATTCACGTCCACTAGGAACCTGTCAATGTGACCGGATTTGGAAATAGACTCTTCGCAGGTGTTACTATTTAAAATGAGGTCACACTGGACTAGAGTGGGCCCTAAATCTAATATGACTGGAAAAATCTAAGAGAGGGATATCTGGACACACAGACACAGAAGGGAGGCCGTGTGACAACAGAGGCAGAAATTGGGGTGATGAGACTGCAAGCCAAAGAACCCCAAGGGCTGCTGGCCACTGCCAGAAGCTAGAAGAGGCAAGGAAAGATTCTTCCCAGAGCCATCAGAGGGAGCATTGCTCTCCGGACACCCTGACCTTGACTTCCAGCCTCTAGAACTGTGAGAGGGTCCATTTCTGTTGCTTACGCTGCCCAGTTTGCAGTTATTTGTGACGACAACTCCAGGAAAGTAATAAAGGGACGTTGCCTAGTTTTTCTTTTCTGAAGGACCAAGAGACCATAGCATTTGCGAACATAAAGGATGCTTACCAAATTGGATGCCAGACGCAGCAAATGAGAGACGCCTAAGTTGTTTGAGTCCTCGTATCTACTGCCAGCTTTAATGAATAAGCCAATTCTGGCGGCAGGAGCATAGTTTTCCAGAGAAGCAATCAATAACCCGTTTGGTAGCTTGGTGAACTGCATTGAAAGTAGAGCAGAGATGTGAATAACACCATCCTGTCACCCAGACAGCAGGGCATGCGCAGGTGCCAGTGAGCGACTCAGGGGGACTAACCTCTAGGTCCTGAGGCTGCGGAAGCGCTCCTGCAGGGGCCGCCGTGGCCTTCACTTTGGGAGCAACTTTGAGGGAGTAGAATCTCTAAACACAGAAAACGCAAGTTATACACGCTCATCACCAGAACAGCGTATTGTACCCTGGTGTGCCCCCGACAGAAAGGATTCAGTGGTAAAAGAACTCCACAGGGAGATTTAGCTGACGAACTTAAGAACGAGGGACCCACCAGTTTCCCCATGCCTCTCTTAAACCTCTATTTATTTGTGGTTTGTAGAGCCTGAAGGAATATTGAATTCTACATGTTCCTCTTTTACTATGTAAAGAGTTGCTGTATTTTATTTTACCTTTTAATTATCTGAATAAAGCTTCAAGTGGTTCTTTCTAGCTCTAATGTTTTGGAATTGTTTGAAAAAGTGTGGGATTGCCACACCCACACCCTTTTATAGATTTTACCATTACAGCTTGCTTCCCTTACCTGCTCAAAGAGCCTCATCATTTTAGTCTATTTTCCAACTGAAATGGACTTAAATCTCCTTAATCATTTTAATACCTTCAGAAAAGACAAAGTATACCAAAGAAAACTTCCTCCAAGCCCCTGATATTTCTCCTACCATCTTCACTCTCTTGTGTGCTACACTGAGACGACACAACCAACGGTTAAATCTTCTTTAATGCAAATTTATGTCATCATGAGATTAATAGCTTCACCCACAGCTGAGTCTCGATATATGACATACAGCCACTGCTAGGGTAGTGTTATCTTAAATGTTGGCCCATGAATCCAAAATGCGTAATTTTATGGTTTTTTTGGGGCCAATGATATACAATGACACAGGATTCGTTTTGATTATGCCTAAGGTTCTTGCGGTTACTAGCGGAGATGGATGTAAGAGTTAATAAAACTTGGTACTCCCAACATCAAATGAACATGTTGCCAGGGTTTGCTGAAGATCCCAACAGAGGTTGCAGAGCCCCTCTGTGAAGGGTGCAGAGGGCAGAAGGGCGCTCCATTGTGCTTTCAGCGTCAATGCTGCATAAAGTTGGGTCCTAGTTTTCATTTGCTGCTAGTTTTTTCATTATAAATTATAATTAGCTTTGCTTTATCATCATCCATGTTGTTTGCTGGTATAGTGAACCCTACTTGTGATTTTGACTTTTGATTTTCCAAAAAGTAAAAGCTAAGATATGTGGGCATAGCAGTTCAAATATGAACAATCCATAGTTCCTTTGTGAAGGGAGACTCAGGTGCTTTCCCCTCAAATGTGCCCGAACAGTGACACTTGTTGGTTATGTGCTTCCTATAACCTGTCGCATTCAAATCAGTTGCAAAGAATTATTCTAGTAACTGCCATACAATTACTAGATCATTTTAATTAAACGTATACATTTATTCTTATGCAAATTTGTATTATAATGAGAAGAAACATTAATAACTGCTTTTATGCTCACTGCAATTTTGCTTATGTTGGTCCTCTCCAACTTTGTTACTTTTGAGCTGTTTTTTGTACTGGAAGGCGGGGATAGAAGAAGTGGAGATCTGGGGTTCTTTTGCCAGTCTAACTGGGCTGCCCTCGAGGGGTGTTCAAGCACTGGTTTTCTAGGCATGTCAGGAAGCGTAAAACAAATGCAGCCTGAATTATGGCCATTTGTATAATCCATAGTGTTAGCTATTTAAACATTAAGCACAGGGAAACTCCATTCCCTGGTCTTCTGCACTTTCCTCTAGCTGGTTACTTACTAGGTTTCTTAATAAATAACCAGGTACTATTAGCGTTTTGAGCCGGATACTTTGGTGTGTGTTTGTGTGTGGGGTGAGGTGAGGGGGTGGGGGGGCTGCCGTGTGCCCGGAGGGATGTTTAGCAGCATCCCTCACAGGCTGTTACAATGAAAAATGCCAACTATTCTCTAGGAGAAAATTGACCCAGGTAAGATTTTAAAAAGTGTTCCCGGTCTGCCCCCCTTGGTAACCACCACTCCACAGCGATGTAACACTGACGCTTTAGTTTTCCCCAAGTGACAGCTGTGTTTCACTAGGGCTTGAGGGCCGACCGAGAGCCCTCCCAGAGGTGCTGTAACAAGAGGTCACGAGCAGCACACGTTATACAGCCAGGACACCGCAGCCATCAAATTCCAGGCACAGCGACAAGCGCGTCACAGGCATTAGCCCATCCCTTCCTTACAATTTTACTCATAAGCTAACGTAACCGTTGGGGAAGCTGATGCTTCGCGATACACCAAGAAGCGGAGACCGCCGCTGGAAGGGTAAGAGTTGGGGGCTAGGTCTCCGCGGCCCCCGCTGCCCCTCTCCACCCCCCGGTCCCACGGTCTCTCCGGGCACGAACTGCAGCAGTGACCTTCAGAGCTCTCTCCACCGAGGCGCTTCACCTCCGCTCGTAAGCGCTCTCCCTCCTTCGCGTTTTCCGGCGTTAGGTCTCTTCGGCTTGTTGCATGAGCCGGGCCTCCGACGCCGGACCCCCCCCAGCCTGCCAGCCCGTTTGGCCTCAGAGTTCAGCTGAAGGACAGACAGAAGCCCGAGGCCCCGGGACCCCAAACCAGGCACCTCCGGTCCGCACCACCTGGCTGACAAACTGCTCCCCAACCCTGCCCAACCCCGCCGGCTGTGCTCACCGAGAGGGGCCCGGCTCTGCTCAGCAGCTTCATGGTTCAAACTTGCTCTGACCCACGGTCACGGCCGGCTTAAGGAAAAGCCAAGATGGTGGCGGACGCGGGGAGTTTCCCAGCGTTCCTCGCGACGCTCTTCCACGCCCCCCTCGCTAAGGTGACTCTCTAGCCGAACCGCGCTCTACTGCTCCCCGCGGGAGGTTGGACCAGTCCAATTCCTCCAAGATCCGGGGTAGGCAGACGCGTGATTTCCTAAGTAAACACCCAGATGACGACTCAGGTTACCACTTTCTGGAGTCTCTTCCTGGACCGGATTCCACTCTGCAACCCTCTTCTGCGTCTACGGCAGCCCACCCCACCCCCGCCACTTTGGATTCTCCCGACCTGGACCGTCCAGTGAAACGGCCTCCTTCCCCGCATCCTGCCCGCGGCCCCTGGGCTACGCCTCCTGTGGATCTCTTAGGTGTCTGGCTTCTTGGAAATCTGTCCGCCTTCCTGCGGAGGAGACTGGGGCATAGTACCCGGGTGTGACGGCTTCTGGCTGGGTGAAGTCCTCACTAGATCATTAGCCCCTGAAAGCACAGGCCGTGTCCAGTGAATTCGCTGGACAGGCCGGGGACACACGTAGGTGGGTCCGAGACCTCGGGAATCCTCACAACTAAGGTCTCAGCTCTCATGGAATTTATAGTCGAGCCTGGGGTTACGTAGAAAATAAAAACTGTAGGTTTCGTATAAGAAAAAAAATGTTTTGAATAGTAGGTGTGTGTGTGAGAGAGACACTAATGAGCTGAAACCTGCACACTGGGCATGGTGACTATTTGGGGGAAGAAAGTTCTCTCCACACGAGTGTTCACTGAGATGTTGCCATGTGCAGGCGCGGCCCCTGCCCTTCAGCGACTTACTGTTTCCTACCTTGCTAAGTAGCATAGCTGGGAAACCACCGGCATCAACATCACTTAGGAGTTTGTTAGAAATGCAGACTCGCCAGGTTCCACGCAGGGTCAATATCTGCGTTTTCACAAGATCGGGAGGCGATTCATACGCAAATCAAAGTTTCAGAAGGGCTGGTGTTCAGCTCTTACAAAGCATGGACAAACTTCTCTCCTCTTTGGCCTGTGGCTGAACTCCACGCCTTCAACTGTCTAACGGGATTCCATTCAGTCTTTAAGAATCAGGTGCCAACCCAATTTCTGTGCCTTCGGAGGGCACCCTTAACTCCATCCATAACATTACAGGCGAGTTCCCCGAAGTGTAGTAGACTTAACACTAGTGGCGCATGAAACTATTTAAAGTTGGTACGTGAATGAACTCTGTTCTATTTTAATAGTTATCTATTTAGTTTGAATATTATGGCAAGCAATGCTGGTGATAAACTCATCACTTTCCTCTTTAAAAACACTTAGAATAAAAGTTGGCTTAAACAACATTAAGTAAACTGACTGGAGGTAATAGGGAGATACGGCAAAAACCGTGACGGTGTTAAACCAATGAGTGAAGTGTCAGAAACATTCCTCTGATCAAGTCACCCACCTGCTTAGAAATTTTCAAGAATTCCCCATTTTTTCAGGATAAAATTCAAATTAACATGGCATGCAAAACCCTGTCTCCAGTACTTTTTAATCACTACCCCCAAATCAGCTGCATCCGAGAGGCAGGTCATTGGAACTTCATCGTCCAACAGTTCAGGTTATGTGACACACACACACACACACACACACACACACACACAGTTTAGAATGTTCACTTATTCTTCAGATACAACCACCCATGCATCAAAACATAACTATGACCCAAAATAAAAAATTTTGTTCAAAATGTGGTAGGATCTGAAACATAACTAATGATGCCGACTACATAAATAATAAAATCCTAAAATTTTCAGTATTTTGCAGCCCTGTAAAATTTCCTATTAAGCTTTCAACTCCAAAGTAGGACTGCCATCTTGTGGACAGACCTAGCACTTCCACATCATATGACGACCTAACTCCTGGACTGCTGCTTAGAAGTGGAAGAAGGGTGTGTGTGAGTTGGTCGGGGGTGTTAACATACATGTTAATAGGCCATGGTGTACAGTTTCCACCTCACGTTTTTCTTCAGCACCCAACCTACAGCTAATTACAGTCCTAATTATAGAGGAGCCGGGACCTGTGGGGTCCAATTCTCCTTTTGTGTTGTCACTCCCTATACCCTTTGAAAAGTTGATGCTTGGAGTAGTAAGCCTCCTAACATTGAGTAGTAGTTAAAGAGCTGAGACTGGAGGACACAGAAGGAGAAAGTGGGTGACCAAGAGGGTACAAAATTTATTACCTTTACCCAAACCAAGACAATTTAGAGAGTCGGGGGGGGGGAACTATTAGTAATTAAACCAGGATAAAATAAATGGACCATGTGACCCCAAAATTCCACTCTTAGCAACATACTCAAGAGAACTGGAAGTGCATCCATACACAGACTAGCATGTAGATGTTCATGGCAGCATGAACCATAATAGCCAACAAGTGGAAACAACCCAAATAATTTTTTAACTGGTGAATAAACAAAATGTGCTAAGTCTATATAACAGAGTACTGTACAGCAATAAAGAAGAATGAAATACTGATCCATGCTACAGCATGGATGAACCTTATGTGTAGGCAGAACGAAGATACCCATTCTCATCCAGCTCAGATGACAGATGGAAAAAAGGAGAAACCAGACTTCTGAAGTGACGAAGTCTGTATGACATGGCACAGCTTTTGGAAGTTCACTATAAGAGCAAAAACTGGGACACTGCTAACTGCACAGAGCAGGGGTTCTCAAACACATGAAAACAGCAGATGACAGAGCCCATTCCCAGAGATCCTGATTCAAAAGAGCTGCTAGGGGGCATTGTGCTAAGTGAAATAGGTCACAGAGAGAAAGACAAATACCACATGATTTACTTACTATTCAGTAAAATAAGAATGTTTCTTTCCAGAGCAAAGATAGGGAAGGTTTATTTACTGCCCATTATGTAAGACTCGGGTTCCATAGCTCATGGTTCCTCTCTTACAGCACAACCCACTGAAAGTACAGGCATTACCTGGCTGGCTCTCTCTGTGAAAATTAGGGATTGGGGAACTGGCACAAATATGATCTCTGACTACTGCTGTTGTTGTAGTCAAGTCCTGTGTCTTTGACTCAGGACTCCAATGTCTTCTGCCAGTATTCATGAAACTGTGGTAAGTTAACTTGATAATTATTAGTAGGGTCAGACCCTTCACAGTTCAGTTCTTGACAACAGGTCGCTTAACTTAACCTCCAAAGATTACAAATTTTCTTCTTTGGGGGTTCAATTTGATTTGTGCACACAGAGAGAAAGGGAGAAGAGACAGAAGAAAGAGGGAGAGGAAGAGAGGATGGGGAGGAAAAGAAGAAAAAGACAACGAGAAGAGGAGAGAGAGCTGCCTCTATGTATTTCGTTAGCAGCAGGCGGCTGTCCAAGACAGACATAAAGGTCGGGGTTTGGAATAGAATCTCATAGCAGCTTTGTTTCTTGATCACTTTCCATTTTATCAATATTGGCAATGGTCAGGAAGACTTGTTCCAGTGTTATTTGACTGACGGAATAGTCTTCTAAATTGAATAATGCTTTAGCTTTCTCCAAAATACTAAACACCTTTAACAGAAAAAACATAGCACTGTTACCACTGCGCTATCTCCCCAGGTGAACCTTCCCCTCACCCAATCATTCCCAACTCCTGCTGGGTTTATACTTATTGACAAAAAGATACAGAAGGGGGAAGTGAGAAAGCAGAAGAAGAAGATGGTTGAAACACAGAAGGGGGAGTTCTCCATCCCTATTCTCTTGATTCTCATAGAATTTAGGGTCGGAAGTCACAATTAAACACAGGGGCCTTTGAAAAGTAACTGAAAGGCTCTCCTTCTCTGACAAAGTCAGGCTCCCTCCCATTTCCGGTGCCTGAGTCCCAAGGCTTTAACACATCGTGTGGGAAGGGTATGACTTTGATAATCACCTTCCCCCAGCAGATCTCCTTCTTGGGAATGTGGTAGTCAAAAATCCCTTGATTCTCTTGGTTTATGATGCTACCTAAGTAAGAAAGGAAAGATGTGACAGGTGAGTCACAGAGAGGGCCCTGCATCTGATAGACGTTTACAAAATTCCCCAGTAATTCCCAATCCAATTGTCATACCAATGGGAAAGAGAACATATGCAGTTATAATGATATAAAAGACAACAATCCCAAAGCCCATTCTTTTTAGTACATGTGATTTTGTGAAGTAGTTCAATAGATTTACTTCCATGTGAAATAGGGTCTTATTGCCTGTAGACTATAAACTGCAGAAGGTCGGATCATCACTTTTGGGCATGGAAAAACTGATACTTCACAGGCTCATTTTGCCAAACCTGACATACGCAAATCCTCTTCTATAGAACTCTGTTTCCAAACACTGTTATGAAACTATGCTCATGAATTTGGATGTGGTTTCTTTTTCCAGGTGTGCATGTGTGTGTGCATGTGTGTGTGTGTGTGTTAGGATCTCCATACTATTCTCATGACTAGGCAACCTCTATTTTAAACAAAAGAGAAAATTCATGTATATAAAACATACATGTGAAGGCATTCACTAGAGCAATGAGATATTACACCTTTTGCAAACATGGTAGTAATAATTGTGTAGCCCTTCCTAATTGATAGGATGCATTTATACTTATTATCACACAGTTGGAGATGACTGCAAATGGAATTGGGGTTAAAATATTTAAAATAAATAAGCTACATGTCAATGATAGTAAATTATTTTCTTTTGTAATTAGTCCTTAAATGGCCTCCATGAGTAAGTGAAAAATTTAAAAACTTTCAATATTGTGAAATATATCAAACACATAAAAAGTGTATGGAACATACATGTACAGCTTAGTGAATTATAATAAAATTCACAAACATGTAACTGACACCCAGCATTTTAAAAGTCACCTACTATATGCCAAGACTCACTTCCTGCCTCTTAAAGACAACTATCTCAATTTTTATGGGAAGCATTTCTTAGCTATTCTTCATTGTTTCATTACCTAAGTATGGAACCCTACATACTATAGTTTAGTTTTGCCTTCTTTGCCCTTCATATAAATGCATTCATACAGGATGTATTGTTTTTATGTGGCTTCTTTCTCTCCTATTGTTAAGATTCGTCCATGTTGTATATAGCTGTATGTCATTTATTTTCATGACATACCAGATTTAACAGAAGTCACTCCTACCTTCATTACCTGGAAAGGTTGCTGCAATGAATTCTTTGAACTTCTCTAGTATATCCTCACTCTTGTCCATTCTAACCTTTGCTGTCAGAGTGCACATATCACTGAATCTGCTCTTCAGGCGCTGAGGGCTGTCCAGGCAATGGAATTCCCCCTTTACCATGATGGCCAGCTTGGTACAGAGAGCTTCACACTCTTCCATGCTAGGGGACGAGAAACACAGCTAAAGAGACTCCCCTTCAGAGGGCAAATTCAGTAAGTCAAAACAGAGCTGGGGTTACAAGGTACTATGTACAGCAGGTAGGAAAGCTTGGGATTGCATAGGATCACCTCTAAGACCATATGTGGGAAGAGGTTTTAAAACTCAGAGCAGCTGGTTCTTCAGTCCACCAGAGGAGCAGTGCCCTAGCCTCCTATCTTCTGTCAATACTGGATTCCAGAACTCAGTAGCTCATATACTCAGACAAGTTCACTGACTGATATTCCTGATTCCAGCTGACTCCCTCCTATACGCTTCTAACTCTCAACCAAGCCTCTCGACGGGCAGTACCTGTGGGAAGTTATGACGATGGCCTTGCCAGTTTCACACATCCACGTAATGGTGTCCCAGAGCAGGCGCCTGGCCCTGGGGTCCATGCCAGTACATGGCTCATCCAGGAAGACAGCTGAGGACTTTCCCATGAAGGCAGTAGCAGTACTCAGTCTACGTTTGTTTTCTTTACTTTATCATCAAAGAAGGGGGGAGAAAGTGGAGGAGAAAAACAATAAGGGTCTGCACACCATTAGTTTAGAGGACAGAATTAGCTCACAGATGCAGAACGCTGATTTGATAGGTATCACAGGGCAGCAGGCCCAAGTCCAGGTGTGTGTATCAACTCGTTTTCACGGAAATGGCGTTTTTTGGTGGTTTATTTGAGCCTCATTATTGATGAAACATGTTTGTTTTGGGGAGCTGAAGAACCACAGAGAGGTAGGGCTAAAGGTGCTCTTTTCTGAAGTGCAAAGACCATAGCTCATTCTGCAAAAGGTTAACTTCACACAAGTGGGGTCCACCTTATTTCTGAGCCCAGAGAGGACATCTCTGGCTATTTTACAGCCTCTGTGACACGGCCTCTGTGTCACAGAGGGATCAGGCTGAGTTCACTAGCATTCATTCCAAGCAGCAGAAACACAGGTCGGTAGCTTAGGAATCGCAAGTTACACATCTCACCTGTATGTGTGTACAAACTGGTCAGCGTCTTCCAAGTACACTGAATGCAAAAAGGTTTCCACATACTCGTAAATGCGGGGCTCAGGGACCCCCCGCAGCCTGGCGTACATCAGCAGCAATTCCCGACCCGTCAGGTGGTCCAGCATGGGGTCAGACTGAGGACAGTAGCCAATCCTTGACCTAAGCTGAATCAAGGCGGTAATTATAAGCCGTGGATCAAGTCAAGTATTCCACGGAGCATACAGTTCACGTGGACAAGACAGAAAATGTCAAGGTTTCTAGCCCATGCTGCTGAGAAGGTTTGATACCCATAGAGCTCCCAGCAAAGATTATTTCCTTTGCAGTCTAAAGAATTTTTACCGCTGAAACCCACTGTAGTGAAATGTAATACTAACATCCCTAACTGGAATTTTCAACACATATCTACTGTGCATTACTATGTACCCTAGGTAGATTTTTGTTTGCAGAAGTTGCCTAATTATTTCTCCGTCCATATCTTATGAATGTTCATAGTCCTCAAGATTCAGCCCATATCTTTCTTCTCATTATTATAACACTCCCAGTAGATTATCTCATCTACTTTCACAGTTCAAACTTCACTTGTACAATACTTGGATGAATCCCAAATTCATATCGCTGTATCAGTTCACGAACTGTTGATCGGCTATTCTCCCATTTGGATGCATCACAGACATTTGAAACGCAACCTACGCTCTTCCAAGCACACTCATCACCTGTGCCACTATCTTGGTGAATGGAACTTTCACCCATTTACTGGCTCAAGACAGAAATCTGTGCAATATTTTAGGTTCCCTTCTTTTTCTTATAGTCCACATGCAAATCGAGGCTCAACCGTGTACTTTCTCAGTATTTTTCACAACTACTTTTTCTAATCATTGTTTTCTATCAAACTCTAATTATACCACAGCAGGTTAAGGAAACTAACTGTACTTTCTATTTCTACTCTGACCCATTTACACACATTTACACTTTGTATTGGCCAGAAAGAGTATTTGCCTTCCCCCAAACTATGTTATCATGACTATCACTGTCCCTGGGGTCTGTTACTTTTGAGTAAAGAATATATCTATCTTTATGTATCTATCTATGTATCTATGCACCTGTCTGCCTACTTACCTGCCCACCTATCTACCTACCTACACTTCCAGCATCCCTTCCATGTCCCCCACCCACTTGCCTGGTAACCTCCTCCCCTAGGGCACCAGCTCAGTGACTAGGATCAGAAATACCTTTCTGACATTTTCAGTCATGTTAACGCCATCAATTAACACAACTCCAGAGGTTGCGGTTTCATCTCCAGTCAACATTTTGAATACACTGCTTTTTCCGGCTCCATTTAATCCAAGTAACCCGAAGCATTCAGACTTTTCGACTACAAGGGAGATATTTCTTACAGCCTTGACAACTGGACACTTAAAATAAGTCTGAGAAAATGAAAAAGAAAAAAAAATCACAATGTCCTGAAGCACTGATTATGGGTCAGCCACAGCCGTGACCTCAGGCCGCTGTGGACTGATGCCTGTGGACAGTTTCACAAGGGCACTTTCCCTTTCAGCCTTCTACTCGACCAGAAGAGACAGAGGGCGAATAGAAGTCCCCTGAGTTACTAACAGTACCAATAGTACCAATAGAACCAGTACACTCCTGGTGGGGATGAGGCTCAGCCAATCGAATGATGTTACCTTTGTAAGTTCTTTAAGAATCAGTGGGCTGTTCTTCAACGTGGGAAGCTGTGCCTGGATTCTCTTCTTTTCCTTTTCTACATTTTCATCCTTAAACACCTTGTTGACTTGGATGGACATTGGAGTCTGTATTTTCAAGACAAGGATCACAGATGTAAATACACTTTAGGTGCCCGCTTTAAACAGAGTGTCAGCATTTTGAAAGCTGACCTGACGGAGTAGTTTCAAAGATGTCAGAAAATGTTTGACTAATTTCCAAGAGCCTTCCTACCAATTTCCTGAACTCTTACACACAAATGTATTCTTGACTTGCTTAGTTTTGGACACTGCAGACACGAACAAGTTTTTCTACAGCTATGAGTAAGCGGTATACTCTTGCCAGTAACATGGACACCTCACGAAAAATAAAAGCCATATTGACATTATTAACTATTGTCTAGTGTGATTTGTTACAATTAAAATATGTTCAAGAGACCACGGGATCCAAGAGAGGCAAACAGACTCTTTCTTTTTGATGGAAGGTCTCTCCATAGATGAAGTCTAAGCTGAGTATGAAGCATAAACAAAGATTTACTGAGAGAAGGGAGGTAGGGTGGGGGTGGAAACAAGGCAGCGTCTGCAGTGGGAACTTAGTGCAAGATATGTTGGACTGAAACAACAGGACATGCTTTGTGAATAGAAATGTGTACTGTTTGAGCCCAAGATTGATTTGAATCGCCTATTTTTATGTCAAGGACTCATTTAACAGTATTGGTTCGGGAAGAGTAGAGCTGGAGACTATGTTCAGCTCAGGAAACGTACTAATTTAAGAGTGAGAAGAGAAGGGCCGGCTGAGTGGGTCAATTGGTTAAGAGCTCGCTCAAGAGTTTGAGCTCTGAGCAACAGTGGTTCAAGTCCCGGCCCGAGGTGAGCAGCCGCTGAGCTGCCAACAGGTGGCAGGATGGCTCAGCTAAAAAAACCCCAAAAAGAGTGAGAAGAGAGCTGCTGGAAGTGCTTGTTCCCTTTCCCAGTCTCAGAAATGGTTGTATAGGAGTGGCAGGAGTAAACATCCTTGCCCTGCTTTCAATCTTAGGGGGAAAACATTTTGTCCTATCTGCTGTACGCTTTATACATAGATGCCACTCGTCAGTTTGAGATAGTTCCTTTCTTTCCCTAGTTTGCACAGTTTTTTTTTTATTGTAAATGGGTGTCAAATGCTTTTTCTGCAATAACTCCTAAGACCATGTGGTTTTTCTTTGAGATTATTAATACTGTGGGTAACACTTATTTATTTTCAAATATTAAACTAGCTTTACATTCATGGGATAAACCCCACTTGTTCATGGTGTATTATTCCTTCTAATATTCCTGGATTTTATCTGTGAATATTTCGTTGAAGATTTGTGTGTCTGTATTCATAAGGGATACTGGTTTCTCCTACCTTCTCGGGTTTTGGTATCAGGGTAACGATGGCTTCATAAAGAGAACTGGAAAATGCTCCCATCTCTTTTAGTTTCTGGAAGAAATTGTGTAGAATTGAAAATGTTTCTTTAGATTTTTGGTAGAACTTAGTGGTGCAATTATCCAGGCTTAGAGTTTTCTTTCTTGGAGGTTTAAAACTATGCCCAAAATGTCTTTAATTGAAATTAGGACTATTTAGCTTCTTTATTTATTCGTGAGTTTTGGTACTTTGTGTCTTTCTAGGAATTGTTGTAGTTCATTTAAGGTGCTAAATTTATGAGCATAGAGTGGCTTTTATTTCTGTGGTATCTGTAGTGATATCTTTTCATTTTGCCTTCAGATTGGTTAGTGTGTGTCATCTCTATTTAATGGTCACTGTGGCTAGAGGCTTATCAATTACAACCATTTTTCAAAGAATTCGTTTTGGGTTGCATTCATTGATGTGTCTCCATTGTGTTTCCGTTTGCAATTCATTTGTTTCTTATTTTTATTTACTTAACTGCTGCTTGCTCTGAGTTTATTTTGCTCTTCTTTTCCTAATTTGATGTAGAAGCTTCAATTATTGACCTGAGAAAGACCTTTCATTTCTAATATAAGCATTTAATTCTATAAATTTCAATTAAAACATAACTTTAGGTGCACCTCCCAGGTTTTGATATGTTTTCTTTTTCATTCAGTTTAAAATATTTTCTGATTTCCTCCTTTCTGAAATATTGAGATATGCAGGCTCAGAGAAATTGATGAAGACAATCTAGAGTCACCCCAGAATAACATCCAGAGACAGAATTGGAAGGAATGAAGAGAATTTATGAAGCGACAGATGCAGTGGTTTTCTGCCTGAAGAGAAGAAGTTCAAGTATAGACCAGTAGGGGCTTAATTACTGAACGAATGGACCACTGCAATAATTATTTAAATCGTAGACAAAATTCTGAGATTATGTGAAATTATGAGAGCTATGTATAACAATAATTAATAATCTGACTGGTTAGAGGCCATGACACCCTACAATCCTACATAGTTTTATAAAGAAGTCAATTCCATGATTGCAACCAAATACATCTCAGACAGTACATGTACAAGGCAATGCTTTCTATCATAGTCAAGCCATTTCAAATGGATTATTTCCTTGTTGGCAGGGGATCCAAAGCTTCAAACCTAAAAGCCAAACTAAGAGGAAAGACTGTGTTTCAAATTAATCCCAGTTAGATCTTAATATAATTAAATATTTTCTTTATCAAATAGTAGAGGTAGGAATCCGTAAATTCTTACATTCTGGCCCAACATGGAGCTTTCTTGGAGTTGTAACAAAAGTCTAAGTTAGTGACTCACCTTCTTGCCTTTCATGACTGTGTCATACACATTAGACACAATTTTTTGAAAGACAAAGTATTTCAATCTCCAGAATGCAGTCTCCAGAAAAAAAAGCAAGAGGAGATAACAGAAGCCCAGGGAGGCCAATGAAACCAAAAACTTTGCAATCCCACGTTCGCCAAAATTATAGATGCTGTTCTCAAGACCTGAGGACGATAAAAGAGATAGCCTTACTTTAAAAACAAAGTCTAAGATGACACCAAACGTTAAGAAATATAGGTTCAAAATGCATTTTAAGTTAGATTTAGAGAAGTATGCGATATGGAAAATAAGTAATTGTCTTAACATTGTACTTGTCTCTCTTATTTGGTTATGGGGTCGTTGTAAAAGCTCTCCTGCCAACGGGTTTCCTCTACTTTTTACCAGTTTTGATAGACCACGTTTCTCAAAAAGGCTGAGAATTGAGGGCAGAATGCTTAGTGATTAAATGAAGTGTGCAAAAGAAAGGTATTTATGGCATACTCATTATTATAGGCCATGCAGAATATCCTTAAAATCCTTCAGAGGGAGAAAAAATTTTGTTCTATAAATAGGAAAACGTTTTGAATATGGAAAAGGCATTAATAAATAGGAAGACTCATAAGGAAGAAAACAACAAATGGTCTAAATGTCAATGGGCACGAGCTGATCGTTTCTGACTTCACTACAGAGAAAATGAGCGAATGCAAACAGCTAAATTCTGGATACGCAAACAGAAGGCAATCAAATCACTCTTTTTATAAGACTTGCATTTCCTGACTGATTTGCTCCAGCGTGCAGAAATGCCATCTATTTTCATTGTATTAAAACACACATAAAATTTACCTTTTTAAAGTGTACAATTCCCTGGCACCGACGGCATTCACAATGTTGTGCGACCATCACCACCACCTAGACCCCTAACATTTTCAGTTCCCCAAAAAAACACTCAGCCATCGACTAAGCAGTCATGATTCCCTCCCACTTCTTCTAGCCACTGGCAACACGAATCTAATTTCTGTCTCTATGGATTTGCCTACTTTGGACATTTTATACGAATGGAATTACACAGTAGGTGGCCTTTGTATCTGGCTTCTTTCACTGAGCATAGTATCTTCGAGGCTCATCCATGCTGCAGCACGTATTAGGTATTCATTTCTGTTAACTGCTGAATAATATTCCACTGTATGGATAGACCCCATTTTTTATCCATTTATCCATGGATGGAAATCTGTGTTGCTTCCACTTTTTATGGAAAAAAAATGCTATTATAAATAATGCTGCTATGAACATTTGTGTACAAGTTCTTTTTAAATACTAGTTTTCATTCCTTTCGGTATACGCTGAGGAATAGGGTTGCTGGGTCATATGGTAATTCCATGTTTAGCTTTCTGAGGAACCGCCAAGCTTTTCCACAGCAGCTACAATGGGTCACATTCCTACCTGCGATATATGAGGGTGAGAATTTCTCCACATCCTCACCAAACCTTTAACACTTCCCATTTTTTATTACAGCTATCCAAGTCGGTGTGAAGTGGCATCTCGTGATTTTTTTTTATTGAATACATTTGACATGTAACATTGTGTAAGTTTAAGGTATACAGTGTGTTACCTTGATAGTTATATATTGTAATGGCTGCCGATATAGTCTATTTGTTACATCGCATAATTATAGTTATGCATCACTTAACGGGGACACGTTCTGAGAACTGCGTCGTTTGGTGGTTTTGTCATTGTGTGAACATCAGAGTGCACTCACACACACCTGGAGGGTGTAGCCTCCCATGCCCCTAGACCAGCGGTTCTCAACCTTTCACAGGGATTGCCTAAGACCATTGGAAAACACATATTTTCGATGGTCTTAGGAACCGAGACACCACTCCTCTATCTGTCTCCAGGCCCACATGCAGATACGCCCACATATGAGTACCCGGCGACCCCTGTGAAAGGATCGTTCGGACCCCCAAAGGGGTCGCGACCCACAGGTTGAGAACCGCTGCCCTAGACTGTGTGGTACGGAGCCTTTTGCTCCTGGGCTACAAGCCTGTCCAGCACATCACTGTCCCCGCTATACAGTTTAGGCTTAAACGTGGAAATCTGGAAAGAAATAGGCTGTATTTAAGGACCTGGGGAGTCCCAGATACTCACTTATTTTATTGCAGTTCACATAGATGCTTTGAAGTTCTGGGGAGCACAGCTTTTCTATATCACGGTAATCAAAGTATTTGCTGACACTCATTGCAAAGTTGTAAGATGGAAGCATCATTAACACAGTTTCTATGAAGGTTTGCAAGGAGTCGGTCAAGTCAAAGACTGTGATTTAGAAGATAGATGAGCTTCAATAATAAGAAAGTAATGAAACTCCCATAACAACAAATTTCCCCAAGATGATTAAACCATTCTCAGAGAATTACCAATCTAGCAGATGGTCTTTGAGAAAACACCCATTATTGTGTCACTGAGCTTGTTCACCTTGATAGCTGGTAGCGTGGATTTGTCAATCACAGCGTTCAAGAGAAGAACACTTACTGTGAAGGGAGCTGGCAGGACTGGAAGTTGCTCTGGGTGAGTCAGTGAGTGAGGGGTGAGTGGATGTGAAGGCCCTGGACGTGACTATGCATGACCGTGGGCTTTATAAACACTGTCCCACAGCCCGACACAGAACATGGAAGCTGTCAGTGCCGCTCCATGAACTGGGATGTGGGCTGGATGGACTGGAAGTACTGAGGAGGAACTGGCTGGGTGGGGCACACACCACTGTAACAGTGACTGCGGGAGGGAGCCAAAGGTGGCCTGAAGACCAGGAGTAATGAGAAATCGAGATGGAGAGATTGAGGCGCACAGGGGACTGTCGGGGCAGTGTGTTTTTGGCTACTGCATGTTGGAGCAGCGGTCAGAGGAAGGAACTCGGTGATGATATTCATTACAAAACGTGGGTGTTTCACATCAAGAGGGTGTATTTTGACTTTGGAAATTTGTGTTTGGTCCCATTGACGCTACCTGGCATAAAAGGCTCTCTCTGGCACTGAATTGATGGAAGAAATAAAACATATCTATGCTTTCATTAGTACAACCTAAAATACTGTCAAAGTTCAGGAACAGGCTGGCTGCACCCTGCCACAGAAAGCTTTTACTTAAGAGGCGGTTACGCCTAATACTTGTCAAGGATGCTCCTGTGGACCTGAGTCCTCGTGCAGGATCTGACGTCCTCAACAAAGCATGGACAGCAGTGTACTCTGAAGACCATCAGGCGAGAGCTGGGCGGCTGTGGTGCCCTCTGGGCATGGAACGCTGGGGGATAGGCTCCTCTGTGCCCAAACAGGTCAGTGGCTGACTGAGCAGGATGGCAGCTGTGCGCTCAAATCTGGGCTGCAGTGAGTAAGAGGGAATCTACTGCCAAGCCACACAGATATTGCTCCTGTCAGAGAAGAAAAACTCCTCCTGAACCACATGTCCCTCTGTTTCTTCCAGGAAATTCAGCTCCGTGATGCTCTCCTGGGACCACCAGCATCTATGTGGTGGTGTTGACCGAAACATCCTTATGCAGCCCGTGACTGTAACAGGGCGGACCACTGGTAGACGCTACAGATAGTGTAGCCCATTCAGGAGCGAGCATGAAGGCAGGGCCCTGCTTGGCTTTGAGCTGGCTGTGCAGGGGCTCAGGGCTTCCTCATGTGGTGTAACCCTACTCTCTGGAGAGGTGTGCGAAACAAGAAAGCTGTGCTCGGGCCACACGCTACGTTTCACTTGGTGTGTGGCCGATGCCGAACGCAGGCATCTGGAGGAGTCTTTTGGTAGGGTTCTGCCTCCGCAGGCAGAGCTGAATGGATTAACACAGTTCAAAGTTCAAGTTTACATAGAAATTCAACAAAGGAATGTTCTAAAGACAAACAAATGTCATTTGTGCTAATAATGACCAGCAACTAGCCTCTCTTGAAATGTCAGAATCAGAAAAGGGCGATGGGGAGAACCTACTCCTGGAACCCTTGCTAAAATCAGGCCTCAGAGGAAGGGAAAATGGTTTAAGGATGATATGCTTCCTTAAAGGAGGCAGGAGTCACCCGTCTCCCCTCCTTGCTCCAAAGTGAGTGCTGTTCAGATTTAAAACTGAAGGGCCAAGCCTGGGAAGGGGTAATATTTCAAAGGAGATAAATGATTTGCACACTCGTATTGCAATCTCTTACTCTTGTAAAGTTTTCTTTCATGAAACCAGAGTAATACTAACTCAGTCCAGCTCCATCACGGGGCTTCGCCTCTCTCTCTCTCTTCTTTTCTCTTCCCCATTTCCCTTCTCTTCCTTAACCTCTGTCGCATATCCCACTCAATAAATATTTCCTGATTTCCAAAAAAGCATAGTTTTTCAGATTCCTGGAAAGTAAGTGCTTAAAATGACTGCTTTCATCCTCATTTATTTCATGCATTTCCTGGAGAAAGGGGAAATTGTGCGAGGTTCTTACCATCATATTGTATTACGATGTGAATGATGACGCTGATCTCCATCGAAAAGTAGTTAAAGAGGGTGAGCTTGACGAAGGCAGAAGCACTACTAGAAAACAGGAAGCTTCCCAGATACATGAGAGGAACAACAGACCAACCGTACAGCATAAAGATCACCATTGTGTCCAGGAAGTGGTAATGTTCAACGAGGTAGTTGACTCTGTAGTATTTGAACACTCCCTGAGACAGAGGCAGAGGGAAAGGGGATGTAAAGAACACAGTGTCATAGGAAATCAGGCCAGAACAAGGAAACAGCACTCATGGCGGTCAGGAGTGCACAGGACCATCCATTACTCCAATCCATTTACTCATTAAAAATAAGCTTCAGCGAGCTGGCCGAGTGGCGCGATGGTTAAGAACTGGCTTGGGATGCCAGAGGGCCCCGGTTCGGATCCCACATATGAGGGCCAGTGACACTGCCCTCCACAGCTAAGATGCTGAACAACAGCTCAACCTGGAGCTTGGCTGCTGTGAGTCGCCGGTGACAGCGTAGGCTGCAGCCCCTGTGGCAGTGGGTTGCCATGGGATACCATGTGTAGTCAGCAGCCAGCGTGAGCAGCCAGCAGCCACCTTGAGCAGCCGTCCAGAAGCTGGCAACTGATGTGCCTCGCCCAGGAAGAGCGCAAAGATGGTGCCAACTTGGGCCAGTGAAGCAACGTCCTCCACAACTAGACTGAAGAACAAAACGACAGCAACTTGTCTGTTCCCCTTCCCCCAATTCCCCAGCACTGTTCCCAACCCAATTCCCCAATAAAAATCTTAAAAAAAAAAAGCTTCAGCTTATGAGCCTGAAGTAAACCACCTCTTCTTTGGTGAAGGGCTTTCATGAAAGAAGGACTAGACTTCCATTTTCTGTTTTTTCCATTGGGAACAGTATTACTTTTTATATCCCTCCTCCCCACCCCCCATGATTAAAGTCAAAGTAATTATGTCTGCATTAAGCCCAAGTTTACACTCTTCCAGAAAAGGAAGTAGACTATTTCTCCGCTGTAGCAGTCTGTGGCCTCCCTGGCAGCACTCCCCACATTTAGACCGCTTCCTGGCTCTACTCCTGCCTCCAACCCTCTTCTTCAGTGACTCCGGGGCTTCCTCATTCACTTATTTCTTATTCCACTGGCGAATCAGACAGGGAACCATACATTTAGAAGGGGGCTAGATTAGGAAGACGGGAACCTCCAGAGCTATTAAAAGAATTTTCCAGAAATATATATGATAATAGTTAGTGGATTCCAGTTTCTCTAAAGAGAGCAAGGTTATTTATTAATAGCAGGGCCACTAACAGATGGAAAGAAGGGTTAAACTAAGAGCAGTCCCTGTTACAACCCTATGATGCTCGTGCAAGTAGTTTATATTTAAGCAACAGTGTTTAAAGAAAGTATATAAAGAGAATCAGTGATCTTAAGTGAAAGAACCTGAACAGCTACAGCTATTGTTGTTTCCCCCATCCCAGTAAGAGGATGAAACAAAAAGAATAAATAAAGTCAGAAAAGAAACGGCAAGTAACCTAGGAGCAGCTTTGTTCCAAGGCTTATAATGCTTAGGGACATCTCAAATTAGAGTCTATGTCAAAGAAAATTTAAATTTCTACTTGGATACATGAAAACACATACTCTATTTTAAGATAGGGTATGACTCAACATGATAAAAATGTAAATTCTCCCTGAATCATTCTAAATAGAAATAGCAACAGATTTTTTTTAAATTAAATAAGCTGATTTTTGAAGATTACATGTAAACAAACAAAATGTGTCAAGATAGCCAGGAAATTCTGCAGAAGAAGATGAATGGGGAGGTGAGAAAGGTCAATCCAAAAAACATGATTAAATGTATTATAAAACTACCATAATTAATAAGATTGGTAGTGGCACATTACAGACACATCAATGGAATCAAGAATACAAAATAAACTTAAATGCATAATGTTAGTTCATATACATAAAAAAAACAGTATTTCAAATCAGTGGGCTATCAACATAAGGTGTAGAGCAATACGTTAGCTATTTAGAAAAAAAATAGAATCCTTACCTGGCTCTTTACTGAAACATAAGTTCATGAATGAGGAGGAAATAGCAAAAGATGAGCCAGGCAAAGTAAGCTCTGCCCAATGCACGATGGCCTGATGGGCCATTAAGTGAGCTGTACAATGAAGAAAACAGTGTATCTCAAGGCTCATGAGAGACATATCGCCAAAGTGATATTGACTTAGCTTGTCGAACCCCTTGGTGAGGCCAGTCATTTTAATACTCATTAGAACTTAAGCTCATCCAGAGATGAACCCTTATCTATCTTCCCTGTGCTGCATCCATATGCCTAAAATACAGACTAGCGTACAGCCGGAGCTAATCCATAAATGTTACATGTTCAGGAAGATGGGACTTAGAAATGTGTCCTATAGGACATCTAGAGGTCATGAAGAAAGGCACACAGGCTGCATGAGAAAGAAGCCTCACCATTCTGCACCTCTGGCAACAACTCATGAGAAAAGTTACTTGTTCTGCTTTCCCGAGTCTTCACGCATGGGCTCTCCAACTGGAAGACTACAAGGGAGAAGCACTGCCACAGTATGGTTTCCACAGAATATTCTCTGGCATAAGAAGCCAAAGTAGTTTCAAACTTCTTTACGAGTTTTACTTAGGATCCAATTGGCTGCATAAGGGTTGCCTGTGGGTGACACAGGAGAATCGGCCTTTCCAGAAGGTCCGCGAACACTCACCAGGAGTAAGCAGCAGGGGATGAAGAAGCAGATGAGGTCGCACAGCAAGGCCGAGAGCCAGTACGTGAGCACATAGGCCCCACTCACAAACTGGACGTGCTTTGCTTTCGTGGTCCTCTCCATCACTGTCTGGGAGCCAAAGCCAGCGACCACAATGGCCATGCCAAAGGTCAAACACCTCATTATGTGTAATCCATCCGTAGGCCTGCCCAAGAGGGAATGAAAAATGAAATAGACAACGATGAAATCCAAGTAGAAAATGAGGGTTTCAGTAGCCAATTTCAAATGTATATGACCACGGTGTAAGGGGACACAGTGGTGTAAGGGGCTCAATTCCAGGAAAAGGAGTCATACATACACCAGGTGAGAGCTATACAGAGGGAGAGGCTGGGGCTTGTTGGAGACTTTGATGGAAGCAGTGGGGCCAGAAAGGGACATGAAGAGAGCGTTGTCTAACACTGCCAGGGCCGTTGCAGCCGAATGGTAAGCGTCATTATTGAACAAAATAGTCAGCACTGTTTTGTTCTTCTCAACGTCAATGGAAAGTGCGATGATGGAGAAGAGGCGGCCCTCTTTACGTTCCATTAAATGCTTTTTTACATTACCTACAAGAAAGAAAGAACTGATCAGTGAGCCAACAGGGAATAAATCACCTCCTACTTATGGTGGAGAGGAAAGGCCAAACATTTTTTTTTCCCTGTTGTTTCTTCCCTTTCCAGCTTCTCACAAGGGCTATATACAATCTTTACCTTTCTCCTCAAAAATTCTATCCCATTATTAATTAATCCCTACAATAACCTCACCATATACTGCACAACTGGAAAAAAACAGTAATAAGAACTTTTTTGCTGTATTCTTGTCTAAAAGAAAGATGGTCTGTCATTTTTTTTCAAAATCATTTTGATGTTTCTAGGTCATCGGCATTTCCATACACATTTTATGATAGTATTGGCTTGTCCATTTCTGGAAAAAAAAAGTCTTCTGGAATTTTGATAGGGGTTATATTCAATTTGGGAAGAATTGCTATCCTAACAATATCTAGCCTTGCAATCTGTGACATGGAATATCTCTCCATGTATAGAACTTTAGTTTCCTTCAGCAATATTTTAGAATTTTCAGTGTACAAGTCTTGCGCTTCTTTACTTACATTTATTCTTATTTTATTCTTTTTGATGCTATTGTGAGTTTTGGCAATTTGTGGTTTTCTTCCTCCTAGAAATGTGTCCACTTAAGTTGGATTTTTAAAAATTCCAGTCTGAGAACCTCTATGTTTTGGGGTGTTTACTTCATTTACATTTAATGTAATTACTGATATGCTAGGCTTTGGGTCTGCCACTTTGCTATTTGTTTTCTATATCTTATCTCCTTTTTGTTTTTGTTTCTTCACTACTGCCTTTTTGTGTTAAATATGTTTTATAGTGTACCCGTTAAATTCTGTTGTTGCTGGTTTTTAGTTATTTTTGCAGTGGTTGCTCTGGGAATAACAATATGAATCCTAACTTAAAACAATCTAGTTCAGATAAATACTGATTTGCTTCCGATAAAGTATAGAAATTGTGTTTCAATGTAGCTCCCTTCCCTCCTCTCACCTTTGTGCTATTATCATAGTATAAATTATATCTAGTTAAACATAGTTTAATGGTTTTGTAATTATTGTTTTAGGCAGTTGTCTTTTAAATCAGTTATAAAAAGAGTTAAACATACATTTATACTGTCTTTTGTATTTATTTACGTAATTATTGTTGCTGGTACTCTTGATTTCTTTGTATGCATGACTTACCGTCTGGTGTCCTTTCATTTCAGCCTGAAGAAATCCCTTTAGTATTTCTTACAGGGAAGGTCTACTGGTAGTAAATTCTCCCAGTGTTTATCTGGGAGTGTTTATTTCGTCTCCATTTTTGAAGGAGAAATGTGCTGGGTATAAGTCATTGACAGTTTTTTCTTTTAGCACTTGAATCATCCCAGTGTCTTCTGGTCTCCAGGGTTTCTGACAAAAAGTCAACTGTTAATCTTATTGCTAATCCCTTGATGTAATAAGTCATTTTTCTCTTCTGCTTTCACGATTTTCTCTTTTTCTTTGACTTTCACCAGTTCAATTATTGGATGTCTAGGTGAGGATAACTTTGAGTTGATCATACAGAGTTTATTGAGTTTCTTGGATGTGAAGGTCATTTTTCATCAAATTTGGGAAATTTTCAGCCATTATTTTTTCAAATACTTTTCTGTCCTTTTATCGCTCTCCTTGCCTCTGGCACTTCCATTATGCATATGTTGGTATGCATGTTGTTGTCCCACAGGTCTCAGAAGCTGTCCCCTCCCCACTGTGTGTGTCTGTCCGTCTCTCTCTCTCTCTCTCTCTCTAACACACACACACACACACACACACACACGCACGCACGCACGCACGACTTCATTCTGTTCTGCAGACTGGATAATCTCTATGGACCCACCTTCAATTCAGCTGATTCATTCTTCTGCCAATCCAAGTCCATTGTTGACCCCCTCTGGTGAACTTTTCATTTCAGTTATGCCTTTCAAGTACAGAATTTCCACTTTGTTAAAAATTATTTATATTTCTTTATTAATATTTTCTTCTTAGAGATCCATAGTTGCCATACTTTCCTTTAATTCTTTAAACGTATGTCCTTTAGTACTTTGAAAATACTTGTAACAACTGATTTAAAGTCTTTGTCTACTAAGTTCAGTATCTGGTCTCCCCACTGGCTTTTGCCTGCCCCCCATGTATGGGTCATGCTTTTCTGTTTCTTTCTGAATTAGTTTTCTGAGGTTGCCAAAACAAAGTATCACAGACTGGGTGGCTTAAATACCAGAACTAAATTTTCTCACAGTTCTAGAGACTATAAATCTTGATCAAGGTGTTGCCATGGTTGGTTCCATCTGAGGCCTTTTTCCTTGCCTTGTAGATGGCTGTCTTCTCCCTGTGTCCTCATATGGTCTTCCCTCTGAATGCACATCTGTGTCCTAATCTCCTTTTCTTATAAGGATACCAGTCACACTGACTGGATTAGTGCCCAACCTAATGACCTCATTTTAACTTAATTACTTCTTTAAAGACCCTATATCCAAATAGTCACATTCTGAGGTACTGGGGGCTAGGACTTCAATTTTGTAGGGACATAATTTAGGCCATAACTCTTTCCCTTCTCTTTCTGTTGTTGCTAAAAACTGGACATTTAAGATAGTGTAACAACTGTGGTTGTTACTCCCTTTCCTACCCCTTGTCTGTTGTTACTATTATTTTTTATTTGCTTCTCATTTTGTTAGTGACATATGTGGACTAATTCTATAGATGCTGCTTCTCATTTTGTTAGTGACATATGTGGACTAATTCTATAGATACTAATTCTATAGATACTAAATCTATAGATATAGATTCTCTACAGTGTGCAGCCACTTATTTCTCTGATAGAGTTTAAAAAAGTTCTGGCTTTTATTTTATACTTCCCCGGGGGTCAGCCCTGGGTATGTATAATTTACTAAATAGCTAAAAGGTTTCTTTAAATGCCTAGAGCCAGTAAGTATTTCACCTGTTGCCAAAGGGATCTGTGTATGAAAGCACACCTTAACATTTCAGGCAGTTTCCAAGTCAGCCTCAACTTTCACTTCTTGCTTGTACAGGCCTCAGCATCAACTAGTAACAAGTGACTGGAGCCTGCTCCTTTCCTAGGTCATTTCTGGCCATGTGCACTACCATTCTGAGCCTTCTAGATCCCCAGGAATGTCACAGCTTTTCAAAGTTAAATCCAGGTATTCCTTTAAAATTATTTTTGGCCAGGCTCTTGTTTGACCCAATAGCCTCAGGCAACGGGTGGTGATGCTATCAGCAGACTGCTATTAGGTTTAGTAACGCCCTAAGGGTGGGTTTTTTTCCAAAGAGCCCAGCTCTGATTCAAATCCAACAGCAATAATGCCCGGACAGGAGGTTTTTCAGGGAGCTGCTATTTCAAAGTATTGACGGTGCTCTAGAGATGGGGCTTTTCACAGAGCGCTAAAAAGATCAGTCCTGTTAACTGTGTAGCTACTGACTTTTCATGGCTACCACACTCTTGATCTGGGGAGGGAGAGTGATAGTAAATCTCCTAAATTAAAATGCCATAGACCTTATTATTTTTATATAGTTTCTTTTTTTTTTAATAGACACTTTTTAGTTTGTTCTGTGCTTTTGGTTAATTTTCAGTGTTCTAAATTGTTTGATATTAAAGAATTGCTCTCCAAGTATTTTTGTGGCTTTTGTTGGAGAATGGGCTCATTCTACCATACCCAAAATTCAAATTCTCCAACCACTAGGTTTTGGGGCAATTTGTTACACAACAATAGATAACAAATAAGCTATGTAAAAGAGTTGTTTTTAGCATTAAAAAATATTAATGCAAAAAAAAGTGCTCGATATGGTTTTTACCAAAGGTAAGCACTGAAAAAATTTAGTTATTTATGCTATCTTCAAAAAATTAGTTCTGAGGAGTCAATCTATTAAGTCTTCAGTCACTTGTTTTTAGAATGGCCAATACAGTAGACTAAAGGACAACCTTCAGATCTTGGAACCAACATTTCACCACATGAGAGCTTAGAGATATGTTTTTTGTATTCTGGTCAAAATAAAAAGTCCACGCTAAATCAATCAACAACATAGTATTGTGGCTCTTTACCCAACCTCTGGAAGGTGATGATGCAATTAGCTAAAAGACCACCTACAGCCAAGACGTTCCATTAATTATTAACTTCTGTGGCCAGTTGTCTTGAAGTGTACATTTTTTTCTTTTGCCTCTGATTTAGCTGCCTCTAAGATATTGGTAATTCACAGGAAAAGGAAGAAATGGGTAGCTAAATACCATGGTTAAGTCCTTTCTTTGCAAGTGATACAAACAGGTCTTCACATACCAGCAGTCTCTTTCCTTCCTGTGGGTCTTACCTTGCACTTCACGAAATACTTGATTCTGAAGGTTAAGAAAAAACTTAAGGCTCTTTATGAGTTTCAGAGCCAAATCAGAATTCCCTGAAACTGAGTAAGGCACAATTGTTTGTCCATATTGACTCAAATCCATCTCTCTTGTGGGCAACTCAGATTTTAAGTTTTGACCTGTTAAGAGATGTGCAGTGACAACCAAAATTACTAATATTTGTAGCAACATCAGCTTCCAGTTGCGCCAACTGAATAGTGCTCTCTTTATAAACATCGAATGAAATTGCTGGCAGTAAAGTGGAAACTAAAAAGAGAAGAGAAACACAGTATTAAAATCGTTGGTGACTCAAGCAGGATATTTATATTGGAATCCATTAATATAAAGGCTTCAAATTTTGTAGCAGAAGACATACACATATAATACAAATATATCCTTAATTGGACCCAAGAAAACAAGATGGAATGAAAAGTTTTATTTATGTAAGGTACTAGGGGAAAGCATTAAGATCAGGTTTCTAATCTGCTACATGGCAAATCTTATCAAGATGATTTTATTCATTAATATACTTGTAGTATTTCTCATCAGGAAAACAAAATTACATTTTTTTACTTAATTTTACCATAATTTATTTCTCCATTTAAAAAGGAAATATCCCCATAAAACGTGCGTGCAACTATTATCCTTTGCTAGGTTTTAATACACAAACTATAACTCATAGTGAAAAAATGCCCCCAATCTCATCAACCAATATCTGATTACAACTGTCATAATTCTTGGGGAAAATTTATGAGAAAATGACTGAGAGCTTTTCAAAGTGATTCAGAAAAATAACAATGGTGAGAGTAGAAGCTGTGACCTTTATCTATTGGGTTGTCGGAAAAGTCATGACGCATTTTTGCAACAAAAAAACAGAAAAAATATGTCATGACTTTTCTGACAACCCAATATAATCCATTACTCCTGCATCAGGAAACTTCATCTGGCTGGGTCATCTATGGCTAAGCTCCAAACATCTTTTAAGTTCAGATAGTAAACAAAGTGTACATTTTATACCCAAGCCAAACATGCTAGGTTTAAATTCTTAGTAAATATGCTCACCCCAGTATTAAATTTAATGGTAGCAATTTCATTCAATCTGGAAAAAATCGGTGTTGGGTAACATCTGGGTATACTCATATTCTGCATCATGTCTTGTCTTATTTTTTGGCTCATGAAGGAAGAGGACTCGATAGGCTGAGTATCCTTTTGGGAATCTGCCAGTTTACGGACCCTACATACACACAGGTACACACAAAAAAGCACAAAACACTTCATTTTGGCTATAGCCTCAGTCTAGTGTATTTGGGGAATGTCAAACAAGGTTCCGAGGACGTCTTGTTTTTCCTCACGTATTGTCAGGTGTATTGTTTTGAGACAGCATAACAGTTGCTCCCAATAAAGCAGTCAGAAGGCTAACGATGATTCACAGCAAAGTTTCAACAGTTCTGAGAAATGTTTTACCATGAGATAAAAGCTGTACTGTATTGTATGTTTTATTGACTTGAACATCCAAGTAAAAGACTTACCTTTAATCAAAGATAATAACTCTCCCTTGAGGGTTAAAATGTTCTTTATTTTATGGAATGATGGGGACACTGGTAGGTTTTTTTTTTTTTGAACCCTTACATTTCCTACTACCGCCTATGTCTGAAGCTGAGTCTTTGGGTGTAGATACTTGACAAAACTAAAGAGATGTACCCAAGTAATGATAACCTATGGAGAAAACTGCTACGTAGAATAATAGAAAAAATAGATATCAGAGTATATTGAGAAACAGGAAAGATTAATTACATCAGTTGAAGTGGTAAAACACTTGGTAGGAAATACATGATTTGAAAGGTGTAGTTTTTCTAAGCCACAGAACTATCAAAACCTTTTTAATACCTTCCTGTTCGCTTCTCTATGGAAAATAACATCAATACATTCTGAGCTGTGACATTCACAAGTAATGAGCACATCGGTGACTTCTGCACCCTTTAAAAACCACATATCAAATACATATTAAAAAGCCTGCTTTAAAATATCCCTGTAGCATCTTTGCTTGATTGATACTAAAAGGTTTGAGGACTATTAGGCCTTTAAAATATAATCATTGAATATTTTTCTTTGTCAATTTCCTCAACTTTTTATTGTTCATATTTTAATCACTGATAATGCATTTCTATTAGGAAATCATCAGAAAATATAAATTAGCAAAAGGAAAAAAAATGCCTATTATCTAGAGATAACTCTGATGAGATATTTTCCACAAACAACACATCCTCTTTTAAAAGTGGTATCCAAATTGTGTTTAGTCCATTTACATGCAAAGTAATTACTGATATATTTGGGTTTATATCTAACATCTTTGTAACTTGTTTTCTATTTATCTTCTATTTCCCAGCTTTATTGAAGTATTATTGACAAAATTATATATATTTATGGTATACAACATGATATACATATATTTAAATTGGGGAACAGTGTGTTTTTCCAGGACCCATCAACTCTAAGCCAAGTAGTTGTTCCAATCTAGTTGTGGAAGGTGCAGCTCAGTGGCCCATGTGGGGATGGAACCAGCAACCTTGGTGCTATGAGCACTGTGCTCTAACCACCTGAGCTAACCAGCCACTCCAGAACGTGATATTTTGATATACACATATGTACACATTGTGAAATGATTACCACAATCAAGCTAATTAACACATCCATCACCTCACGTAGTTACCTTTGTATTTTTGGTGATAAAAACACGTGCGATCTACTTTCTTAGCAAATTTCAAATTTACAATACATTATTATTAGCTATAGTTACCACACTGTATCTGTGGACACCTGTATGTCTCCTGAAGTTATTCATCTTATATCTGAACGTTTCTACCTTTTGACATTTCCGATTTCCCCCACCACCTAGCCCCTGGTAACCACCATTCTACTCTCTGAGTTCAACTTATTTAGATTCTGCATATAAGTGAGATTATGAAATGTTTGTCTTCTGTATCTAGCATATTTATTTCACTTAGTATAATGTCCTCCAGGTTCACCCATGTTGTCACGAATGGCAGAATTTGTGCACAAAAGCTTCATGACATTGGATTTGGCAATGGTTTCTTGGATATGATACCAAAGGCACAAGCAAAAAAAGAAAAAATAGACAAATTGGACTTCATGAAAATGAAAAACTTTTGTGCATCAAGACAATATCAACAGAGTAAAAATGCAACCCACAGACAGGGAGAACGTGTTTGCCAATCATATAGCTGGTAAGGGATTACTATCAAGAATATATAGAGAAATTCTAAAACCAAACAACCTGTTTCAAAATTGGGCAAAGGGTTTGAACAGACATTTCTCCAAAGACGACATACAAATGGCCAATGGGCACATGAAAAGATGCTCACCATCACTAATCACAAGGGAAATGTAAATCAAAACCACAGTGAGACATCACCACACCCATTAGGATGGCTACTATCAAAAAAAAAAAAAAAAGAAAGAAAAAACAACAAGTGGTGAGAATGTGGAGAAATTGGAAACTTCGTGCACTGTTGGTGGAAATGTAAAATGGTACAGCCACTGTGGAAATCAGTATGACATTCCTCAAGTATTAAAAATAAAATTACCGTATGATTCAGCAATTCCAATTCTGGGTATATTCCAAAAAGTATTGAAGGCAGGGTCTCAGAGAGGGATTTGTACACCCATGTTCTTAGCAGTGTTATTCTCAGTAGCTAACATGTGAAAGCAACCCAAGCATCCATCAACTGATGAATGAATGAGAAAAATGTATACATATAATGGGATATTATTCAATGTTGAAAAGGAAGGAAATTCTGCAGTATGCTACGACATGGATGAACCTTGAGGACACTAAGTGAAACAAGCCAGTGACAAAAAGACAAATAATGTATGACTTCACTTATATAAGACACTTACAGTAGCAAAAATCATGAAGACAAAAAGTGCAATAGTGGTTGCCAGGATTAGGGGTAGGGGAAAATGGAAAGTTGTTTAATAAAAGATATACATTTTTGGTTTTACAAGATGAAAATAGTTATGGGGATGGATATTGGTGATGGTTACACAACACTGTGTACGTATTTACCACCACCGAACTGTATACTTAAATATGTTCAGGATGGTTAAGTTTTATGTTATATGTATTTTAATGAAATTAAAAAAAGGGGAAAAAAAAGGTAAGAAAGGCAAACATTGACAATAACCCCTAGGAGAGACAACCTAGGTGTTACAGTCCAAAGTTTTAACCTGTAATTCCCAGTGGCAAGTAGAGCATCTGTTGTGGAGACAATGGCTTTAAATCACATTAATTCATTCACTTTTCATCTAAGAACATTTCTGAGTATCTCTTATGTGACAGACATTGTTTGAGGCCCCAAGTAGTCAGTGAGCAAAACGGACGCGGTCCCTGCCATTATGGAGCTTGTTCTAACTGTGATCACAAAGTAACTTGCTCATTATGATTTCGCTCCCTGTGTAGTTTGCCCAGACAGACAGGAGAACGTTCGATTGAATAGCCAAGAGGCCACTTCTTATTATAAATTATTCTTATTATAATTTACTTACCATAAATTACTGATGCAGCTTATTCATTTATATACATCCATTATTTTTTAACTTAATCCATGTGAATAAATTATCCCAAGTCAACTTTGATATACTGATAATATTAATTTAAACCCCTGAGTCTGAGGGAATGAAGTCTAGACATCACTCTGTCATAACCTTGCCAGAAGAAAAGGACATTCTGGGACAGCCTGAACTCCCTGGGCATTTTCTTTTCTTTTTTTTCACAGTGCAAGACACAAATTCAATAAATCATGTACAAATTAAATAATTATAAAAACATGGTTAGATCAAAAATTTAAAGTCATTTCTAGTACAGACTCCAAGTCAGAACTAGAACTTTTCCTATGATGATACCAATATTAATTTTTTTTTCCAACTCTTAAATCACAAAAAGACATACGCATCTAGGCCCAAGCTCAAAATCTTTACACGTTCTCAGCAGACTATGTGGAAAAGAGTAGCATAAAATATTAACATATTTGAAGAAAATCTTTAACTGACTTTATTCCTATGCAAATAGGGCGGGGTTTGCTCTCTAGATGATGTAGAACCTTAGTGGTGGAAGTTGTTTTTTTTTTTTAAGGTCATTATTACTCACTTAAGGAAGACTTCTTCCATGGTTGTGATGGAGGCATCAAAGCTGGAAATGCCCAGCTCTTTTTGTTCTATCTCCAGATCATTAAGCAGAGCTGTAAACCTGGAAAGAGAAAGAAAAAAAGACAGTACTAGCACTAGCTTAGATACGTTTTCTTTTCTCTTTTTAGTTCATTTTATTTTCCAGTAAGTAGAATTTTTAAAGAATACGAGCACTTACGTTTTTTTCTCCGTTCAATACTTAATTATATCCCCAATTGTATATCCCTATTGTTTTGTAAAATTTTTATTCTGGTAGAATACGTAAAACATTCAATTTTCCATTTCATCGTTTTAACTGTACAGTTGAAGCAGCATTAGCACATTCACTGTGTTGTGCAACCATCACCACCATCCATTTCTAGAACTTTCTATCGTAAACTGAAACTATGTACTCATTAAAAAATAACTCCCTATTCCTCCCTTCCCTCAACTTCACTTTTACTGTCTGTCTCTATGAATAAGCCTATTCTATGTGCCTCATAGAAGCTGGAATCCTACAGTATCTTTCCTTTTGTGTCTGGCTTACTTCTCATCACAGAAGTCTTTCAAGGTTCACCCATGTTGTAGCATGCATCAGAATTTCATTCCTTTTTAAGGCTAATAATCACTAATATGTGAATATACGAGTTGCTTATCCATTCATTCAATGGACATGTGTGCTGTTTCTACCTTTTGGATTTTGTGAAAAATGCTGCTATGAACACTGGTGTACAAACATCTGTTCAAGTTTCTGCCTTCAATCCCTTTGGGTTGGTTTTTTTGTTAGATGAATTTTCAATATGGTTTTGTTCCATAATAATGTCTGGTTATCCATGGGAAAAATGCTTTGTCGCTCGTTCTTTCACTGCAACGCTTATTGTGAAGCAAATGGAAATAAAGGATGTTTACCTTAGCAAATTTCTCCCCACTGTAACTTGATCTTTAATATAAACGTTTATTCTTCTCAAGAAATTATCAAATTATTTTCTCTAAGTGTTAAAGACTATAGCTAGTGGATAAAAGTTAATTTATTCACATGTTGCTCCTACAGCAAATGCAAAAGAGTTCTCAAAGTACAGGAGGTACAAATCACTAAATGACAGAAAACGGCATCAGTGAAGCCGAAGCCGGCATGAACAGAGATTTAATTAAATAAGTGAATTGTATGGAAGTTTTGCTAATTGTGGTGCAGTTACATCAGGGATTCTAAAGAATAGTTTTACCAGGAAGAATTAACATTGTTGTAGGTTGGAAAGATCTCCAGAAACCAATTTTGGTACCAGAGTAATACTGGCCTTATAAAACAAGTTTGGAAATGTTCCCTTTTCTCACATTTTCTAGAATAGTACAGAATTGCTATTTTTTCTTCTTTAAATATTTAGAATTCATCCATAAGTCTATCTGGTCCTGGAATTTTTCTCTGTGGGAATGTTTTAAAGTAAACATTCAACTTTTTTAATAAATAAAAGAGGTTTTTTTTTTTGTTTTTTTTTTGTTTTAGCTGAGCTATCCTTCCACCCATTGGCAGCACGGTGGCAGCTCAGCTCGGCTGGGAATCTAACTGCTGTTGCTCAGGCTTTGCACTCCTGAGTGAGCTCTTAACCAACTGAGCTACTTGGCCGGCCCCTAAATATTTCTTCTTAAGTCAATTTTGGTAATTTGTGTCTTTCAAGGATTTTTTTTCTATTTCATCTAAGGTATCAAATTTATAGGCATAATTGTTTATAATATTCGATCAGTTTTTTAAATATGTTATCTGTAGAGTATGTGATGATATCATCACTCATTCCAAATATACATAATTTGTGTCTTTTCTCTTTTTCTTTCTGATCAGTATGACTGAAGTTTTACTGAATGAACTGGTCTTCTCAAGAACCAGCTTATACGTTTGTTTAAAAATCTTGTTACTTTTGTTAACCACAATCAATAGATTAGAATATAGGCATTGGGGTTATAAGTATTGTTTCTAAGTCTCTTCCTCATTGTTTTTTTTTTATGTAGATACACATGTGTAAAGCATGTAGAGCTGAGCCCAGCACAAAGCAAATTAACACTTAATTAAGCCATCAGAATCTTGGAAATAACCAAGGACTCGTCACTTTTTTATTTTCCTACTATCGTGAACTATTCTATGGATAAATGTGCTATGGACATTTTGTTCTGGTTGTTTTTTTCCCTTTCAATAGTTGGTTTAAAATTATCCTGTTAAAGAAAACTTTATTCTGAACATTTCCCCCCAACTTCATGATTTGCATCCTATGCTATATTAGATCCACTGTCCATGGTCCAGAAATCCACATCTAATGTGTTGATGTTATGTGTGACTAGTTATTCATTCTGCAGAAATTCTCCCTTTCTGTCTTCCATGTCCAAAATATTTAGCGGGAATACAGGATGAAAGTAGCACTTGTTTCTAAATCCTTACATTTCCTACCTTATACTTAATATTAACCATATATTGATGTTTCCTGGTTTCTTTCTTTCTTTTTTTTTTTTTTAAAGATTTTTATTGGGGAATTGGGGGGATGGGAACAGTGCTGGGGAATTGGGGGAAGGGGGACAAGTTGCTGTCATTTTTGTTCTTCAATCTAGTTGTGGAGGATGTTGCTTCACTGGCCCAAGTTGGCACCATCATTGCGCTCCTCCCGAGCGAGGCAGATCAGTCACCGGCTTCTGGACGGCCGCTCACTGCGGCTGCTGGCCGCTCATGTTGGCTGCTGGCCGCTCATGTTGGCTGCTGGCAACACACGGTAGCCCATGGCAACCCACTGCCACAGGGGCTGCAGCCTACGCCATCGCCGGCGACTCATGGCAACCCAGCTCCAGGTTGAGCTGTTGTTCAGCATCTTAGCTGTGGAGGGCAGTGTCACTGGCCCTCATATGTGGGATCCGAACCGGGGCCCTCTGGCATCCCAAGCGAGTTCTTAACCATCGCGCCACTCAGCCGGCCCTCCTGGTTTCTTCTGATCTTGTCATTTGTATACATATGATACTGGATGGCAGATGTGCTTGTCAGTTTAAGCAGCGTCTCTAACACTTTTCTTCTGGAGACACCCCACTTCCAGATTTATAGTTGCCAGACTGCGCTAAGAGTACCCAACAGAACAGGTCTTCTAACTCTGCTGAATGAATGTTCACATGATGAATGTCCAGGTGTAGTTTTCCACTTCCCTTCCTGTCCCTCATGACTAGGGCTGAGGTTCACCGGAGCTGTCTCAAGACCATTCCATGTTCCTGCTTCTCAAGGAAGGTTCAGATTTACGCTCTGAATAAACACAGCTCCCATGGAGCATTTCCTCTTCTTTTTATTCCTCTCCTCGGATACAAGTGTTTATGTTCATCTCTCTTCATTTATTAGAATTTTGCGTGCTTGACTCCTGGTGCTATTTCCTTCATTCTACCCAGGGGCTGTATATCAGATGGAAGCAGAGCAATGTCCTGATGTCCTTCATCCCTCCTTGTGTACGGCAGCCACCGTGCATTCACAGGACATCTCCATAGTAATAACTTCAGACGAGATGATGAAAATGACACACTCCCTCAAGGTCAATGATGATCAGTACTCTTAGCTGGGGTGGTAATTCCAGATAATTATCATCCTGTATTACCCTCTATAATTAATTTGGCTAATCACTGAGATAAAACTCGTGTTTTACCTGAGTCTTGTCACCTTGCTCCAAGAGTTGCCATTTAAGCTCCTTTCTTCTTTCATCTTAATATTTCCCTAGATCTTACTCACCATACATAAAATTTGTACACTATGAACATCTTGCTATTAGTTATCCCTTATTAACACCAGGAAGCTGGAGACAATAGGTTGCAAATCTCCCTCAAAAAAAAAAATTCCACAAAGAAAAATATCAACTAAGTCTTGAATGAACTTGAATTGATAAAGCAATCCCCTATTCAGTGAGAGAAATCTTCAGCTGTGAACTTCTCCACTCTAGCTGGCAAATGACAGTTCTAACTGGAGACCCGGCTTGCTGCCAAAATACTACTCACTAAGTTTCCTAAACCTGGAAAATGAAAAATGATTTCTGGTCACCCACGCCATCCATCAAGAGCTCTAAGACTCTATACCTGTGTGCATACTCTTTGGGTAGGATAAATGATAATTCAGCTCTAGTATACTTTTCCAAAATGGCATCGGGAACATGAAACTGAATCATTGCCACGATCTTTCCCACATCCCGCTGTGGTTCTGTCTCCAGGACTATGTGATACGCGGCACCTGAGAGAAATCATTTAGAAGACCAAATGAAGCAGTTTTGTACTCTTTCATCTTGGAAGACCAAATCTGGCTCTCCACGGTTCAGGTTACCTAGGTCCACAAAGAAGGAGACATGGCATGTCACAAGACATTTTGTCATGACTTTAGGGAGGCTCATACCTAAATTTTCCAAATGTTGCTCCAGGAACTAAGATATTGTATAAATAGCAACTTCCTCTGTGATTTCAATATTTTTCTTAGTAAACAATAACAACTTACTGTATACAACCAGATACAACAGATGAATGCAGAAAGACCCCTGTTTTCTGGCTACTTAGACATTTTGAATCTGCAATCAATTTTAATATTCATTTATTATCATTGATTGTCCACTATATATCAGGCATTATTCTAGACCCTGGGGAAACAGCAATAAACAAAGCATATAAAAAAACTCCTGCCCTCATAAGAGCTATTTTATAGACAAAGGGGACAGATAATAATAAAGAGTAAGTTAAAATATCTAGTGTTAGAAAAAAATAAAGCAGAGAAGGGAGATATGAAATGTTGAAGGAAGGTTGTTGAATTTAAGAAAGCCTAACTCAGAATGTGATTTTTGATAGAGACTTGAATGAAATCAGATAACTATTGTACTTAATTAGTGCTTTGCCTATACAGAGAAATTATTTTCTGGAATGAAAGGAAAAAAATCATTGTTTTTAAGTATATGCATTTCAAATGGTCGTTGCAGCTGCATTTATGTTTCCTAAGATTTTAAAAAAGTAAATAATCGGTCTTAAGCACAGATCTCTTAGCTGAGAAGTTAGTTTATTTACCTGGCTTATAGTAGAGAAGAAATGATTATTCCATTTTATAAATGAGGCAACAGACATCCAGAGAATGGAGAAACTTATCCATTATTTACTAGCTATGGGAACCAAAACTACTTTTGGTTTACTTAGAAATGATATGTAAATTGTTTTCCATTTCTCAGTAATCATAACAATAAGCTTCTCAATTATCTTGTCCTTTTAAGACTGAACAGAAAATGCCTCTTTTTGCAGAGAGGGGAGCTAGTGAGAGCTGGATGCTGATACCAACATGGAATTTTCTGTGCTACCAAAGAAGCAAACACAAACCTTAGGCTTTTGATTAAAACATAAAAAGTCCAGGTTATGCATATTTAAAGTTTGGCATCTATAAGAAGGGACCTGACTGTCCCAAAGTATTATAACTTTTAAAATATCTAGTTTCATATTATGTACTATTTTGCCAATAATAAGTAGTTAATGATATTAGAAATTATTATCAATGATTTATCAAAAGCATAGCTGTTTAAATCACGTGGCTCATAACCCAGGTGCATCCAATTCATATGGAATAAATCTAATTTCGGATGTATAACCCCTTACAAGTTAATTGTACAAACTCAAACCTGTAAGGTGATCATAAACTTTGAACAACTAAATGGCATAGGACTTTAGGTGCCTTTTTGATATATCTGGGCCCCAGTTCTATACTCTATAAAATGGAGCTGTTGTTATTAATATTAAATAGAATGTATAAAGTGGATACCACCATAACCAGTATAGAGGAAATAATTAATGAGTTGAATAAACTCAATTAATGAACAAATGAATGAAGAAGCAATTCATCCTTAACTATCTCCATTTACATTTACACCCTCCAATTCTGGATTCCAGTTACTATAATTTTAGCCTTCAACAATTCACTGTTGGATGTATTAGTTTTATCTCCTAAAAAAGCCATACAGTCATCAAAGTCAAGGCCCGTTTTATTCCTTGTGTGATTCGCTCCTTCTGCATTACATCCTCACTGTGCACTGCTATATGTTGGTTCTTGCATCACACTAGGGATTTGATACTAGGGTCAGAAACTAGGATCAGAGGTGACTGATTTTTCTGCTTCCTCTCAGCATCAACCAGTCAATTACTCAATAAAATAAATCTCTTTGGAGGCACAAGTGCATTTCAGAGACAAAGAAAACTGTCAGTAGGTGAGTAACAGGAGAAATAAGCATGGTCTTTGTAGGCTGATACAAGTATTTCCTGAGTCTGAAGATATGACGTGGAGAACAACTGATAAGTATAGATACAGAATATCCAGATTGCAAAGGGTCTTAAAACCAATCAGAATAGTTGAGACCTAATTAATAGGACAGAGGGAGTCGCTGAAGCTTTGGGTAATAGACAAAATATAACTTGAATCATGTTAGAGTCATATTATTACGGCATCAATATTGACAGAATGATCAAAGGGAGAGAGACCGTATATGTGTTTCAGGAAGACGGAAGAACCACAGCACTGCAGGGATCCCTTCACCATGATGGCTATGCGGTCACCCAGGATGTCAGCTTCATCCATGTAGTGGGTGGTCAGTAAGATGGTGCGATCCTGTTTGTACTGCTGAAGGAGACCCCAGGTGGCTCTCCTCGAGAGGGGGTCCATGCCAGCTGTTGGCTCGTCAAGTATCATCACCTAAAGGCCAGAGGAACAATTCCATGATCACTGATAATTGATGCCATGCTACTTGTGGGATAATTTACTATTTGAGGGGAACACATTTAAGCTAAGACACAAAATCTAGACTAAAAATAAATTCTAGGAAAAAAACAATCTCAAACCATATAACAGCTGATCCAATAATGCAGATTCCCTCTGATTACCATTGGTGGCATCCTTTAAGATTCACATCCACTCTCAGGCTTTTGTCAGTTGGGTTTCTGAACCAGCTGGCAGGAACCCATTTTTAGTGTATGTGCATGATCCTCCCCCCTTTCCTCCATCCTGTTTGTTCTTCTCTACCCCCCACCCCCACCGCTCACTCTCATTCTTTAATACCTCAGCGCCTCCTATAAATGCTATCATGATTGAGAGTTTGCGCTTCAATCCTGCACTCAGTAACTTTGAAAACGTATCACGCTTTTCTCGTAGGTTAAAAATAGACAGCATACGGTCAATTTCCACATGGTAAATCTCTTGACGTTTCCTTTTTACCTAGAAAGAGGAGCCAGAATTTACACAATACATCCAACTTTATTCTCAGGAAGTTTTTACATCATTACTTCTTATACATCTATATAGAGAAATGAAGTTTCTTGCGACTACATCCTCAAAACATTTTCCATCAGCTCTTTTCTTACATCAGCTACATAGTCTTTTCTCATTGCTTCCTTTTATGTCTAAAGGAGAGTGCCTAAAAAACAAATTTTTAGAGTTTATAAAGACACCTGAAACTCATGCACAAAGGGAGAAAACAAGCATATCTCTGCTTTCCAGGTATGGTGGAGTAAACACACACCCCTTTATCTCCCCCGGAATTCAATTATAAACCTGGAGAACTATAAAAAGCACACATCAGCAGTTGGATCAGGAAGAACACCAGAACTTGAAATGCCACTGAACCGGTGTTGAGTTTACCACATTTCCCCTAGCCTGAGCTCAACGCAATCCAAAGTCTGTAAGAGAGCATGGCAGTGGCCCATAGAATGAGGTTAAGGAGAAACCCTTTAGTTCTGGCTTGAGGAGTGGAAAAGGGAAAACTCCTAAAGCTCTGGGAGAGTGTGGGAGGGGCGATCCTATTTTTACCCCTGTTCTCTTGTGGCCGGCCCATGGGAAGTCTTGTGGGAGGTATGGTGGCCAGAGCAGAAAAGAATGGGAGTCATCCATGAGCCAGAACTCTGAGGGAGGGGAACGTTTTCATCTCAGTGGAGCCTTGGCTCCAAGAGGACAGGGCCAAACCCAGTTCCTTTTTACCTTTACTTTTTGTCTTCCTGCCACTTGGATGTGGCGTAATCATGAAAGTCAGTGATTTCTGGCTGGAGGACTGAGAAAGGAATCCTGGGGAACCAGAAGATACTGGTGAGATAAGAGGAGAGACCAGCAGGAAAGTGATACCATAAAGTTGTTTATGAACTCATGTGTTTACCCCATCATTTTCATACATGGATATAATCCTAATCAGAATACCAAAGCTTTAAAAATTATGCTAATGAATAAACCTCTACCCAAGTATGAGCAGACCAATGGGTAACACACACACAGGAGAAACTGATGAAATAGCACTGCGAAGACTTTGAAATTGACATGGGAACCACAGCCCACAGATAAGATATAAACAAGATGTAAAGTATCATGAGGTATTGTTGAAAACATCCGGGATAAAAACAAAAATCACTTGGATTTAAAAATAAAAAGTCACAAAGAGTGACAAAAATCTCATCTCACATAGGAAAAGATTATCAACAGGCATCAATGATAGGATAGCACAGATGTTGGAATTAACACAGAAAGTATTCCAAAATCATAGAAGATATAAATAAGAAACGAATGGAAATTTTAGAACTAAAAAGAAATCAATAACCAAAATAAAAAGCTCATTTGATGTACTCAACAGAATAGGAATGATGGAGGAAAAGGTTAGTAAATAATTTAAAGATAGATTGATAAAATTATCCAATCTGAACAGAAAGAAAATGATTAAAGAAAAATGAACAAAGTCGAAGGGACTTTTGGGACAACAACAAAATGTCTAACATTCATGTCATTACAGTTCCAAAAGGAGAGAAGAAAGAGTATGTGGCTGAAATACTATTTGAAGAAATAATGACTGAAAATGTCCCAGGTTTGGCAAAAGACACAAACCTACAAATTGAAGGAGCTGATTGAACTTGATGCAGATAAACTCAAAGAAATCCACACCAGATGATCATAACCAAATTCCTGAAATGTAAAGACAAAGAAAAAATGTTGAGAGAACACAGGGAAAAATGACTAATTAACTACATGGCTTCAGATGACTTTGGGTTTCTTATAAACCATGGTGTCCAGAAAGCTGTAGAAAAAACATTTTTAAGTGCTGAAGGAAAAACACCATTAACCCTGATTTCTATGTCAAGCAAAAATCTCACTGAGGAATGATGGTGAATTGAACATACTCTCAGGTGAAGGAAAACTAAGGGACTCTGTAGCCAAGAGTATTGATGTAAATGAACTGATATAGACTGTTTCTCAAACTTAAGAGAAATAATACAGGAAACATGAATGATAAAAGGATAACAGAAATGTAAATATAATAAGTATCATTTTCTTATGGTTCTTCAAACATGTTAGATAGTTTTAAGCAAAAAACATAATACTGTCTGATGATGTTTTCAATATATATAGGGTGTAATATATGACAACTATAGCATAAAGGGAGGATAGAGAACCTACAATTGGTAAGGTTTCTACTTTCCAAATAAAATTGAAAAAATTGATTCCAGGATGGCCGGGTGACTCAGTTGGTTAGACTGCGAGCTCTGAACAACAAGGTTGCTGGTTCAATTCCCACATGGGATGGTGGGCTGCACCACCCAAAACTAGATTGAACACAGCGACTGGACTTGGAGCTGAGCTGCGCCCTCCACAACTAGATTGAAAGAACAATGACTTGACTTGGAGCTGATGGGTCCTGGAAAAAAGACACCCAATAAAAAAATTAAAAAAAAAAAGATTCCAAATAACTTTGAAAAAACTAAATCTAGGACCGGCTGAGTGGCTCAGTTGGTTAAGAGCTTGCTCAAGAGTGTGAGCTCTGAGCAACAGGGTCGTCAGTTTGACTCCCGGCCTGAGCTGAGCTGCTGCTGAGCTGCCAACAGGTGGCAAGGTGGCTCAGCTAAAAACAAAAACAAAAAAAACTAAGTCTATATTTTGTAACCCCTAAAGCAACCAACAAAAATGTGCACAAGAGATGTAGCAAAAATTGCAAGGGACAAATTAAAATGTAATACTAAAAAAATGTTCAAATAACCCAAAAGAAGACTGGAAAGAGGAAACAGAAAATAACAACAACAGAAAAAACCCAGTGAGAACAAACAGAAAACAAATATTAAAATGATACATTTAAATCTAAATATAAATAATTACATTAAAAATAGTCTAAACACATCTATTAAAAGACAGAGTCTGCCAGACTGTGTAAAAAAATGATCCAACTATACGATGCCTACAAAAACTCATTTAAAATTTTATGATACAGGCAGGTTTAAAGTGAAGTGTTTGAAGAAGGTATGCCATGCAAATACAAATCCAAAGAAAGCTGGAATGGTTATATATCAGAGAAAGTTGACTTCAGAGCAAAGAGAATTACCAGAGACAAAAGAGGGACATTACATATTGATAGGAGAATCATTTCAAAAGAAGACATAACAATCTATGTGCATACACCTAACAATAGAACACAGAAAACAAAAATGAACAGAACTGGAAATAGAATAGAAAAATATAAGACTATAGGAAATTTTAATACTCCTCACTCAGTAAAAGAACTAGTAGACAGAAACCAGCAAATACACAGAATTAAACAACATCAAGTTACTGAATCTAACTGATGTTTACAGAAAATTCCAACGGAACAGCAGAAAACATCCTTCTCAAGTGCATATCAAATAGTCATCAAGATACACCATAATCCTGGGTGATTAAACCTTAGCAATTTTAAAACATTTGAAATCATACCAAGTATGATCTCTGACCAAAAAAGAATTAAACTAAAAATAACAGAAAAAAAAAGGACAACTTTCTATCATTTGGACATTTAAAAACGTACTTGTAAATGATCTGAGTCACAGAAGAAGTCTCAAACACTATAAAATATATTTTGAATTAAATAGAAATGAAAATATAACATATCAAAATTCGGGCTGGCTTAGAGGCACGTTGGTTAAGAGTTGGCTTAGGACGCCAGCTCTGAGCAGCAGGGCCCTGGTTCGGATCCAACATTAGGGCCAGTGACGCTGTGCCCTCTACAGCTAAGATGGTGAACAACAGCTCGACCTGGAGCTGGGCTGCTGTGAGGTGAGCCACCGTGGCGGCCGTCCAATGGCCGGCGAGCGACTGCCTCACCCGGGAAGAGCGCAATGATAATACCAACATGGGCCAGTGAAGCGATGTCCTCCACAACTAGACTGAAGAACAAAAGGACAGCAACTTGTCTGTTCCCCTTCCCCGATTTGCCAGCACTGTTCCCCTCCCCCATTCCCCAATAAAATCTTTAAAAAACAAACAAAATTTGTGGGGTACAGCTACAGGAGTGCTTAGAGAAAAAAATCATAGCAATAAATGCTTACATTAGAAAGTAGAAATGCTTCAAATAAATTATCTAAGCTCTGACCTTAAGAAAAAGAAAAAGAAAACCTTAAGTGAAGTAGATGGAAAAATATATATATAAGCATGAATAAATGAAATAAAAACCCAAAATGTAATAGAGAAAAATCAATGAAACTAAAAGCTGGTTCTTTGAAAACATCATGAAAATTGATAAACTTTAAGAAATAATGACAGAGACAAAGAGAAATACAACTTACCAATATCAGGAAGAAGCAAATATTATTATAGACTCTACAGACATTAAAAAGATAATAAGGAATACTACAAATGGCTGTATACATATAGCCATCAACTTAGACTTAATTGAACAATTCTTCAAAAATCACAAAGTACCTTAGCTCACCGAATCTAAATGAAATAACCCAAATATTCCTATAACTTTTAAATAAATTGAACTTGTTTTTTTCCACCTTTTCCAGAAATTTGAGTTTCTGGCCAAGTTGGTGGAGCAGGTAAACCTGTGCTTGCCTCCTCTCAGAACCACATCAAAATTACAAGGAAACTGCAGAACAACCATTACTGAGACTCACCTGAAGTCTAGCTGCAACGAAGCCCTACAACTAAGGACATACAGAAGGAGCCACCTCGAGACTGGTAGGAGGGGCAGAGACGCAGAACAGGTGGGTCCCACACCCACATGTGGCCGTTAAAAATCAGGGGGGATAGCTCAGCTGCAGAGGTCCCCCTGGAGGAGCGAGGGGTCACAGCCCCAAACCAGGCTCCTCAGCCCAGGGTTCCAGGGCAAGGAAGACAAGCTCCTACTACAACTGTAGGCTGTGAAAACCAGCAGAGATTGTGGCTGAGTGAGATAGAGGGCTGCTGGAGTCCAAGGCGTTCCTCCTAAAGGGCCTGTGCACAGACTTACTTGCTGGCAGTAAACAAGCAGCATCCGGTGTGCTTGTCCCTCTTGCTGAGCAGCCCCAAGGCCAGCACTAGCGACAGCCGGCCTCGGTTCACGGCTTGGCCTCTCCAGGCACATCCAAGCTCAGTGTGAGTAATGGCATTCTGTGGACCGCTTTGTGGCTCATATCAGGTCGCCTTGGGCAGGGCACAGGCTGCACCTGAACCTGGCCTGTTCCAGAGACCTGCTCAAGAGGCCCTGGGGCTGGCACACCTGGTGGCCGGTTTCAGACCCAGCCAGAGCACCACCTGGCTTCCTCCCCCAGATAACACACCCAAAGGACAGACTAGGCAGGCACCAGAACCCTGCCAAAGTGAGTCCTGCTTTGTAGGGTCAGCCTCTGTACAACACCTCCTCCACTGTAGTCGTGGCCAGTCCTCACAGCCAATCAGCCCGAGGGTCAATCCCTCCCACTGACGTGCAAACAGCAACCAACTACAATAGGAGGGCACACCCAACTTACAATGGGACACACCTGGAGCACCCAGCTCAGGTGATCAGGGAGACTGCATCACTGGGCCCCACAGGACACCTACTACACTACATAAGGCCAATCTACTAAGACCAGGAGACACAGCAACCCTAAAACAATAGTGATGAAAGATAGACAGTGTTTGCGGGGGCGGGTGGGGTGAGGGGAGAGGGATGGCTCCACACAGAGCATGAGCAAGTGTTTCAGGATGATGAAATTGCTCTGTATCTTGATTGCAGTCTTGGTTAAATGTGTTAAAATTCATAATCTGTATATTAAAAGAAGTTAAAAGTACTGTATTATTGAAAAACAGTCTGACTTACCATACAGTAGAAGTAAAGGTGTTCTGACACTGTCAAGTCATTGAACAACAAGTTCTGCTGAGGACAGAAGCCCATGCTCTTTCGAATATCAGCTTTACACTTTGAGATGGCATATCCATTGATATAGACCTCCCCTCTGGTAGGAGGGTAATAACCTACAGGTAAGCAGAAAACATGTCGGAAGCTGAGCTCTGCGGCGAGAACACAGGAAGACTGCTAATTAGTATATCAAAATTCAGTCTACTTGTAGATCACTCAAAAGAATGAGCACTCTCCCCCGCAGAAGAACAGTTCAGGAAAATACCAAATTACATCTGGGGGGTGGGATTAGCTATCTTTTAATTTTCCTTAAATTTATATATATATATATATTAATTTGCTGCAATGGGTATGGATTATATTGGTAATAAAAACATTCAATAATTTGCTATAGGGATGGCCGAGTGGCGCGGTGGTTAAGAGCTGGCTTAGGATGCCAGAAGGCCCCGGTTTGGATCCCACATATGAGGGCCAGTGACACTGCCCTTCACAGCTAAGATGCTGAACAACAGCTCACCCTGGAGCTGGGCTGCCGTGAGTCACCGGCGACGGTGTAGGCTGCAGCCCCTGTGGCAGTGAGTTGCCATGGGCTACAGTGTGTAGCCAGCAGCTGCAGTGAGCGGCCAGCAGCCACCGTGAGTGGCCGTCCAGAAGCCGGCAACTGATGTGCCTCACCCGGGAAGAGCGCAATGATGGTGCCAACTTGGGTGAGTAAAGCAACATCCTCCACAACTAGACTGAAGAACAAAAAGGACAGCCACTTGGTCTGTTCCCCTTCCCCCAATTCCCCAGCGCTGTTCCCATCCCCCAATTCCCCAATAAAAATCTTAAAAAAAAATAATTTGCTAAACTCCAATATATTTACATTGCAATCAGTTACTGTATTTGTGAGCCATACTAGGTCCTGTTAGATGCTAATAAAACATAAACTTTGTCCTTAAGAAATTTAAATATTAATAACAACCAGTCCAGATTTTGTGGGCAACTAATTGGTAATATGTAAAAAAGAAATAATAAATCCATTAAAACCCTATGACTCATTTATCCTATTTTTAAATATACCAGGGGAGCCAAAAAATGTATACACATGACTTGTATTCATCTTTTGTTATTGGCATATATTATTACAATTTTAGTACAGTTTTTTCCTTTCTTAAAATGTGTATATATTTTTTGGCGCCCTCTGTATTCTTCTTTAAATTGAGATACAGTTGACATATAACATTATATTAGTTTCAGGTATATAACATAATGATTAGATATTTGTAAATGTTGTGAAATGATCACCACAATAAGTATAGTTAACACTGATCACCATACATAGATTTTCTGGTGATGAGAACTTAAAAAATTCACTTTTACCAACTTTGAAATATACAATACAGTATTAACTATAGTTTCCATGCTGTACAGCACATCCCCATGACTATCTATAACTGGAAGTTTATGCCTTTTGACTCTCTACACCCATTTAACCCAGCCCACCCCACGACTCTGGCAACGACCAATCTCTTTTCTATCTATGAGTTCAATTTTTTAAAAAAGATTCTATATATATGTTAGATCATATGGTATATGTCTTTTTCTCTCTGACTTATTTCATTTAGCACAATCCCCTCAAGGTCCATCCATGCTGTTACAAATGGCAGGATTTCCTTCTTTTTTTATAGCTGAATAAGATATATATATAGTTCATATATATATATACCTCATATCTTCTTTGTCGATTCATCCATCGATGAGAACTTGTATTTCTAACCCATTCCAAAGTGATGCTGATGGTGATGCTGGTCAGAGGACCAGATTTTGAGAACTACTGACTTAGGGGAAAGGCTAAACTGCTGTTAAAAGAGGCTGCAAAGAGTAAAAAGACGACAGGAATCTTTCATGCACATGGTAATACCAAGGTGAACAATCCAGGTTGGCAGGACAATCAATGCCATATTTTCTTTATCCATCTATTCATCCATCAGAGGACACTTAGGTTGCTTCCAATTCTTGGCTATTGTGAATAATGCTACAATGAACATGGGGGTGCAGATATCTTTTCAAGTTAATGTTTTCATTTTCCTCAGATAAATACCGAGAAGTGAAATTGCTGGAGATCAGATGGTAGTTTTTTAATTTAGTATTTTTAATTTTTTCATGAACCTCCATAGTGGCCGCCCAATTTACATTCCCACCAACAGTGAAGGCGGGTTCTCTTTTCTCCACATCCTCTCCAATACTTCTCTCTTGTATTTTTTGATAGTATTTCTTGTATTTCTAACAGGTGCGATGGGGTCTCACACTGCAGTTTTGATTTGCATTTCCCTGATGATTAGTGATGTTTGAGCACCTTCTCATGTACCTGTTGGTCATCTGTACATCTTCTTTGGAGAAATGTCTATTCAAATCCTCTGCCCACTTTTTAATCAATTTTTGTTTTTGCTGTTGAGTTATATGAATTCTTTCTTAATATGTGTTGGAGATTAACACCTTGTCCGATATATGATTTGCAAATATTTTGTCCCATTCAGTATATTCCTTTTCATCTCGTGGATGGTTTCCTTTGCGGCACAGACACTTTTTAGTTTGATGTAGCCCTATTTGTTTATTTTTGCTTTTGTTGCCTTTGTTTTTGATGTCAAATCCAAAAATATCATAACCAAGACTGATGTTAAGGTGCTTACTGCTTATGTTTTCTTTGAGGAGTTTTATGGTTTTGGGTCTTATGTTCATGTCTTTGAACTATTTTGAGTTGAAAGACAGTGGTCCAGCTCATTCCTTTGCATGTGGCTGTTCCAATGGTGGAGCTTTGACCTGGGAAGTTTCCTCCTGATCATGCCATGGGGGTGGGACAGGGTGGGGGTTGGAGAATGAGAGTGAGAAAATGCCCCAAACTTCCTACATTTCGTATTGGCTATGCATTCATCTGCATGCTGCAGCTTCCAGGCTGGTTTCTCGAGTTCTTAAAAAGGGTATTTTTGTTTGTATACTGTTGATAGCTCAGCATCTCTGCGGAGAATGAGGGCCTGGAGCTTCCAGGTCCACCATATTGCTGATGTCACCATCACCTCCTACTGTTTCTAAGTTGCCTTTTTCTTTGTTTTTTAAATGCAAGTTTGCATCTTGCTTTAATTTTCCTCCTTACTATGTAGCATCAGCATTTTCTTTAAGATTTTATTGGGGAATCGGGGGAGGGGAACAGCATTGGGGAATTGGGGAAGGGGAACAGACAAGTTGCTGTCCTTTTGTTCTTCAGTCTAGGTGTGGAGGACGTCGCTTCACTGGCCCATGTTGGTATTATCATCGTGCTCTTCCCGGGTGAGGCAGATCGGTTGCCAGCCTCTGGAGGGCCGCTCACGGCGGCTCTTGGCAGCTCACACCAGCTGTCGGCCGCTCACACTGGCTGCCAGCCATACACACGGTAGCTTATGGCAGCCCACTGCAGCAGGGGCTGCAGTCTACGCCATCGTGGACCACTCACGGTAGCCCAGCTCCAGGTTGAGCTGTTGTTCACCATCTTAGCTGTAGAGGGCAGTGTCACTGGCCCCCATGTGGGATCTGAACCGGGGCCCTGCTGCTCAGAGCTGGCGAACCAAGCCAGCTTTTAACCAGTGCGTCACTAGGCCGGCCCAGAGTTGCCTTTTTCTTCACTTAACATTGCTTCATTGCTGTAAGTCTTTGCCTGTTTCCAGAATTCTGACAAAGTTGGTGCTGACATTTTTGTGCTTGTTTACCAATTTTGTCTGTGAAGGAACTGGAACTTGGAGCTACCTCCTCTGTTCTGGGTGGTTGCTTCTGAGCTGCACCTTGGTGTATGAATAGGATTTCAATAGGTGGAGAGCTGACTTAGGCATTCCCTGTGAGAGAAAGGTCATGAGCATATGCAGATGGGGAAGGGCATGATATGTGTTCTGAGATAACACATCAAGCATGGAGTCTGTTCTAAGATAACTTATGTAAAGCATATTCATTATATGTATTTTGCATATATGATCATGAAGGAAATGGTAATTCAAATCAGAACCCTGTGTTGTTAACTAAAAAGTCATTATTTTAAGAAGTTTTAACTGATACTTAGAGGGAGTCACTTCAAACATATAAAAGAGAGAATGTGGGTATCGTCTTCCCCTCCTGACTTGGTTTGATTTTATCTTAACTGCTAGGCTCAGCCCTGCTCCGTCCTCACACACAATATGGGACTCACTATCTTAATGGTCCCTAGCATTCCTCAGCCACTCTTCCTTCCTGGTGAAGGCAATGTTTCTAAAGGATAAGCCTTCATAAAATATTCTTCCATGGCTTTTCACTGCTCTCAGCATAAATTCTAAACTTCATAGCATGGCTTCCCCCAAACCTTCAATGATCTCACCTTTCAATTATTCACCCAACTTCATCCTTTGCCATTAAGTTCCTTACCTGATCTAGTGATACAAAGCCTCCTGGTCTCTGTTTATACCTCTAACATTCTTCTTTCCTTCCCTTCATAGCCCTTTATACCTCCAATTTGCCCCAGATTTGATGTCACTTCCCTATTCCTCATTCCCAAAACAGGTTAGGTGTCATTCTATTGGGTGAATCACATCCTACATGTAATATCTCCTTTCTTACTTATGGTGTAAGTTTCAAGTTTCTTGTCTGTATCGCCACCAGAGTATAAAATTGAGTGTAACAACCTTGTAACCACCACTGTATTATCAGTTCCTATAAAAAGAATTACCACATAAAATTTTTAATTGAATAAATGCATGAATTTATCACATCACCTAAAGCACCTTGATTGTGAATAATTGAAACTGTAATGACACCAACACTGAAATAACAACACATTCAACACCACAAGTTGTTGACTGATTTACAGCTTTAGAAGAAAACTGACTTCTGCTCTGGACAGAGCTGAATCCATACCTGCGAGAATAGACATGGTTGTGGTTTTTCCTGCCCCATTTTCTCCTAGAAGAATAGTGATCTGCCCCTTATATAAATTCATAGACAAGTTGTTTACTGCTACTTTGTTGCCAAATTCCTGTGGGATAAAAGAAAGGATAACTTAGTATCTGTCCCTATCACTTATTTAAAGACACTCATAGCCTCTATCCTTAGAAGAAACAACATTAATCATCAGGCTCATTGTAAAAAAATATGTTGTTCTGAACAAGGAACAGTATTTTCAGTTGCATTGCATTTGTGTATTAGTCAAAATAACTGTGAAGGCACAGTGGTATGTACATGCATATTTGGTAATGCAAATGGAGACCTCTCTCTGTTCTGTGTATGAAGAGTGTAATATAGTAGTCATGGACTCTCTCGACTGTAGCAAGAGCTGGGGAAGCTCACAGAAGATGCCACCAATGATCACAAAAATTGATGCCACGATTTCAATCAGAAGCTGGATGATTCATAAGAGCATGATGGAAATTTTTTGAGATTCTAAGCAGGAGTTGGCAAACTTAAATATGGTCCATTATTTGTTTTTGTACAGCCAATGAGCCAAGAATGGTTTTCACACTTTTAAAGGCTTGTTAAGAAGTAATAGAAAAGAATTATGTGCCAGACATTGTATGAGGCCCATGGAGGATAAAATATTGATCTGGTCCTTTACAGAACGTGTTTGAAAACCCTACTGATGTGTCTCTTAGAAACTCCCAATATTTCAGTCTGAAATCAGAAATCCTGTGGTTCCCAAGCACTCATGTAGGTGGATGTAAAACCTGCCTATATGTCTGTCTATAGGTGCCTCTCATTGGCAAATCCTAACTAGAAAGCAAACAGAGAAGGAAATTTTGGGGAATGCAGTTCATGGGCTCTCTTTTGCAATGTAGGAGAAACCTTAGAAAGGTTTACCAAATTAACAAGAGATCATCCAGGGGAGCATGTCTGCAAATTCTCCTTAGGCCTAGGCTTCCCAATGGCCGCAGCAACACTGACACTTGGGATTAAAGAATCCTTTGTTCTGGAGGGCCCTCCTGGGCCTTGTAGGATGGCTAGCAGCTTCCCTGGTCTCTACCCTGTAAATGCCAGGGGACTCCTCTCCGCACCTCTCTTACTCTGGGGTGTGACAACCAAAATATTTCCAGAGATTGTCAGATGTCTTCTGGGGGGATATAATCTTCCCCCATTGAAAAGAAGTACTGCCCTAGGGAATCTAATTTTCTCCTCTGAATTCAATTACCTTATAGATGCTGACTGTACTACAATCTGTTTCAGTCATTATCTTTCTCCAAAGCTATGGCTCTATATCTCCAAAAGTCCTACCAGAAACATAAGTTTAAATATTTATAAATACCTTAAATTCAGTATATCTAAAACTCTGTTCATTATCATGCCCTGAAAATATATAGTCGTCAACTGTATTCCCTAGATCAGTGAATGGCCCCTAAATTCACCTAAATATACAAACCAGTAACCTGAGTATAACCCTACACATCTCCATTGCCATTAACTACTGCATGTAATAAATCACCAAGTCCAGTTAATACACTTAGGCCAGGGGTGATCACTCTCCATTCAAAAACTATGTATCGAATGGCTGTGGTGTATCAGGTATCATGCTATGTGCTAGAGTTATAGCTAGAAATAAGTCCCACATAGTCCTGCTTTAATGAAGCCTTGGTAAAGGAAGATAGGGAAAAATGTAAACTCCTTGAAAGGTGCCAGAAAAAGAGAACTATCCACGCAAGAAAAAAACATTAAAGCAGATATTTCACTGGAAACAACATATGTGAATAGACAGTGGAGCAACACCTTTAACCTAACATTCTATATCCAGTGACAATATCTTTCAAAAGTGAAACTAATATAAAGACTATTTCAGACATAGAAAATCTCTGAAAGAATTAATCACGAGCAGAACTGCACTAAAAGAGAGGTGAAAGCTAGTCTATCAGGCAGAAGGAAAATGATACCAGATGGAACACTAGAATTGTTAACTACATTGGCAGCTATCTATCACATTCTTTGCAACTTCCTTAAAACGTAACTGTAAAATTAAGCACAATGATAACAATATAGTATTGCAGGTTTTATAACGTGTGTAAGTAAAATGTATGACAATAGCAGCATGAAGGCTCTGAGTGCCAAAACAAAAGCATAACTAATCTAAGGTTCCTATGCTATGTGTGAAATGGTATAATACCATTTGAATGCAGACTGTAATAAGTTAAAGTCATATCATGTATCAAAGAGAAACCATTAAAACGTCAAAACACAAAGTTATAGTTAACACCAAAAAAAGGGAGATAAAATGGAATCTCAGAAAAATAATCAATTAATCCAAGAGAAGGAGAGCAAGAAGAGAAGGAAAACAAAGAATATATGGTACAAATAGAAATCAAATAATGGGGTGATAAATATAAACCATATCAATAACACCAATAGTCACATGGAATGTAAATGGCCTGAACGCCTCCATTAAAAGGCAGCAGTTGTCAGGCTAAATAAAGAGTATGAACTATATTATATATATGTATACAAAAACTGTCCCGCAATTTATAAAGACACAAATTGGTTAATAATAAAAGAATGGAAAAAATAGACCAGGCAAACATGAACTAAAAGAGAAGTGGAGTAACCAGCTCACCTGTGGACCCTGACACCAGGCCTGACCATCTGCAGACTCTGGCACCAGGACTACCTGTCTGGGGACCCAGGTGTCTGGCCCACATATGGACCCTCCTAGCCAGCTCCTCCACAGACCCTGCCATCTGCCATTTCCATGGTCCCCACCCACAGGCCTTCCCATTGGCCAGGCACTGATAAAGGCCTTTCTCTTTGAAACACTACCTGGTACAAATGGTTAATTTGGATATTTGCCACCAAGTTAGCAGGTTCAGCCTCAAAATATTTGTTTTCAGTTCTCTCACAGCTTTTCATTTCTTCTTCTTCCTTGCTAATGTTTGATTGGCCAAACCAGTATGAGCGCTACAAAGAAAGCCAAAATATAGTTACCAAAATGAGTATTAAGAAATGAAGCAATCCATCTGAACAGACTTATAACAAAGCAAATGAATTAGTGACCAAAACCTCCTTACAAAGCAAAGTACAAGACCAGATGGCTTCACTGATGAATTCTACCAAACATTTAAACATTAACAACAATCCTTCTCCAAGCTATCCAAAAATTGTAAGAGGAGGAAACACTTCCTAACCTATTCTATGAGCTCAATGTTATCCTGACAACAAAGCCAGACAAAGATATCATAAGGAAAGAAACTACAGATCAATATCCCGTGAATACAGATGCAAAAATCTTCAACCAAAAGCTAGCATACTGAATCCAATATCAAAAGGATTATACATCATGACCAAGTGGGATTTATCCCAGGAATGCAGTGGTGGCTCAATATACAAAAGTCAATCAATGCAATATATCACATTTATATGAAACATCCAGATTAATCCATAGAAAAAGAAAGCTGATTAGTGGTTGCTAGGGGTTTGGGGTAGAGAAAAATAGGATGTGACTTCTTAATGGATACAGGGTTTTATTTTGGGGTGATGAAAGTATTTTGGAATTAGACATGTGTATTTACATTGTAAATGTACTAAATGCCACTGATTTGTTCACTTTAAAATGGTTTAGTTTAACTTATATGAATCTCATCTGAATTAAAATTTAAATGTGAAAAAAAGAAATGAGGCATTAAAAGTACTTGAAAACACTTTGGCTTGGTTTATTTTGTGAGATGGAGAAAGCTGTAGCATCCTTTCAGGGATGATATTTTGTAACAAACTTATGTATGATTTGAATCTCCAGGATTCAGAAGCAGAAACTTTTAAAAAAATGCTAGTGGTTAAGAAATAGGAACAAATGGAATTACTCTACAATGAAACCACAGCCAATGCATTTTGTCACACTTGGTCGGAATTTCTTCTTTGTACCACTTATCCAGTAAAGATAAGGGAGGAGGAGGGCAAGCCTCTGCTCACTAGGATCTAAGAAATCATCACACAGTAATTTAGCTGGGAACAACATCTGCAGATACGTTTAGGTTTCTTCATTCTCTAATGTAATCCACTATGTACCACTTGGCTGAAGAAGGGTTGTATTACTCATAATTTTTTATGTATGGGGTTTCAGTCTTACCCATAGATATTGTGCATCTGCATATGTGGAAGGCTTTAAGGCATATCAAGAAAAGGGCTAGCATTTCTTTATGGTTGGTATACGGATGAAAATGATTCTGCACCCAACCTTTTGATCTGATTCTAAATATTATGCAATAGGCTCATAGGGACTATGGGCTTTCACAATAAGCAGCATTAGAACTCACCATAAGAAAGAAGTACCATGGTTGGGGCATGCCATACTGCCCTGGAAAGACAGATTCTACATACCAGGTCACAAGGCCATATAAGAAAGCATCAAGTAAAAGCATTCCAAAAACATAGCCAATGATGAGGTTATCCTGAATGTTGGCTGGTGTCCACAGGCTATCCCACTTAACACCAACTTCTGAAATAGAAAGGAGATGCTTACCATAGACAACAGCTCTGTGATTGAAACACTAAAGAAAAAAGGTTTTCAATACTCTACGTTTCGCCGCTGTGAATTATCTGTATGTTGGTATCCTTAGTATGTAGGTCATCTATGATAAGAAAATGATGGACTATGTAATAACATTGGTTTCTTCCCTCCTCCATTCAAAATCTACAAAAATAAATAGGAATCACTGAGACAAAGTCAACAACTGAAACAAAAATAAACAATCACAAAAAAGTCAAGTAAAAAGCAGGTCTACTAGATCCTATCTTTCTACTTTATGCCTCATGCTAAATTCCCACTGAAATAACCATCAGGATATACAAATTTGGAAAAATATGCAACAGCGCTCTAGATGGATGCTGACTGCCAAGCAGGAAAGAAAATGTTCTGCTTAGATGTAGGACTACTGATGGAAAAGGGAAAAGGAAGTCACCAAAAGAAAAGTAACGCTTTGTTCTTCTACTTCCTCTATTTCCAGGCAGAGTGTAGCATACCTGAAAACAACATGAGGGCTTGCGGCAAATTCCTAATTCAGAGAGGCTGGATGTGAAGATGACAATGGCCCATGAAATTTGCCCTTCCTTCAACACGAGCCCTCCCTTCCATATAGACCACGAGAAGAATATTCATGAACATTGTCTTTGAGAAAGCTATAAGAAGAGGTAATAGTTTGAGATAAAAATAATTTAGTAGGGTTAAAAATGATTATCAAAATGAAAGCCATTCTGAGGCAGTGAACAGCAAATTAGAAACTACAGAAAAAAAGAGGGTAGAATATAAACTTCAGGAAGTCTGCCATAACTTCAGTAATTCTCTAGCCAAAATACAACAGGAGTTCCTCAAAGAGAAAAGAAATAACATAGAAAAGTAGTAACTAAATAAAATAAAACAACCTGATAAAAAAAGAACTCAATTAGAAAATTAAAGGTATACATCCTGTTGCAGATTAAGACAACAAAACCCCAAACCCAGATAAATTTTAGTGAATTTTTAATGCTTCATGTATAAAAGTAATGCAAGTATCCATAAAGAAATCATACAAGACATATATTCTTCTAACTGGCTTCTCATAGGAAGTAGATTTTTGTTTATAGGTGAGAAAATTAAGTATCCTCAATCCTCCTCATTCATCAAAAACTGCAATGAAATTCTCACTAAATCCCAATATTTACAGAATTTGACCAAAGTGATCTAAATTCAAGTGGAAAACAATGTGACAAGAATAACTGAAGAACAACAAGGTCTGCGTACAAGACTAACAGATATTAAGACTTGTTATAAAGCTATAATGAGTAAAACTATTGCAGTATTGACACAAAAATAGACCGAAAAAGATCAACAAAATGAAAAATATCATCAGAAATAGATCTCGGCATATATGGAAACTTGATGCAAAACAAAGGTGGAATTAGACACCAGTAGAGAACAACAAACTGTCCAATAAATGATTGTAATAGCTCGATTTTCATATTGAAAATAAATAAAATTAGGTTCTTACCTCATGACAAACAGAAGTATCAACTCTATGCACCCTGAAAACTCAAATGTAAAAATAAAAATACACATATTTTAGGGCCGGCCGAGTGGCGCGATGGTTAAGAACTCGCTTGGGATGCCAGAGGGCCCCGGTTCGGATCCCACATATGAGGGCCAGTGACACTGCCCTCCACAGCTAAGATGCTGAACAACAGCTCAACCTGGAGCTGGGCTGCCATGAGTCGCCGGCGACTGCGTAGACTGCAGTCCCTGTGACAGTGGGTTGCCATGGGCTACCGTGTGTAGCCAGCAGCCAGCGTGAGCGGCCAGCAGCCGCAGTGAGCGGCCGTCCAGAAGCCGGCGACTGATCTGCCTCGCCAGAGAAGAGCGCGATGATGGTGCCAACTTGGGCCAGTGAAGCAACATCCTCCACAACTAGATTGAAGAACAAAACGACAGCAACTTGTCTGTTCCCCTTCCCCCAATTCCCCAGCACTGTTCCTATCCCCCTAATTCCCCAATAAAAAAAAAATTATTAAAAAAACAACAACACATATTTTAGAAGAAAGTATAAGATTACTATCTTTATGACTGTGGATATGAAAGGATTAATATGAGTATGGATATGAGTAAGACTTAAGTGTACAAACCGAAGGAAAAAACTGACAAATTTGATTGCATTAATTTAGGGAAGCTAACAATGCAAATGTCATTCTGGAAAGGAAGTCCATTCTAGAAAGGAAACCAAGGAGGAAAGGAACCCCTGTCCCCCATTAAGAAGAGCGAGGGGAAGGGACAGAGGACAGGTACATGGGTCACAGGTTTTCCTATTTCAGGAAAACCCTGGAGAACTGTGCCGGTGGGATCACATAGAAATATCCAACACTGTGGTGGCGGCACTGGTAGTGGAGAATAAGGCGGCTAGATAAACGGGCCTGAAGTGGAGCTACTGGCTCCTCATACCTTAAAAGGCAGTCAGAGCTTGTATGCCTTTCCAAGTGTTTGTGAAGGCTGAAGAGTCTGAGACAGGAAAATGGCGGAGGACTGGAGGAGGGCTGTAAGGCTGGGGCAAGTGCCAGAACCACATTTCTAATAGATGAGGTCCCAGTACATTGCGCTACACGGGCCACAGAAAGAGTCACGGTTCAGCGCAGGTTAGGTACTCTACTAGAGACGCAAAAGACCCGAGGATACCACAGGGATTTGACACCCCCATTTCCATCTACCGTAAGAGTCATAAACTCCCATCCCCACACATACCATCTTGAATTATACAAGAAGAGAGATGGCTGAAAGGCTGACTCATTCGGAAGAATGTGAATAAATCATCGTGTTAGGCTTAATTTTCTTCAGCCCTTTAGTGTACAGTTTGGAGGAAAATTAGTTATAGGAATAAAGAAGCTATATTTGCTTTTTCACATAAGAGTAGTACAATGCATTATTGAAAACGATGTAGAAAAACTCGTGCTGCTGGAGAATAAATTGGTCTTCTCTTTTTGAAGATTATAATAGCAATTAAAATTAAGCTATGAATACCTTATAAGATAGCATTTTTATATCTAAGAACATGTTTATATTAGTATGCATATCGTATAAGCAAATATATGTGTACTATTGTGGGTAACAGCAAAAAATTGGAAACCACTGAAATGTGCATTGACAGAGAACTAGTTAATTACAGGACCCCTTTATATGGAAAATTATACTGCTTTGTGAAAAAAATGGAGTGTTATCTCTATGGGAGGGGGTCTAATATATAGTATTAGATGAAATATAACAAGTAGTAGATTAGGAAATTTAAAATTATTTTACTGGAGAGCATAATGGAGGTTTTGTGGAGAGATGGGAACTTTTTAATTTTTCACACTTTGAAATTTTTTTTTACAGTTCACATAATTGCCTTTATAACAAATAAATATGGGGATAAGTAACTTCTCTAACATTTCTTACCTCCTCAGTAATAAGGCAGTACCACCCACACTGCCTTATTCTACCTTTCTAGGAATGAAATAGCGAAGGCAACATTTCCAAGACAAACATTTACCTTTTATTTCTGACTTGACCAGAAAATTAATGCCCAGAGCCAAAGCAACATTGGAGCTGAGACAGGCAGCCAACTTACTGGCGAGGGTTAACTGTCCAGGATCTTGAGCAATGGATTTAAATGGAAAGAAACTGGCAAAATACAGGATGCTTCCAAAAGAAGAAGCCAAATGAACTGCAAATAACAAAGAAATTGTAGGATCAGTTTAAAACAATATGCAAAATAATGAGTACAAACAACTTTTTATACAACAATCAACAACTGGAATGTGAGCCGTATGCGGGCAGGGATTTGCTGTGTATCACCCATGTCTGGCACACAGTGCGTGCTCAGTAAGTGTGTCGAATGAATAAATTAACGTATAAGGTGCGTTCATGTGTAGATATTTACCACATGATAAACATTTATAGTCATTTAAACAAAGATTGACCCATACATTTGTTATGAAAAATTCCTTTTCCTTTCTGAAATTTATTCGTGATCACCTGGCTTAAATTATAAATGCACACCATCGCTATTGACATAAGTTGAATATATTCAGTGTTTTCAGAGAGTTTGAAGCCTGTGAGGAATTTTTTTTTAATTGGGGAACAGTGTGTTTTCCAGGAACCCATCAGCTCCAAGTCAAGTAGTTGTTTCAATCTAGTTGTGGAGGGCGCAGCTCAGTGGCCCATGTGGGGATCAAACCGGCAACCTTGGTGTGATGAGCACCGCGCTCTAACTCGCTGAGCTAACCAGCCGCCCCTGAAATTTTTAACACATGCTTCCGCTCTAAAGCATGATACTCAAAGGAAAAATAGTTGAATAAATAAATAACTACTGATGTGGTTAGGTCCATACGTATGGGATCCTACAAACTAGGAAAAGTGTTCTTGTCAAGGTTATCATCAAGAGGATATAAAGTCACCATTGATGAAAAAAGTAAAACATACCCAAATAAAATTATAACATTATAAACTACCACTTTTTTCTTTCTTTAAATCGCCTTATTGAGGTACGATTGACATACAAAAAGCTATACATATTTAATACAATATAAACAACTTGATGAGTTTGAAGATAAGTATCCACCCATGAAACCATCAACACCATCTAGGCTACAAAGATATCCATCACCTTCCAAAGTTTCTTCCTGCCCTCTTTATTTTTTTGTTATAAGAATACTTGGCACATTTTCAAGTGTACAATCCAGTACAGTTAACTTCAGGCACTATGCTGGACAGATCTCTAAGATTTATTCACTTTGCATAATGAGACATTGTACCCTTTGACTAGTATCTCCCTGCTTCCTGCTACCCACACTCCCAGGCAACTGCCATTCTGTATCTCCTTCTGTAAGTTTCATTATGTTAGATTCCTCATAAAGGTCGTGTCATGTAGTATTCGTCTCTCCGTGTCCGGCTTATTTCACTTAGCATAATGTCCTCCAGGTTCATACACGTGGTTGTAAATGGCAGAATTTCCTTATTTTATGAGGTAGAATACTCCATTGTGTGTATATACCACATTTTCTTTATCCATTCATGTACTGATGGATACTTGGGTTTAATACTGCTGTGAACATGGGTGTGCAAGTATTTCTTGGAGAACCTGCTTTGCATTGAGTATAGACCCAGGAGTGCAATTGCTGCAGCATATAGTAATTCTATTTTTAATTTTTTGAGGAGCCTGTGAACTGTTTCCATAGTGGCTGCAACACTGTGTATTCCACCAACAGTGCACAAGGGTCCCCTTTTCACCAAATTCTCGCCAACAGATGTTATCTTCTGGGTTTTTTGGGGTAGGATAATAGCCATCAATGGTGAGAATCTTCCCAAAATTTAAGCTCCTAGATGTCAGCCAAAGGCCAACCTTGAAGCAGGCCTTTCTAAGAACAGGCCTGCTATGTTGTTTTCTGCACAATGTGAATACTGACTGCGAATTGTGAAAACCAATCAAATGATGGTATCTGTGATAATACATTAAAAGTTAAATTACTTTACAGTTAAGTCTTACTGTAAAACTATATTTCTACTCTAAAATAGTTTAATAGGGATGATATTCTGATGGTTTACAGAAGAAAGACACAGGAGGAATAATGGTTAATACCTATGGTCTAAAAAAACAAATATACCTTAATCTTTTGGGGAGTGATTAAAAAATTGCTAGCAGAGAATTATTCCTATAAATTCTTTAATCGACCACAATCTGGGGTTATCTGGTCACACATATTTTCCTTGTGTGAGCTCACATACAGAATTACTTTTGTTTTGTCTTTATGTATGACACATAGTCTTGCCACATAGTTAAGTGCACAAAGGACATACCGAATGAATGAATGAATGAATGAGCGAATGAATGAATGAATACCTCCAGTCCATGACTTGCTTTCAGAGGTGATTTGAAATCAACATCTGCAGAAAGAATCCTAAGTTTAACTGGTCACAACTTTATTTTATATCGTCTTTTTATATATACATTGGGCCATACTAATTTTCAAGGGTCTCTTCTTTACCTCCTGTTAAATAATTTAATGTGCCATTCATCTTCTATGATAGAATGTAAGCCAAGACTATACACAAGGTGGCTAGAAGGAGATCCCAAACACGATCCTATTATGATCAATTAAACAGAAGTTGTGTTACAGGAGAAATCTTAGACTCACCTTTGCTGAAGAATGTGCTGACCATAAAGCCAAAGAATATTGAAGCAATGGCATAACATATAAAAAAGGCAAAGATGAAACTATAGTCACTGTAGCGGAAGACTGGCTCATTGAAAATCTACAATAGAACAGTGATGACACGATGTAAGGCACACAATAAGTAGTGTCACATAAACGTAAGGGAAGAGGGGGGAAATGACGACAGCCCTGAAGAAAGAGATCACACTGCTCAGTGACTGAAGCTCAATGAGATGGAAAGTCAACTAAATAGCTTTTCCTTACAGAAGGGATGTTTTCCTCCGAGATTCAGGAGCCTGTGAGTCTCCATAGTGGAGACAATAAAAGCCATATTTTATCTTCCTGGCAACCTCAGGCTAATCAGTCCACACTTGAGAGCGATTACTTTATCCCTCTCCAAGGATAGCTGCAGCAGGCTGCAGTCAACTAGAGCTAAGATGTCTGATATTAGACATTAACCACATCTGGCTACTGAGCACTTGAAATGTAGCTAGTGTGACTGTGAATATTTATTATCATTTAATTTCAGTTATTTTTAATTTAAATAAAAAAACAAAAGCAGTGTCAAATACATCATTAAGTACTTCTAATGAAAATATGAATTGAGATGTGTTGTGAATATAAACCACACATTACAGTTTGAAGACTTAGTACAAAAAGGAATGTAAAATATCTGTTTTTAAATTGGTTTCATGTTGAAATACTTTGTATACATTGGGTTAAATTAATTATTAAAATAATTTCACCCGGTCTTTTATACTCTTTAAAATTTCTACTGGTTACTAAAAATTTAGTATGACATATGTGACTCATTTATTTCTATTAGACAGCACAAAATGAGACACTTGCCTTGGCAAAGAATAACACACATATCAAAGAGATAGTAATGAGATAAAAGAAGAAGACTGTGAAGAAATAGGAAGCCCATATCATCCAGTTTCCAAATCCATTTATAAGTTGGTACTCCTGCAGGAAAGTCAACACAAATCAAGTATTACATATATCAGCAATTCATAATGCTTTCACGTATATTTTAAAAATTAAATTCCCATAAAACCTATATAAATGGGTAATATCATCTCTATTTTGTGAATGAGAAAAATCAATGCTCAGAAACTGAAATGTGTTAAAATGACGCAGTTAGTATGGGCAGTGCTGGCATTAAAATATATTTCTCCTAAGTGCAGGGATTTTTTTTCAATCCTATTAGACCAAAACGGAAAGCATTTCAAATTAAACTTTGAAATACTAAGAATCTCTTCTATATTATACTCTACTTCCAGGAATACTAGAGAAATGTGTCTGTTTGGTTTTTTTTAAATCCAGTTGTAAGCTAGAAGCTGGGTTGCTTTCTTATTCTTGTTCATTATAGGCAATGTGCCCTCTTCCCCACTCTGACTGCTTTCAAGGTTTTCTCTGTCTTTGGTTTCCAGTTTCAACATATTAATAATATGTCTCAGGGGTGTGTGTGTGTGGAAAGGGGTATTTATCTTGCTTTGTGTTCTCTGAACTTCTTCAATCTGTGGCTTGATATCTAACATTAATTTTGGAAAATTCTCTGCCATTATTTCTTTAGCTCTATTCTCTCATCTACTTTTTGGAATTCCAATTATGTACATGTTATGCCATCTAATATTGTCCTATACCTTTTAGATGTTTTTGGGTTTTTACATTTTGTTTTCTCTTTGCATTTCAGTTTGTGTCATTTCAACAGTCTTATACTCAATTCTATGATTCTTTCCTCATCAAGGACAAGTCGACTAACGAGCCCGTCAAAGGCGTTCTTCATTTTTGTTAGCATGTTTTTTATTTCTAGCAGTTCTATTTGACTCCTTCCTTAAGTTTTGATCTCTCTGATAGCATTACAGAGCTGATCTTGCATGTTATCTACTATACAGAAAAGAGCCAACGAAGAAGGTGTGAGACTATCAGAAAGGCATGTCTGCAAGGTTTGGCCCTTGGCTGGTATATGGGAACTTGTCTGGTAAACTATTCCCTCCACTGATATAAAACTTCCCCTCAATGATTGGGTGGGTGACTGTGCCTGAACCATTTGTACATATGAGTACAGTATGGTTTATGTCAGAGACCTGCTTTCTAGGAGTTTGGAATTTTGGTACATGCTAGGCAAAGGGTGCCTACATGACCAGCCCACAACCAAAAGTTTGAGTGCTAAGTCTTTAATGGACTTCCCCGGACAGGAAATCATAGACATGTTGCTGGATTTTCATTTCTGGGGCAAGAGTGCATTCTATGTGACCTCTTGTGAGGTTACTCGAGGAGGCGTGCAGGTGAATTCCTCCAGGCTTTGCTTGTGACATTTCCTCTTATGATCCAGCTATGGATATTAACTATAGCACTAAAATCAATTCCAGCTGTGAGTATATGCTGTGTCCCATAAGTCCTTCTACTGAATTTTAGAAAGTGGGGGTGGTGGACACATACACCTTTCCCTTTAGAGCCTTTCAATTACTAATCACAGTAATTCTAAGTTCTTTGTCTGAGAGTTCCAACACCTGTGTCCTATCTGAGTCTCATGACTCATCTGCCTCTTTGGACCGTGTTCTTTCTTAATTTTTGGTGAGACTAGTAATTTTTTGTTGAAACGCAGACATGTTATCCAGGGCAGTAGATACCGAGGTGAACGGGCCTCAAGTGTGGGAATTTATGTGAAGTTAGCCACGAGTTGAGTTGTGTTTGAACTTCCCTGTTACTCTAGGTACCAGAGACTTCAAATTCCTCTAGTGACCTTTCTGTCTCCTTTCTTGCCTTCAGGTTGTCCCTTTCTGCTGCTCTCCAGACAGTTTGCCCCTGAAACTCTACAAGCCTGGAAAAGTGACATCACTTCCTGTTCTCTATTTGCTCCTACTGGGGTGTAATTTGCTGGTACTGGGTGTAACATCTACCTACCAATGCTGAACATGTAGAAATACTCCAACTCTCCATATGAAAATGCTCCACAGGCCTAAAGAAAAAATCTTTACAGGAACTTTATCAGAAAATAATTGGGATTACCTTCAATCCTTTCTGTTTTTCCCACACAAGGAATCGCATGATGGAAAGTACAGTTGGAGAGAACATGAGCACAAACATCAAGGGGAATAAATCACTAGTGATCCAAACTAATATATCATGAGAATAAACTGGGTGTGGAAATCTCTGTACGAAGATGTCAATGCCATCAAACAGCTTCTGTGCAGCCCTGCTCTCGTGATATTGCATGATGGCCTTATCTAAGGCCTGCTGTACAAACAGAAAACCTTCTCTGATGTACCCTGCAGGATAAAACAAACACTGTCAAGTACAACAGACTAAGGAACTGCTCCGACATACACACAAAAGCAAGGCAATTCAAGTCAGTCATAGCTTGTCACCTACAGAACTCAGATTTACTGGTGTGTCAAGGCCACCTGAACAGTTACTCTGAGAATGAATGAGTTTTGACACCGAAGTAAGGGATACTTCTTCAGCTGAGTCTGATTCACATCTTTCCCAAATTAAATATATTTAATGAAAGTAGTAGGCTTGCTAAATGCAATTTATATTTACAAGAAGAACACAGACTTAATTAAATATCAGGGAGATGAAGACTTGGAAATGTAAAAAGAGAAATGAGGCTCAGAATGACAGATATTCTAGTGCAGGAGTCAGCAAACTTTTGAGACGGAAGAGCCAATGCTGTCCCTCACAACAATTTAAAAATCATTGGAGAGCCATAAAACAAATGAAGTCACCATTTTGTGAATAATATCCTTTAAAAATTTATAAATGAAACTATGATAGTTTTATTTTCATTTTCAATTTTACTTCAGAGCCACATTTACATACCCAAAGAGCCGCATGTGGCTTCTGAGTCACAGTTTGCCGACCCCTGTTCTAGTGAGTAATGCAGAATGGCCCCAGGAAAATTGTTTCACTGAAACTAACTCAGCCATTCAACTAAAAGGGCAGCTTAGGGTTTAATTTGATTTTCTTCTACTAATTTTTAAACCTGGAACTCAGATAACTAATTTTAGACTTTTTCTGTTTTTATAATATGAACATTTAAAATGAGAAAGTTCTTTCTAAACATTGTATCCCTCAAAATTTGCTCCCAAATCTGATCATAGCATCTTTTGTTCATTATTCAATATAAAATATTTTCTAATGTCTTTGTGACTTCTCCTCTGAACCAAGGATTACTTAGAAATATGTTGTTTAATGTCCTAATATTTGCAATTTTTCTAATTACAGCTGAGCCTGGAACAACATGAGTTTGAAATGCGTGGGTCCACTTATATGTGGATTTTCAAAAATAAACACCTGTACTGTTTTCAATCTGCAGGTGGGAGTCTGCAGATACAGAGGGTCAACTGTATGCATTGATCTATGTCATTTTATACAGGGGACTTGAGTATCTGTGGGTTTTGGTATCCACGGGGAGTCCCGGAACCAATTACTAGTGGATACCAAGGGAAAACTAAGTTTTTGGGGAGTCAGAATTTACACACAGATTTTTGACTGCATGGGCAATTGGTGCCCCTAACCCCCATGTTGATCAAGGGTCAACTGCCATCTTATTGATCTGTAATTTAATTATACTAGAGAACATACACTATATGATTTCAATCTTCATTTCACTGAGATTTGTTTTATAACCCAATGTAAGAATTATTTATCATGGTGAAAACACCATGTGCCTGTTAAAAAAAGATGTATTCTACCACTGTTGAATATATGTTTTACAAATGTCAATCAGTTCATGAAAATTGAAAATGTTATTCATATCACACACTTCTTTATAATTTTTTTGTTTAGATGGTCCATCAATTGCTGAGAGGATATTAATATCTCCATTTATGATTGTGGAATTGCCAAATTCTACCTTTAATCCTGTCAATTTCTGCTTCATGTACCTTGAAGCTAGATGCATACACATTTATAATTAATATATCCTCCTGAGAAACTGGGCCTTTTTCTTGAAATCTATTTAATCTTATATATACGTATCTGCTCTAGCCACTTTATAATTATTGTCTTTAATCAAATTTAGAATTCTTCCAGCCATTTTTCTACACATTTTTTCCTGCCCTCTTTTTTCTTATCCCTCAGGGACTCTAATTATACATATGGTAGAAACAAAACCACACACAAATGTGAACTTGTCATGGATTAACAACCAAATTGTAGAACGAAAAACCATAAAGGATAATAGCAGGAGAATATTTTTGAGCTTAGGTGTAATGATGGGCTTTATAAATGAAAACCTAGACGAGATCACATGGGAAAAAATGATGAATTACATCAAATGAAAGATTTCTGTTCAATAAAGGGACAACATGGATAAAATCAGAAATTGGAAAAAGGTACTTTTAACATTTGGAACCAATAATATATATAAAATATACATGGAACTCTTGAATAATTATAAATCTTTAAATAAAGTTTGTGTTACTTTATTTGAAACTTTCTGTTCTGTAAAAGGATTGTTTTTAAGTTTTATTGAAAATGTTTTTTTGTGGTGATTTAACTAAAACATTAAGCTGTTTCCCAGTCCGCCCTTGTTTCACATAATAGATACCTTAATTTTCTACTCACTTCCCTGTCCATCTTAGTCTTTGTACCCTTGTCTTTTTTTACTCCTCCTTAATTTCCATCTTTCCTAGACCTTCGTTCTCCTGTCTCTAACATTTCCCCCCAAATAGTGTTGTTTTAAAGAAACCTACTGCTATGCTGCCTGTTCCCAAGTCATATGTCACTTGCAACTGAGAAGTGAAATGACACAATCAAATACCAATGTCTGAGGAAAAGTCACTCTGAAATATCTTGATCAATTATATAAATTATTATATAAACTGTGAAACATAGGTCACAATCCTCTTTGTTCACCAACAGTAGAAAGCAGAGATTTTGTGTTCGGATACAAACAAAAGTCAAAGACAGGCTATGAGTGTCGTTACTTGGAGAGATGCATCCGTGACCACCGCATGTCCTTTCTCCTGTTCATGCTCAATATTGCTACACTGCTGTCTCTCGTAACTTCCAGGGGAAACGCCATGCTTCTTCACTGTACACACTAGGTCCTTAGCGACCTACTTTCCTCCTGACCTCATCTCTAACAGCCTGCCACATGGGCCCTCTAGTCTATTAAAGGAAATAAAGCAAACAGACAAAAGGCTATGCGCTTCCCTGAACGTGGCATCTTGTCCCACACGTGTTCGTTAATTGTACCTGCAACACCTGACTAATCCCCGCCCATCTCTACTTAGCTAACTCATACAGGTACCTACAGGTTCAGCTTAAATTCTTTTTTTCTTAACAGACTTCATAAGGATTATTTTTAATGATCGTCTAATAGGTTCATCTATTCTCTTACTGGTTATGCTGTTTCCAATTTTTGTTGCTAATGCTAGAATGTGCATAGCTTTTTCCTTTTATTTAATATTTGCTAAAGATAAACTCTCAAGATAGTCAGTGAACCCAAATTAAGGGCTTTTCACATATAATATGCAAAATAAAAATCTGAATTAAAAATTACCCTCACAATGTAAAGCTTTTAGATAAAATCAATAAAATTGTATATAGACATGAACAGGCAAGCAATGTCAACAAATGAAAATGTGTGGAAAGCATAACACTAAACCACAACTCTACATAAAGACATATATGTTGCTATAAGAACTTAAAGAGGATAAAGCATGATATAGGTAAATTATATACTCGTATGTTATTTTTTAGGTTTGCCAAACACATAAGATTGAAAAGTTGTCTTGGTGGAATGTAAATTTAATTATAAAAGCTACCACAATAAGCTAAGAATGAACAGATTTCTTTTTTTTTTCTTTTTTTTCGTGGAGGACATTGCTTCACTGGCCCAAATTGGCAACATCATTGCACTCTTCCTGGGCGAGGCAGATCAATCGCCGGCTTCTGGACGGCCACTCATGGCAGCTACTGGCCGCTCACGCTGGCTGCTGGCCACACACGGTAGCCCATGGCAACCCACTGCAGCCAGCGACTCACGGCAGCCCAGCTCCAGGTTGAACTGTTGTTCATCATCTTAGCTGTAGAGGGCAGTGTCACTGGCCCTCATATGTGGGATCTGAACCGGGGCCCTCTAGCGTCCCAAGCCAGCTCTTAACCAACTGAGCCACTCAGCCGGCCCAACGGATTTCTTTTATATATACAATTGTCTATGTGTATATATATCAATAAAACCATATATATGTATATGTTAGAATGCAACTGTGATAACAGAATAAGGCTCTGCTCACCAGGACTTCCTCCATCATTATCATCGGGGTTCCTGGGTCCCGAAGTGATATAAAGCGGAAAGAGAAAGGATGTTTTCCAGCCTGACACGTCTGGCTTCCCGAAATTCCTCTGTAGCCTAACTAAACGCAGGTGATACTTTACCTAGAAGTAGCAAGAGGAAACAAACTACGCTTAAAACCAAACCAACTGAAAAGCAAATATTAGAAATAAAGAAAAATTAAGAACATACGGAGAACCATGTGATTTGAAAGAGGGGACTCATCTGATGTCAGAGTGCTAGTGAATGGCTGGAAATGACTGACTGACTCCAAGCACAACACGTGTGCTCCAGTCATGTCTACCTCGGGAGTCCTCTTAAATGCAGACAGCTCACAGAAACAAGATATACATATGGCCCGTGCACAAGAAAAGCTTCTCCACGTCCCATAATGAAATACATGCAAATTCAAACCACAGAGGTTTCTTTCTTACCTAGCACTGGGAAAATCAAAAGCTTAGCAACACACTCTGTTAGTAAGGTTGTAGACAAACAGGCAGTTTAACTTGTTGCTTGTGGGGTGCAAAAGGGCACAGGTGTAATGGGGAATCTAGAAATGTTTAACAAAGCCACGTATGAGTATGTGTTCAGTGTTTGATTCAGCAATCCAGGAAGACCTGGAACATATGCCTCCAACGATATGAAGAAAACATACGCACACGTTTGTTTGCTGTTAACATCTGTGGTAGAGACATACTAAAATTAACTAAATTGCTCGTACACAGGATATCGGATGGACTGTGGCACCTCTACGCATTAGAGAGCTTTGTATCGGTGCGAGGTGTAGTCAGACAACAGAAATCATTCTAGATAACTGAAAGGGGAAGAGGATGCTCAGGTACCAGGTAGCAACAGCAGAAAGCAGCCACCAGCCCTAGGACAAAGGGAACAAAATCAAGAGTTAGGAATTACTAAAAATTATAAACTGAGAGGAGAGATCCTGTGGGGCTGCAAAGCAAACCTCTGAGGCGGGGACACAAGTCAGCCAATGCTCTGTCTCAGAGCTTGAAAGAAGGGTCCTTTGGGACTGGGACCTAGCCCTCTGAGAAGGAGTTCCAGTTGCCCAGGGACAGTTATTTTTGAGAGGGTGTGACGAGGCTGATTTTTGAAAAGTGTTGGGCAATCTGCAAATTGTATTTGGCTGCTGCTATGGGGAGAAAGTACTACTGTCAAAATAAAGAAGTGCTGCTGAGATGTCACTGCAGGGACTACAGACAGGAAGCCAACAGGAAAGCTCAAGTTTCTTCTTCCCCCTGTCCTGCCTCTAGTGCCTTCTATTAGCAGAGTCTCATACAGAGCTGGCTGAAAAAGCAGAGATGTAGCTACAGCGTCAAAGAGCAGGGCATGAAAGGATGGATTTCTGGTTCAAAAAGGAATTCATTCACAAGTATGCTACCTTGTGCATCAAAGAGGGAAATGAGGTATACGTATGCAATTAATATTATGTACAATACATATAAATGTAAATGTATCTACATAAATTTACATGACACATATAGAATTTATATTTATCAACACATTTAATCTTTGAATTCACTGCAAAGAAAGTTGGAGACATCAGCACACTTCTGCCAAAAAACTTTAGCATTTACTAGAATTCAGTGTTTCTTATTTGAGGTAAAATTTACATACAATAAAATGCACAAATCTTAACTGCACATTAGCTTAACTTATGGATCATACGGGATCAATGTGTGTTTATTTGGACAAAAAATGGCAGGCATTTTTCTAACTAATCATGCCATCTTCTATTGTACCAACAGTGGCTTCATGTCCTTACCAACATTTGGTATTGTCAGACTGTAATTTTAGCCTTTCTGGTGGGTAGGTAGAGGTATCTCATTGTGGTTTAAATTTGCATTTCCCTGATGTATACTGACAATGAACACTTTTTGATGTCTTCATTGGCCATTAATATATCTTCTTGGATGAACTATTTAAATCTTTTGCTCATCTTTGAAATTGGGCTGCTGAGCTGTAGAACTTTTTAAAACATCCTAGATACTAGTACATTGTCATATATGTTTTACAAATAAATTCTCCAACACTGTGTCTTGGTAATTCATTTTATTAAGTGTACTTTAAAGTATTTAAAGTATTTTAAGGATCCTACATGCCTATTTTTTTTTGTTTTGTTTTTGTTAGCTGAGCCATCCTGCCACGGGTTGGTAGCTCAGTGGCAGCTCAGCTCAGGTCAGGCATCAAACCGCTGTTGCTCAGAGCTCGCACTCTTGAGCAAGCTCTTAACCAACTGAGCCACTCGGCTGGCCCTCCTACCTGCCTATTTGAGACAAAGTGCTTCCTAAGTTTGGGTCCCCCTACCACTGTCCCCTGGCTGCCCTCATGTATCTGGGCAGGAAACAGGGAGTCTCAGGCCCATAGAGTCAAAGAGGCTTCCAAGGCCTGGCCACTTATTGTGGTTGGGTCCCTCTTGATGGTTCCACCAGCCCACCACCCCAGTGTCTTGCTGTGAGGGGTGTCTTAGGCCTGTGGAGACAAAAAAGCTTCCCATATGGGGTCACTTGTGTCTGAGTCCCTCTTGCTCCTGTGCCTCAGTATATATCTGTGAGGGAGGGGCATCTCAGTCCTGGGAGGGAAGGAGAGTATTTCTCCTGGTCCCTAACTGTTTGTAGGGCTCCCTATCCATTCCTCCTCCCAGGGGTGTCAGAGTTGCCTGATGTCAGAAACTTCCACTGCATCCAGGAGTAGGATGAGCCTATCTGGGCTGCCTTCTCTTGTTAGGTTGGGGGTCAGAAGACACTGGGTGTCAGCTGCCTTCTGTTGGTGCATTAAGATGTATGCCCCTGTGTTGCTCCTCCAGGTTTGGGATCCTAAACCAGTTTGCACACTGTTATATGTCAATTACAACTCAATAAAGCTGGACAAAACCAGTCCAAGTGCCTGGACAAATAATTTGGGGAATTTTGGGGTCAGGAATCTAGTTCAAATATTTGAGGACATAAGCACAGTCAATCATTAATGAGAATGAAACTTGAAATGCCATTGGAGATACCTTGAGCCAATGTATATTACTGAGCCTAAATTCGTAACAGCATAGGGATAATTTTGACTCAGTAAATAGAAAGAAGTTGGCACAGAAAAATGGAGTCACAGAAGGATGGAACACACAGAAAGAATACGTACGATCCTACTAATGGTTTTATTAATCTTGTCTTCTACTGACAAGCATCTGTAATCTAAATGCAGGATTTGGCGCCATGTCTATATACTGCAGAGTAACTATTTATTTCTATCACCACCAGGACAGAATCTCTGTTAAGATCTTTCAAGGAGACACCAAGCTCAAAGTACTGTCTTTCTTGCTCCTTCCTGTGGGCTATGTTATAATCAGATTCTCAATGCTTATACATGTCCTAATTCTGAATCAATATGGCTGAGCCTTACAATTTTCCCTAGAGGTTTATGAAAGTGCTTAAATTCTGTGTTTCATTCAAAGAAAGAGAATTCTTTCCGTGTTTGGCCATCTGTTAGTAAAAATGCATCTGGTCAGGCCTATTATTGCATCACACTTGGTAGAGCTAGAAGAATTGCTTGAATAGTCAACGTTGCCCATGAATCGAAGGCCTTGTGCGTGGAAGATACAGTTCTTCTCTTGTCAGCATAATGCAATAATTAAGAGCACGGAAATTAAAGTTACTCAAATGTGCATTCACAGTCTTGCTTTATTGTATAGTAGTTGTTTCACCTTGAGAAAATTAGTGTCTTTATTTATAAAATAGGGATAATGGTATCAGATTCATTAAAATTCTAGAAATTGGAAATGCAATTACTAGACACTAGTTCTTTAGAAATCTCCAAATAAAAATTTCTCACCTGCAGTGGCAGAGGGTCATTGCTGTTTTTGAAGTCACAGTAAAAAACCACGGCAGCCAGCACTTTGTAAGCTCTATAGTCATACTTCACATAACTCTCAAACTTGGCTTCTGAAGAAAAGCCTCGAACTGCAGAGGCAAAATTGTTCATGTCAATAAAAAGATCTGATAATCCCTCATGAGAGGGGGGACATGGACAAAAGCCTATCCAAATATTATAAAATAAAAATAAAAACTGTTCCTCAAATATTGGTATCATAACTATTTAGTGGATATTTGGGGTTCAAAACACTTTTAGGCATTTTACAAAGTTCGAGTACAATTTTAAATAATAATCATTATAAAACATATATAAAGGTTAGTGATTAGTCATTAGGGAGACGCAAATCACAATGATAATGAGACACGACTTCACATCCACTGAGATGCCTACAATCAAAGTCAGAGGATAGCAAGTGCCAGTGAGGATGTGGAAAAGTTGGAACCTTCCTACAATGCTGACCAGAATGTAAAATGGTATAAATTTGGAAAAGTCTGGTCCTCGAAAAGTTAAATATAAAAGTCACCATATGACCTATTTATTCTACTCCTAGGTATATACCCAAGAGAAATGAAAACATATGTCTACAGAAAACTTACAACTGCATGTTCACAACACAATATAAATATAACTTATAATAGCTGAAAGGTGCAAACAACCTATATGTCCATCAATTGATGAAGTCTAATATCAACTAAATGCAGTATATCCATACAATGGGATATTATTCGGCAATGAAAGGAATGAAGTAGCAATACATGCTACAACATGAATGAACCTTGAAAGCATTATGCTAAGTGAAAGAAGCCAGTCACAAAAGACTACATATTGCATTGTTATATACAACTTATATAAAAGGCTTATACCGGGGTGCCAAAAAACTGTCTACAAGTGGACACTTTGGTGGTCAACATTGCTCAAGCAGTAGCTTGCTGTAATCAGAAGCGTCTGGACGTTGATGGGAAACACTTTGAGCACCTCTTGTCATTGCAGAAGTCAAATGTGACTTGTATTCATCTTTTGTTATTGGTATATATTGAGTATTACAATATTGATAGTTTTTTCCTTTCTTAAAATGTGTATACATTTTTTTGGCACCCTCTGCATGTAAACCATTTATATAAAAGGTTTATAATAGGCAAGTCTGTAGAGACAAAAAGTAGGTTAGTGTTTTCCTAATCTTGGTGGGGATGAGAATTGTGGGGTCATAGCTAAAGATTACAGGACTTATTTTTGGTGATGAAAATGCTCTAAAATTTATTATGGTAGTTGCGTAACTCTGGGAATATACTGAAAGCCACTAAATCGTACACTTTTAATAAGTGGCTGTATCGTATGTGAATTATATCTTTAAAAGCTGTTTAAAATAAACTTAAGGTAAATCAGGAGGTGGAGATCACTTCAAACTGTGTTTAAAAAAACCTCATTTGATGGCTCAATAGCTGTATAGAAATAACATGGAAAGGAGTCAGTGAAGATAGGTCAGCAGAAATTACCTAATCTGAACAAGGGAGGAAAAAAAAATGGACAGAAGCTGAATAGAGCCTCAATAGCCTTGGGACAAGACAAAATGCTTAGCATTTATGTCATTATAGTACTAGGAGAGAAGAAAGAAGGCCATGTTGAAAAACAATTTTTAGAAATAATTGTGGAAAATTCCCCAAATTTAGTGAAAGATAGAAACTTACAGATTCAAAAGGCTCAGTGAACCCTATACAGAATAAACCTAATCACATACATCATAATCAAACTTTTGACAGATAAAGAAAAAAAATATTGACAGCAGCTGGAGAGAAATGACAATTACCTATAGGGCAACAAGGATTCAAACGACTGCAGATTTTTTTCAGAAACCAAGGAGGTCAGAAGAGAGTAGTAAATTTTTTTTTTTTTACCTGAGCCATTCTGCCACCTGTTGGCAGCTCAGCGGCTGCTCAGCTCGGGCCGGGACTCGAACCGCTGTTGCTCAGAGCTCACACTCTTGAGCGAGCTCTTAACCAACTAAGCCACTCAGCCAGCCCTCAAATATTTTTTAAATACTGAAAGACCACCAATCCAGAATTTTATACCAAATGAAAATAACCTCAGGAATGAAGGTGAAATAAAGGCGCTGTCACATGAAGGAAAGCAAACAGAATTCATCGCTAGTAGACCTGCTCTAAGAAATTATTAAAGTTCTTCAGAAGTAAAATGAGATCAGAAAAAAACCTGGAACTTCGAGAATGCAGAAAGAACAACAGCTATGGTTAATATCTGGGTAAATGGTTTTCTTAAGTTTTGAAAAATATGTGTGTGAATTATAACATTTCCCGTTGAGGTTTTCAACTTATGTAGATTTGAAAACTACAATATAAAGAGAAAAATATAGAAACCTAGACACTGGGAATCATTTGACATTAAAACAAAGTGGTGAAATATTAGTTCTAAGTAGAGTTTGAAAGTTAAGTATGCATATTTTAACTCCAAGAGCAACCACTAATAATACATCAGAAGTCCGATTTATCCATTTTTTTTTCTCTCATGGATGATGCTTTTGGTGTCATGTCTAACAATTCCTTAACTAACTCAAATTACAAATATTTTCTATGTTCTGTCCAAATGTTTTAACATTTTACTTTTCGATCTGTGATACATTTCGATGCAATTTTTGCATAAGGTATGATTCTCTTGTTTTAGCTATTGATGTCCAATTGTTCAGCACCATTTTTTGAGAAGATTATCTTTCTACTGGATTCTTTTGCACCATTGTAAAAAATATTCTAACAGATTTCTGTTAGTCAATCTCTGGGTTCTCTATTTTGTTTCATTGACTTCTGTGTCTATCCCTCCACCAATACCACAGTCTTTATAACTACAGTTATACTGTAAGTCTTAAAATTGGTGAATATAATTCCTACAATTCTATTCTTTCATTTACACTTTTTTAGCTCTATCAAAAAACAATTTTAAAATGTTTTACAGAAAACCTTAATTTCTAACCTTTTATGCTGATGTTTAGATTCCCCTTCGTAGTCTCAATGATCTCTTTTACCACATTAATATTCGAAGGCATGTAGATCAATTCCCACTCTTGAGGATTTTGGAGGAAAGAAGGCAGAGTACTGATACTTTGTGGAGTAAAACTGTGAGGTCCACCAACAGGTATTGCAATAAGTGCGCGGAATGCCAAACACATAATTGGAAACACCAATGTTATTAAGCTTTCCAATATTAAATCAATTGACTGCCTCCTCTAGAAGAGGAATGAAATGATGGTATAAATTAATTTAAGAGTACACAATCAATGCAAATGGATAGTTCTATTATATTAAGCTTCTGCCAATTTCACTCTGGAAAAGCCAGTGTTTCCTGGACTGTCTTGTTGTTCCTCTTCCCTTCCACAGCCAACTTTCTTACAGGTCATACTATACTAGTGATTAACTCAGTTTTATATATTTGGAAGAGCTACCTACAGCTCTGAAATTAATTTTTTCAAACACAGACATACACACACACACACACACACACACCCTTAACTGCAACAAATGGGCATTTTCCAAGGATGCTTTTACCTACCTTTAAGGTACAATTTTTCCAGAAAAGCAATGTAAATTGGTTGAATCTCAACAAATCCATTCTTCTACACGTTCAACTCCAGAGATGAAGAAAAGGTTTTTTTAATGTTAAGTTACCTAATAATGTAAACATCAGGTAAATAACAGTATTACTTCTTTCTCCTAATTTTCTCCTTAATCAGACTTAAAGATTGATAGCAAAAATGATTATGTATTTGAAATAAAGAAAATTACATTGTTTCTATTTTTCTATTAATTCACTTAATAACTACTGAAGTTCTAATGTGCTTAAAACACAAAGAAATAGATAAACAAATAACAGCAAGATGTGGTTCCATTTCTCCAGATGTCATAAAGCTATAACAGGGTCTGATTTCTCCTATTCTACTTTCCAGAACCAGATGGCCTCCCAGGTGAATTCTATGAAACACTGAAACAAGAATTAACACCAAGGCTTCTTAAATTCTTCCAAAAAAACTGTAGAGGATAAAATACGTCCAAAACCATTTTAGGAGGCCCTGATAAAGAGAAATCTAAAAATCCTCAAAATATTTGAGCAAACTGAATTCAACAGCACATGAAAAGGATCACACACACATCATGATCAAGTGGGATTTCACTCTGGAATGCAAGGATGGTTCAGTACATGATAACAACACATTATTAGAATGAAGGATAAAAAAAAATCACATGACCATCTCAACAGATGCAGAAAAAGCATCTGACAAAAATCCATCATTTCCTAATAAACACCCTCAACAAATGAGGTATACAAGGAAGGCTCCTCCACGTAATAAAGGTCCCAGATGAGAAGCCCACAGCTGACATCATACTCAACAGTGAAAACCCGAAAGCTTCTCCCTCTTGGATCTGGAGCAAGACAAGGACGCCCACTCTCGCTGCTTCTTTTCAGCCCAGTTACCGGGAGGTCCTCGTGAGAACGGTTATGCAAGAGAATGGAACGAAATGCACCCAAACCAGAACACAAGAAGCAAAACTGCCTCTGTCCACAGGTGGCATGCATGATCTGATAGAAGGGCTTCTGGAGCGTTCTGCGAGGACTCGGGGTACAGGAGGCCTGACCTCGGGTTTGCTCCTGAGTAAATTCCTGCGCCACGGAGAAGGGGCAGCGCGGGGTGTGGAGGCCACGTGACGTGACACAGAGCGATATAGGTACCCTAATATTACATTTTTTTATGTAAAAAATGGGGGGGTTGTTTCGGAGGAGAGGGGCAAGGGTTGTGGAGGGTTCTGTCGGGGGGGGGTTTGGCGGTGAGCGGAAGGCTGGTGAGCACTTTCGGGCTCTGCTCTGAGGGCGGGCG